TTAAACCCCATTTCATTTCATTTCATTTCAAATTATGGTGTCTGTAATTACACTGCATATTTCCTTGGAAGTCATTGTCAGGTCATAGTATGAGACACTGACCACTACTACATTCTCTTTAAAGTTATGCCGAGTGTTATACACAGATCATGTGTAGCTCGTAAAGAACATATTGAATTAATTAGATGTTTAATAAGATCGTAGGCAGCCCGTGTCTTAACAGAAGTTTATACAGAGGTGAAACGTCAATATCATATATTATCAAATCTAGCAGAGTTCATAAAGTTGTATGCACCTAAATGGTCGTTCAGTTTGATGAAAAGTATAAATCACTTTGTCACATATCTTACATAGTGCATCTTTAAGTATATACTAGTAATGTGTGTACAACTTATAATGAACCGTCCTGATTTTGTAGTCTGGTTTCAGTGTGCGATTAAATAGAGTTGTCGCGACGTGAACAGGTAAATCTAATTAAGCCAGGTGTATTATTTATTATGTATGTAACAATCGTAATGACAACAATACATGTAGGTAAAAAGTAAATAAAGGTGACGAAAGATAAAGTCAAGTCTTTGATAAACTCGACACGTGCTTTACATAACGCACCTGTTTTACCCTTCCTCAAAGGTCATTCCACTTAGGAGGGCTGGATGTGGGTTTTGTTCTTTGCTTTTGGGGGTGGTCTTTTTTGTTGTTGTTGTTTTGGAACAGAGGGCAAGCAGACAAGGGGCTTAGATTAAATATTCTAATACGGAAAAAAAATCTTTTTTTTCTTTGGTTCAATTTTCATGTTTTGCATGTTTGTTTTTGTTAATGCTATTTTTTTTTTATTTTGTATTTTTTTAGTTTGGAACATGGGGGAATCAGATAAGAGAGGCTTAGATCAAATATTCTAATACGACAAACAAATCCCTACCGTTCTTTGCTGTGGTTTAATTTTCATGTTTTGTCTGTTTGTTTTTGTTAAGACTAGGACACCAGCATATCATTTTAAATTCACATCAAGTTTACGTTAAGACTGAGAATGACAATGTAAGAATTTCTATAAATTTGCTGGGTCAGTCACATGGTTACTGAAGGTAATGTTATTTGGTTCAAATTCCTGTGCGGGTCGAGAAGGGCCTTTACACTATTTCGGTCTCAATTGAAGACTAGCTAGTCTCTATCATTCAGACAAATACTCTACAAATATTAAGTTGAAGACTAGGAGGTTCTGAGTGACCGAGACTAAATAATAGAAAGTGGAAACTCAAATAACAGAGTAAATGTGTGAATCAAATTTACAAAGGTCATAATCATTGCTTCGGGATGTATTGGTGTCTTAGGGATTTCCCTACTGCTGTTCTGGGGATCTCCCTCCTATGCCGGGAACCACGGTGGCTAAGTGGGTAAGACGCTGGCTTCGATTCCGGTGTTGGCCGAGAAAGTTCATCGGGATTTTCCGGCAGATTCCCCCTGTCAGTGGTGTAGGACGAGGGTGGTTGAGCTAACAGGAATAGCTGTCTAGTCGTTCGGGTGGAAAGTAAAAGCGAGGTCCCGTGTTCACATTGGAGTAGGCCGTTGCGCCGCAGGCGGAGCAAAATTTCCCTCATAGCACACTGTATGGCGTATGCTTGTTCTTCATTATCCCAGTTCAGAGCAGAACAGTAGGGCGTTAATCCCCATTTCATTTCATTTCATTTCATTTCCTTCCTTTGTCATTCACATCGTATCTAACAAGTCGTCTGTGGTTCAATCCTATGCAAGAGTATCGCTGCCAATATTAAATGCTCTGCTAAAATGTCTTTTACATTTGATGACGTGTAAAAAGTACAATGTACAAAGTCTTAATACCGATAATGATAAAGTCAAAATACCTCGAAGGGCAAAGTTAAATGTACGACGTCAAATGCAATGTGTCAAATGTTTAATGGAAAATGCTGTTTATGACGTGTCTACATTTTACATTTCCTTCATTACATTTTACATTTGAGCTCTGACGCATCTCATTTGTCCTTCACGCTCTCTACATAGCATCTTACACAGAGCACTAAGTTTGATATGCAAATGTGGGATATCACGTGACTTCACATATACGGAAACGAGGCCGAGCTCAACCTCGCACACTATAAACCAGCATTCTATAAGATATTTACCACACGATATTGAGGCAATCAACATGGCACACTATAAGAAATTCGCTGGACGACCGTGTCTGCAATAAAATCATGTGAATGGTATAGCCAATCCAACTCGTCGACAAATAACATAAAATGAAAGTATAGTCTATATTTAGTAATTAGGTTACTGTCGGACACAGACACATTTCTTTCGACAAAACAACGAAGATTTTTCTTTCTCTAAAGTACGTAATAATGAATGTGCCAGGAAATAATTGATGATAGGTTCAAAGAGACATAGAAACATACTTTCCAGTGATGTATAACACGATAACTGGAATTTCGTATTAAAACCCGTATTTCTGACATTTTAAACCCTCGGCACCGCCCCACGCTCTCTCTCTAAATTTTAGTACAGGCTAATTAACTTTAATCCATTCAAAAAAAAATCATTGTGCTCAACAAATAATGAATATACGTGTACTTAAAGAGAGATCTGTGAACGTGCTTTTCACTGATAAAATGATATCTGGAATTTCGTCGTATGACCCGTATTTGGACATTGAATACCCTTCCATACAATCCCACATAAAACCTATATAAATAATGTCAGCGTTTTAATTGCATTCTATCTATATTCCACAGTATTAAAATACTTGATTTAAAAACAATGAATGACCTATAACAAAAATAAAACAACAATTTACAACAAAAACTAAACACAGATACGCCTAATGTCACAGTGAATTTAAGACTGTATTCACACCGTGTCACATGTCAACAGAATATAAATTACGTCTGTTAAAGTGCGAGTGAGGTCTAACATAAAAAATATCCAATTAATGAAGATATATAACCAGTTTATTGTTATGAATTGTGGGAACAATGACGGAAGAATATGAAAATATTGTGATTTGATCGTACAATTCTCGGCTTAAATTCTTTCCGGTCACGGTGGCTAAGTGGTTACGGGTTAAGGTAAGATTTAGAGCTTGTTCTGGAGTTAGTGTTAGCTGTAGCCCTATTTACGTCTCGAGACCTTGACGAAATCGGCAACCCTGTCCCTAACTCACAATCCACATAGGTCGTCATATGTACCAGACCGTCTCCGATCTACCTAGCGCTCTGCTCATGGCATACTATATGTCACCATTAGCCCGGATGGTGCAGAAAAGTGGGGAATTTAGATTCGGATATTGTTCTATCAAGCACACTCCAACTATACAATTCCCTGTTGGTACTCGTACTTTAAACCCAAACAACTATTTATTTATTGGTGACAAGCATCGCCATCTAATCCCCATTTATCTAATACAATAGATACTCTTTCTTTGTTCCTTCTTCAAGACAACCTAGTGTTTTAGTTGTTCTTATTCGACTCACGACAACACTAGCTATTCCCGACCCATTTGGGCGTCAACTGCGCTTGGTAATGATTGTGCTCTAATTATCGACTAAGTACAAATGGGTGCCCATCCTATCCAAAACCACCTATATTTGTTTATAATGTTAAATATACATTATGCAAGAGCTAAATCTGTCTATTGCACGTCTTTCTTTAGACCTGAAATGGTATCTAAATTATTAATTATTAGACATTAATTAACTTATCCAGACCATAATCAACTCTCGATGTCATCGCTAGCCTGCGATATTTTCTGGATTAGAATCCTATCTGCTGCTTAACGCTCATTGATAATTAAATCAAAAATTGGATAATCGAGACTATGTTTTTTTTATTTTGCCGACTTTAGTAATTCCATCGCTAAAATCTCGGTTCAGAGTGGATCAACTTGACTGAAATTTTCAGTACACTCCCTTTACATTATCTAGCTTTTAACTATTATAGTGAGAACTGCCAGCTCTTTATCTAATCTCCCATAATTTATCTTTAAATGAAGTTTATCTTAGGAGGACCATTTCGCTGATGTTATACTTTCACTTAGTCGATATTTAATAACTACAGAAAGGTGGGTTACCTCTGGGATAAATTTGACACGCCATTTGAGTGGGATGTGATGTCATTTTGAATGGTATGGGGTGCTATTGTTTTAGACAAACACAGTTACGTTTATATTGTAACGTGTGGCATCAGGGGCGCTGGAACGGCGCCAAGGCCAGGGTACCAAAAGATAGGGGGGGGGGGGGTCCGAGGGACGATCTTTCCCCCTGGCCTCTAGAAAGTTTTGAAATTTGTCAATTCCGAGAGCGCTGTTTAGAGCTCCTCTAGCATTCCAAATTCCATCATAAAACCCTTTAAAATACATGATAATAAAAGAGATAAAAGCCTGATTATTCACAAATGAATAGACTAGTAAAAAGGTTGAATACTTTCATCATTAGGGCATGGGTATACATGTATACCCCAGAAAAGGGCACGGTACCATTTGTATACCCTAGTACCCGGGTTCCGGCGCCCCTGTGTGGCATGAACATAATGATGATTTTGGCCGTGTAGCGGTATTTCCGTCTACTTCTCTTCGAATTCGAACTGTCATGGAAATGAAATGAAATGAAATGGGGTTTAACGTCCTACTGTTTTGCTCCGAACTGGGCTAATGAAGGCGGGCCTACCCCTACAGTGTGCTATGAGGGAAATTTTGCCCGGGCAGCGGTGCTACGGCCTACTCTTATATCGAATTCCAACTGCCAAGGGATCTTTTACGTGCACGCCAATATGTACACGGGACCTCGGTTTTTCGTCCCATCCGAACGACTAGGCAGCTGTCCTTGTCAGGCCCTCCGTTCTGCATCACTGACAAGGGGAAACCACGCCGGAAAAACTGGATGAACTTTCTCGGCCAATGCAGGGATCGAACACCCGACCTCCAGGCTAGCGCCAACCGACAAAACCACCTGTTAGAATGATAGACCAACGGTTTAACACATGTCATATTATTTAATTTTTTATTATATTTTACAGATAGACATTATTCTTTGATAAAAAAAACAAGATCGTAAAATGAAACATCGGCTCGTGTTGAAGCGTCATTATTTCAACAAGGACGATACAGAGATAACTGGAATGAATAAAAAGTATATAGACATTATCATAAGTTAACAGAACACAATTTTTATGGGAAACATATCCTCTTATCGTTATCAAGCACAATGACATTTAGTAAAACCAGCGAATGTTTCCCATAAAAATTGTGTTCTGTTATTGTGTTCCCCAATCACTAAATGCCACTTAAAGATTATTATCAAGTTCCAGCGAGTGGCATTTTGTTTTTAGCGATATGTAGACATTGTGATATTATTGGCTTTCGAACATAGTATATAATCAGGTTTTTACTATATTGTTATTCAAATAAATTGAAGAAAAATTTATTCGAGACATCTTCATATTCTACGAAAAAGATATAAATCAGAAACTTGGCACATTTGTAAAGGCGGAAGATGGTGAAAGTGTTAGTTATTGGTTGATTCTGATTTAGTCCAAGGTTCACGATTTAATGTTACTGTCGTTTATTTGTCTGACGTGGATCGTACTAAACATTAAACCACACGCTTCACAGATAGGTGCCAAACAACAGTTGACCAGGGTTCCAAAACACTTCTGCATACAACCAAGGTTTATCATCCAGGCTCTCAGAAGGGGAGTGAAATGCCATACGTGTTGGAATGTGATCATGGCGAACGAACAACCCCAACATAACGCGAAAGGCAGAGCACAGATCAGCGTGAGGAATTTATAGCAACAGCCTTTACTGCAATTGAAGCATAATCTGGAACAATTCCAACAGCATTCAAAACTTCTTGCGCCATCAGGTTCGGCCAAAACATCTTCAAATTGAACCTACAAGTAAAGTTTGAAGTTTATCTCTAACTGAACCAACGAATTGGGCAGAATGGGCTATAATGTCTCAAGACCGTATTTCGGTTAGTTTGGGACTAACATAAAGGAATTTATATGGATACGTCGCAGACTCTCAGTCCGGGGTTTCCATATACTATTCTTAAGGGTTCTTTAACGTGCATTTCAATCAGTGTATTCACGTGCGGACCACGTTTTTTCGTACCATCTGAAGAATTATCAATGACATGGCACACTTTTCTTGTCAATTATGTAAAACCCACTTCTAACGAGTGATGACCGGGCTTGCATATTTCTAGTCCAGAGTCTAATTTCATGACGGCGGGACTGCATGTGCGTACGGGTCAATTTTGATTGGCGGGGGCGGGGTATCATTTTTGCCTGAAAAATACGACGAAAGCGCCCGAAAAATGAACCTACATGACTTACATAAAATAACCGTAGTAAAATCTCGAAAATCAATGGCAAATTGCGCCTAGCGGAGCGAATTTTCTGGAACTGCAGTTTGAGAACTAGACACCCAGAATCAAAATCAGAACCTCACTTAATTTTTCAGTATGGAATAATTTTCACATACATGTTCATACCTTTTTCCATCTATATCCACTATGTTTTTCATCATTTGGCCACTGTCCGAAAAATTTGATGATCGTCCGAAAAAAATTGTTTTGCCCAAACCGGGCAAAGGACGGATAGGAGGGAAATGAAATAAAATGAAATGGGGTTTAACATCCTACTGGGCTAATTAAGAGGGACAGGGGAAACGGAATTATAATATACATACCTTCAAGTGATCATTGATATCATTTGGATCTCGATTCAAGGGGTCCATGATGTCAGAATGCTGAGGATGACGAGAAACTTACAGATCAACGCGGGCTGTTTACTAATCGGTATATTTAACAAAATGGACACTAAATAATCTCATGGATATATTCAATACAAAATTACAAACAGGGGACCTTAGTAACAAACAAAATATTGACAACTTTTATAGTGTTTTAATTGTTACAGTATAGAGAAAGTGTTTATGCCCAATTTGTTCGAGCAGGGGGTGTAACTGGAGGGAGTGGAAGCTCTGATTAACACATAATTTTTTTGTTTTCATTCGAAAGCTTTTTCAACACCATTACTGGTACTGGTGTAGTTCTTGAAATGGACGGGAGAAAGAGGTTTTGATGATATGATGACATTTGGCGACGCTGCGAAGGTATTTTTTTGCTTTCGCCTAATATTTCCATGATTTATACCCAACCAGGTTCCAAAATTAAGAATACTATTTATCATCATAAAGTGCCACATTTGGCGCTGTTATACATTAAAGGATGGTTGCAATTAGCGTGTATCAAACTATTGGTTATTGGTTGTGAAATAGAAACGATAATGTTTTAGAGCTAAATTGTGTTGGTCGGGGGTGGGGTTACTCATTTTGTTACTACAACGATTGTAGGGAACTGGTTTATGGGTGTTTGTGATAGAGGATTAAAACAATCATATTGGATTTAACCTTTTTAAATATACTGACGTACAAACGAAATTACACAAAGAACAGATTAAATCTATAAACGCCATAAATATACTGACGTCTATGCTACGACTAACATGGGGTCCATATCCGCGTCCACCTAGATTGATACAGGCGACATGTGTTTCCGAAAAAAACCACCCTATCATTGAGAGGCCAAGTCTAACGCATTGAGAGGTTGGAAAGTGAACAAAAAAACTGTACAAACATAACATAAAGGCCAGTTAAATACAAAACAATATATTCTGATCAATTTCGATATAATATTTTACAACATAGAACATGTAACGTATTTTGATTTTTTGTTCAGAAGTCTCTCAAAGCATTGGTATAGTTCATTTTTTTCTTTTTTGGGGGGTGAAAATATGTCCGAAAGAAGCCATAGAAGTCATCTGTAGACGAACGAAATCATTAGAATCAGTAACACGAAGCTCCTACTCCCTTAGTTAGATCACCCCCGTCTGTTGAAGTATAATAGCTAGGCCTATAGTTATTAACAATAAAAGCGACAACCCAGAGAGTGCAATAATACGACCTTTACTTGAATACCCATTGTATGGTATATCATAAATACTAATAAATGTCGATACAAATACTTATACATTATTTACTGATAGGACTTTAAACAAATTCGTCTAACAATATATAAATGGGCGTTGTATTGAATACATATTAGTATTTGTGACAAAGGCTGAGTTGACGTAAATCACATATATAGTATCCAACTCAATTGTGGTCATCACTCCCCAATCTGACTCAAACGCAAGTTAAATTCGTCGTATCAGAAAGCTCTTCTGAAACATGTGATCAAACGCGTGACCTCGATCTATTTGTACCAATTATATCTGAAATTATTTACCGATTTCTTTCATCTTTTCACTTGGCCGAAGAAATAGCAAAAGTCATTGTCAAGCCATTGTTAAAGAAATCAAACTTGGATCCAGATATTGTGTCGAATTACATTTAGTCAGTAAAAACTACATTTAAAAACTACTGGAGAAATGTCTTCTACGTCAGTTAAAAGATCATATTGATTCCAAAAACCACCAAAATCCATTACAATCCGCCTACAAACGGCTTTATTCAAAATCACCAATGATATCTACGGGGCTATAGATCAACATACATGTGTTATCTCGATACTCCTGGATCTTCAAATCGCATTTGATACGATCGATATCGCAGACCTACTTGACTCATTATGGTATGAAATTGGCTTGGGTGGTTCTGTTTTTAACTGTTTTGAGTCCTAACAAATCGCATCCAAGCTCTCGGGATTAGAGATGATTTGGTGGGTACCACAAGGTTCTGTATTCGGACCTGTACTTTTTATTATCTTCACGAAGCCTATCAACAAGATTGCTGAATGTTGTGGTCTTAAGTATGCATTGTTTGCAGACAACATCCAACTTTATATTCTATTACATTTGACGTACACTCCCAATATATAGAACTTTGTCTTACAGGTATTCTTGCTTGGATGCAAAACATTTCTTAAATTTAATCCAAATAAAACCAAACTGTTAGTAATTGGAACCAAGTAACAATTATGTACAATTGATTATACGTTGGTTAATGTTGATGGAGAAATAATTTGAGAAACCATATATAAAGCTCGAGATATTAGTGTTATATTACGCCCGAACCTTTCGATTAAAGATCACATACAATGTATTTGCTCCACAGCCTTCATTCATCTAATTCAAATTGGAAACATGCAACGCTATCTCAATTATGAAAATACATAAAAACTCATTTATGCATTCATCTAAACTGAACTAGATTACCACAAAGTAGGTTTACCAGACTTTCAGATTAACAAACTACAACATATTCACGATTCGGTTCAGAACGGAGGGCCTGACAAGGACAGCTGTCTAGTCCTTCGGATGATACGAAAAACCGAGATCCTGTGTATACAGACAGTAAAATCCAGAGGAACTTCCTTGGTCAACAACAGGATTAAACCTGGGTTCTCCGAGCTAATGAGCCAGTGACCTACCCACTGAGCCACCATGGCTCGCCAAGTTTAAACCAAGGTTATATAATAAATTGACTCAGACTCAGAAAAACAGTCAAGTTTTTTTATTCTAAATTTGTTGCATAATTTAATATCAGGCTTTATAATATTTACATGTATTAAACACATTTATACATATATATATCATTATATATCATAAATTACGATGATTATGAGATTAAATGTATGTTAATCCTCTTATTATCTTAAGTTAGTGAAGGCAGTTAGAAATATTAAAAGAATCTAATAATATGAAAAGCAATAATGTATAGGCATTTTTTTTTAAAAATTCCATCTAAACTTTCAATTTTAGTTAATTTTATTCTTCATTTAACAGTACATTACATGTATATCCCAATGGAACGGGCTGGTATGAGATTTCATTTCTACAACAATATCTTTATTTAAAGAAAACAGTTCTGGAAGGGGAAATGGCTTAGCTCACATGTACATCAATCCCTCCCACAGCACCAAAATACACAGTAAATTCCATGTTGAGGTTAAGTATGGTTAGTAACAATAGAAAAATTGACTTATTTCACAAGACAGGTACACTGGGCATGTTAAAATTACATTTTATACAAATTTGATATAAATCGGAGAAACCATCGCTACTTTTTAACTTTAACCATATGAATTCTGTAAAATATTTTTGTTGTTTTCAAGGAATCTCATACTAGCCTAGTAATAACTGTTACATCCAGGAATATTGTTTTATTTATATAGGTCTCTATTGGTTTAAGTCTGTTGTACATCTAGGAGTACTGTGCTGTTCTATGTTACAACAGATACATGAATAGATGATAAAATATGACAAACTGACAAAACAACAATCTAACATTGCTACTCACAGGAAAACAAATATGTACATATATAGTTAGCATAACCCTGTTTTACAAGTGGTTGCCATGCAAGATATGCCCACATTTGCAAGAGATGGACAGTGCTAAAAAAAACAAAAAAACAAATGATTTTTCGTACAATCAGGGGCAATAATCCATGAAGTTATAGTCCGACACATGCCAATATTGAAAGGAACCGAGATCTTTCGGATATAAACAAATTTTAGACATCCAGCCTGACAGAGCCGTCACAATATACGTTCACATGTAAATGTGGAGTATTAAAAAGTTTATAAGGGCCAAGGGCATACAACAAGTGCTTGAATTGAACAGGCCATATTCTACATGCATGTATATTATAAAAATACCAATCACTCGTGCATATTAACACTTCCAGACAGTAGACTAATAACTTTAATTAACATTCCATATTTTATTTTAATATATCTTTAATTAATTAATATCCATGGCCAGAGAAAGAAAATATAATTGTTTTAGCTCAGACCTTCAGTAATGGTAATGACTAGGGACCTCAAACAATTCAAGAACGTGCCAACATCAACATGCGGTCATAGAACACAATCCATAATAATAACAATACGGTAAAGATAATAACAACAATAATTATTTCATTAGTGCAACAATTATTCACTGCTTCAATAACAGATCACTAGTAGTATTGTACTACAATTATTCACTGCTTCAATAACAGATCACTAGTAGTATTGTACTACAATTACTCAGTGCTTCAATAATAGATCACTAGTAGTATTCACCGCTTCAATAATATATTACTAGTAGTATTGTACTACAATTACTCACCGTTTCAAAAATAGATTACTAGTAGTATTGTATCTGTACTACAAATACTCACTGCTTACAATAATAGATTACTAGTTGTCTTGTACTACAATATCTTGTTAGTCAAACCATTTTGAGGATTTTCTGTATCACGGGCTTCTATTGGTAGGTTAAACTGGAGTTGACCAATCACAATCTGTGCATTACTGAATATTCCATATCAATAAGTATTTTTAGACCAAAATGAAGTAAAGTAAACAATGGAAAGTATAAAACAGATGTTGGCACAATTTCAATTAGATGGATCCATAAACAAACAATAAACAAATAGCACCCAGATAATATACAACAAAACAAAGAAAACAACAAAGACTAATATATCAATAATCTAATAAACCATTTCATCTTAATTATATTCTATAAAATAATTTCATTACATCACAACTAAAAATAAAAGAAAAAAGTCAATAATAAAATGAATTTTTGTTATGTAACTTAAAGCGAGAATTGCATTTTTTTTTTTAAGTCATATGTTTAGAATAAACTTTTTAAATACATGACATCTATACACACAATCCTACCATGTTAAGGAATAATCCTAAATCCTATAATTCACTTGTGTCAGTTAAGAAATAGTCAAATGTATCATTTCCTTTTTAAATCCAACTTTCTTAGAAAATATACAATTCTCGCTTAAATTCAATTATTTGAAGAGTTGTTATAATATGGTACTTAAGAGATGATGTTAGTTTTTGGCTTGCCTTGTCACATGGTGTCAATGTGACGTCACTACCGGTAATAATCTCAGACTCCAATATGTCGAATTGATCCTTGATGTCATAGCTACATGGATGTAAAGTTAAATGATTGTAAAAATACACTCATTCATTAACTCTTTACATTTTTTAAAAACAGAAAATAGAAAAAAAGGCAAGAACGTTCTTAAGTGAAACATCTCAATGGTCAGATATTTTGAATAATTTACACAAATGTGAAACAGTCTATATAAAGCAAGGATTCTACATGTTACCCCTAGTTATACAATACACAAATATATATTTCAGTAAAATCAAAGAGTATCGGCCTATCATCTCTCAAGAGACATTTCACCCCAAGAAAAGTCAAATTTGTTACCATGGAAACAGGAAAAGAATCAATTAGAGAAAGTTCTTGTTAGTCGAAGACACAAATGCTTTATAGATGGATGTGTATACAAAGTTTCATAAAAATATCTTGAACGGTATATGAGATATGCCCCTGATGTAAAAAAGGACATACAGGGTGTATTTTGTTTTGTTTTCGTCGTGGGATTAAAAACATTTGGGAGAAAGTTTCTAAACATGGAAATTTTAGATTGATACTCTTCAAGTTTTAAGCACTACAATTCATTAATAAATTAATTATAGACCTCAAAACTGCACAAAAAATAAGCTTACTTCCTGCAACTTACGTAAAGCCATGTGTGGTCCTTTTTTTAAACAAAACCTCCGAAGTCAATAAAGAACACGTCTGCTAAAGCAACTAATATTTACAGATCATTACTTCAATAATTTATCCACGGGTGGGACTTCTGGTCAAAATCGTGTATCCAAGTTCATTGAAATCTCACCACAACTATACTTGATTATTGCTGAAGGTTGTTTCAAACAAAAATACTTCCGATTCTAATCTTTTCCATTGTTTGTTTACTGAGAACTACATTGATCATTTCTCTTCTAGCAGATTCCGATCTCACATATTTACCAATATTCTCAAGTCTGGAAACGAGGCACCTGTCACAGACATTGCCAGGCACACAGATATTATTTCCACACCTGATTATACCCCAGCGTTAATCTGGATATATTTTAGTTCAACTATAGTCCTTATAACCACATAGAGATGTAACTATGTTCGCCTTCAAGTTAAATATTTATAGATTTCAGTTATATCATGTTGAATCTGTGAGATACGAACTGGTAAAACTATTTAACTCTGTGTCTAACCAATCAGCTTTATTCCTGAAATACACAATAACATTTTTATATTTTATGAAATGAAGTTTCACGTCAAACTATTCTGCGCCAATCGAGCTAATAATGATGGGTTTACACCTACACTTCTTTGAATTGAAAGGCTTCTTTTACGTACATGCCAATAGGCACAAGGCACCTGTTTTTCATCCCATTTGATTGACTTGACACTATACTTTGCAAGGTCCTCCATCGGGCTCCACTGACAAGGGCAACACTAAGCTCACCAAGGGGGCACCTGTAAATCATGAGAGAATAAAACAAAATGGCCATATAGGGGCTAACACTAAAGTGGTGGACACATTAGCTAAATCATACAGTTGTATCGTTCGTCCGATTCGATCGGCGCCAAATGAGTAACCACACTAGCGAATCGCTTTACATATTGCCGGTGGGGAGTCATAAGGTTGTATTTGGAACATTCTACAAAATTCACTTTTTTGACTCTCCTGAACAACTTACCAAAACCTGAATATGACCTTTTCACTCCTCAGTGACAACAAAAAGAATATCTTTAGGGTTCTTTAGTAGCTTGTGGAAGACCAATGATTTTGACAGGCTATCCTACTCCTTGTCACTCGCAACACTGAATTTCAAATATTCCCAGACTACAACAAAACATGTACAACTCTTTACCCACTAATATACAAAATTTACCTTAAAGTTTTAGCTTTATTTGTCGTTTCTTTCAGTTTTTCTATAACTAAATCTAACATTTTTATTTCTTCTTTTAGTTGATTTTTAGAAATATCAGCTTGATGACATAATCGTGCAAACGTTGAACTTAATTCTCTGAAAATAACATATAAATTTAATGAAAATAACATATAAATTTAATGAAAATAACAAATGAAATGAAATGAAATGGGGTTTAACGTCCTACTGTTCTGCTCCGAACCGGGCTAATGAAGACGGGCATATGCCATACAGTGTGCTATGAGGAAAATTTTGCCCGGACAGCGGCACTACGGCCTATTCTTATATCGAATTCCAACTGTCAAGGGATCTTTTACATGTACGCCAATGTGTACACGGGACCTCGGTTTTTCGTCCCATCCAAATGACTTGACAGTTGTCCTTGTTAGGCCCTTCGTTCTGTATCACTGACAAGGGGGAACCACACCAGAAAATCTGGATGAACTTTCTCGGCCAATGCAGGGATCGAACACCTGACCTCCAGGCTAGCGAGCCAGTGTCTAACCTACTTAGCTAAAGTTATCCCCATGAAAATAACATAAAATTCTAATGAAATTAACATAAATCTAATGAAGATGGAAGGACACATTAAACAGTGAGGAGGGACAGATGGAAGGAGTCTGAAGGACACATTTAACAGTGCAAAGGGATAGATGGAAGGACACATGTAACAGTGTGAAGGGACATGTGGAAGGCACATTTAACAGTGCAAAGGGACAGATGGAAGGAGTCTGAAGGACACATTTAACAGTGCAAAGGGACAGATGGAAGGACACATTTAACAGTGTGACGGGACATATGGAAGGACACATTTAACAGTGTGAAGGGACAGATGGAAGGACACATTTAACAGTGCAAAGCGATACATGGAAGGACACATTAAACAGTGCAAACGGACAGATGGAAGGACTAATTTAACAGTGTGAACAACAGATAGAATGTAATGTAACAGTTCCACTGAGTAGCAAATGGTTGTCTGATTTCAGGTGCTTAATAACTAAATTATGTTTTAAAAGTTACACCTATAGAGAATTCAACTTACTGTTGTACTTGATGACTGCAATTAGAGCTTGTTAAATCTACAATAAGTCGTAATTTACTGCTGGCATATTCCACATATTGTTGTTTAAATGCTCTTTCTTTAGCCTTGGTTGTCCAGGTTAATCTCTCATATAAATATAAGAGACCATATAAGGCACCAGTAACAGCGATAACACGCCAACCAGCAGCTTTAGCCAACTATAATATAGAAATACATAATATAGACATTCGGGGTGAAATAAAATAAAACCAAAATAAGGATGAGAGAGAGAAAAATGGGGTTTAACGTCCACTCGACACAAACTAGGTCATTTCGGGACAAACACATGGTTCAATTTCATTTCCATCATTCGCTTGCGCGTAGGGATTTTTAGCAGTGGGAGGAAACCGGAGGACCCGGAGAAAACCCACGAGGTTGGACAGGTGACCCCACTCCTTGTCACGTACAACCGGGGAATCGAAACCACGCCAGTTGACTAAATGACAGACTTTATAATACAGAGTGCACACGCTAACCATTCAGCCATCCACCCCCCCCCCCCAACAAAAATAACAAAAAAAAAAATCAAAATCATAACTTTCATAGCCATTATGAAGTGGCATAAGCTAATGAGTAATACAATGAAATGGAGTTTAATTTCTCGTTAACAAAATACTGCAGCAGTCATGTTGTATGAGATTTAGTGATAAATACACAAGATTAAATAATACCCGGATTACAGTGCTGAGATTAACATAATGGTAACTGCCAACTGCCTAGGTTTCTTTTACGTGCTCATTAACATGCATATTGGAGACCTCTGGTTTTTGTCCCATCCGAACGACTATGCAAAACTTTACTTGTCAGCCCTGCAGATGCCACAGCTGACAAGTGAGAACATGGCTTAAAAAATCCTATGGTTCTTCTCTGCCCACTACCATCTATGAGTCACATACAGTTCAAATCCAAGAAGTCAATTCTTTTCAAGACTGAGAAATCTGCAATTCTAAAAACTTTACGACTAAACTAATCTACATGTACTTGTACATATTCAGGGATATAAAATAATAAATGTTATAAATCTATGTTTTCAAAAAAATTCAAATCAAGATACCACTCCTGCTACAGCAACTGTCCCTAACGACGACCTTGAAGTCAGTGAAGCAAAAGTAGACAAGATGGAGGCAAGAACTTCGTTATCATGTTCAGTAAAACCAGGAGCATCACCAGCCGCTCTGTTAGCAGGTGGTTGACTAATCTAAAATATAATATAACATCTTGTCAACACAATGTTGATTTAATCATTGACCAGCAGTTGCCAGGCAAGACAAGATCACATTTTGCAAGAGATGGATAGAGAACAATCTAAAAAATAACACCGCAATTAATCACAAAATCAGGATCCATAATCCAGGAATTTATGGTCTGAAATGTGCGAATATCGAAAGGGATTTAGATCTTTGGGATACAAACATATGTTTTAAATTTCATCAAAATAGGACAAAAGTTTTGACCTCTAGAGATTCCACAACCTTAGTATTACATACTTTGACATAATTTGCGTACAAGGAGCGCCCATTTTCCCGAAATTTGAACGCAACCTTCATTATGGTGCAACAGTTGTACAATCAGGGGCCATAATCCAGGAAGTTATGGTCTGATATGATCGAATATCCAAAGCCCCTGAGCTCTTTGGGATATAAACACATTTTAAGCAGTCATTGTTATTTGTATTTTAGAGGGGAGCCGAGAAAAACTTCCCTTAATCGACAAATTGAAATAATCGATTATTAAGGAGAGTGATTACTTGTGTGTATGAAGATCAATAACTGCATGTAAGGGGGGTCATTCCTGGTTTCATAAATGATAATACCCCCCCCCCCCCCATGACTTGTAAAGGAGAGCGATTTTCAATTTTAAGGGGAGGGATAATAAAAGCCTCCCCTCGGTCGACATTCAGGTGCGCGGCAGGTGCTCGAGAGTGATTGCTCGCCTTAAAAAACAATGACTGTTTAAGTTTTGTCAAAGTTTCATTTAAGTTTAATACTATTTGCGTACAGGGAGCAGCCATTTTGTCCCCCAGTTTCAGTCCGATTTTCACAAAATAATTTTTCGGTCAAACAGGGGCCATAATCCAGGAGGTTACGGTCTGATCTTCGCGAATATCGGATGAGAACCAAGATCTTTGGGATATAAACACATGTTTTATGTTTCATCACCAACTAAGAAGATTGTCTACAAGGAACAACAATGCAACAGTTCATTTCTACATTTTTATGTCAAGCACTGGATACATAGGTTACATTACAAGGCTGACCTTAAAAATATCTTTGTTTTGCCTAACGCGACCGACTGACTAAAACCACCCCCGACTTAAATTATTTTATTGCACTTTTCCACGATCTTTTTATTTTATTTTTTGTGTCAACCTGAAATATATCACGAGATATATTTCCTTTTACTATGGCTATGGTTTGATTCATTATTGAAACTGGTTGATCAAGATGAAAGCGACATAGGTGTCGCTTCTCAATAAAATGATTGCAGACGAAAGCACGTCCATTACCACGAAATGATTCTGCCTCTATGTCTGTGGGGCGTCGTTTTAAACATGACGACGATATTTTTAATATCCGTTTTCAAGAAAAATGAAGGCACAACCCGCACGATCGTTAAAAACGTGTTGAAGGAGTTTCACACTTCAAGTTCGTGGCAAATCGTGTGCGAGTCGTGCATCACGAAAAATCGCGATGTCATTGATTTGTTTGCCAATAAAGACGAATGTTTCCACCGGGAAAATTATCAAGCTGTCAAATTAGCCCTTAAGTTTAATAAAAACTTTAAGTTCGTTACTTTTTACGTCAGACCCAAAATTCATTAAACAAAATTAATGAATCTGTAGTATACAGCTAATAAGTTTTCTGTATTGATTTCTCTGACTTAAAAAAAAAAATCTGAAAAAAAAACCGACCTACCGACCCTTCTCCTCGATTGTGGGTCGGGTTTGGTGAAACAAAGATATTTTTAAGGTCAGCCCAATACTCAAAATTAACATGTCTTTCTCTCCACCCCCTAACTAGCAGATCGAGTTTACTGACTACCCGGGTAACATCATATGGCTCTAACACAAATCACTGGGGTCTACTCAATCCAGATGGTGTCTCTTGAACATCAACGGTCTCTCCAAACGAAACTACATGGTATCTGCTCTCTAAAGAACCCAATGCGTGTTTAACTCGATAGAATCTAAATCAGTCTTTTAACATGGACAATGGCCTTGAAATAACTCTGTCTATTAATTCAATGAACAAATATTACATAATTTTGATGATTGGTCCTTATGCCTCATGACGTCGAGAACCACCTACCCATATATGGACAGTGGAAACTTTCCTCCTGGAGTGTCAGACATGTTACTATGTTTTTAACCCAGAATTTATCGAATTATAGCTGATTTTATGTATCAACTTATCAATCTTTTCAGTTGGTCTACTGAATATGAAACCAATAATCAGCCAAGGACATGATATCAATATAATGCTCATATTCCCCTAACATTATTTTGAATAAATTACCCAACATTTTGCAATATTCTGTATATATTTGTCTACTATTCACATATCTGTATCATTCGCTTGATAAAGACAAGAGCATCCTCAGTAATTGTCTGTATCCATAAAATTGTACCTTGTGCTAATATGTTCAATTACTAAATGCCAATCAAAGAAGACATTTCCATATGCTTTGGACAACCGAGCCCTGATCACCTTCATTACCTCTTTGCAATAGTCAACCTATTTAAAACTATACACAGCTTACATTATTAGTGAAACCTAAACAAGAACGGATTTCAATAATCCCCTGCAGTCTCCAATGGGCAGGGAACTACAACAGTCAACCCATTTAAAAGAGAGAGAGAGAGAGAAATGGGGTTTAACGTCCACTCGACACAAACTTGGTCATTTCGGGACTAACATATGGTTTAAATTTATTAACATAATTCGCTTGCGCTTAGGGGTCTTTAGCAGTGGAAGGAAACCGGAGGCCCCGGGGAAAACCCACGAGGTTGGACAGGCGATCCTACTCCTTTCCACGTACAACCGGGGATTCGAAACCACGCCAGTCGACTCAATGACAGACTTTATGATACAGCGTGCGCACGCTAACCATTCAGCCATCCAACCCCCCCATTTAAAAGAATATAAAACTTACTGAACTGGTGGCCCCTAACAAAGCTGATCTAGCACTTTTCGATCCCATCAATTTCTGCATCAAGGCAGCTGGTCCAAATGAAAAACGGAATTCTATATCTTCACGGAATTCAGCACAGAGATTTCTACAGTCTAAACGGTAGGCAATTTCAAAGTCCCGTTTAGGTATTTGATTAAAAAGATGCTGTCGAGTTTCGTTTGGTAATAATGCTGATAATCGTTCTGGAAAATAAGGGGAGATAAATCATATCAGTATAATGTTTGACACTAAAACCACAAAAAATGCTTATTTATTTACTGTAGTCTGCATGGATTAAAATCACAATTACCTTTCATACATGTATTCTTAAAGTATAAATAATATGATCGTTATTTGTCGAATTTTGTATTTAAATTTGTCCATACTACAAAAAAAGGAATAAGTCAGAAAAACAAACTCAAAAATAGATCAAGTATGGCTTGAAAGAGAGAGAAATAGGGTTAAACGTCCACTCGACACAAACCAGGTCATTTCGGGACTTACATATGGTACAATTTTATTTCAATAATTCACTGGCGCGTACGGGGTCTTTAGCAGTGGGAGCAAACCAGAGGACCCTGAGAAAACCCACGAGGTTGGACAGGCGACCCTACTCCTTGTGTATGGCTTGAAAGAAATGAATATAAATACAATGATCAATATAGATAACACAATTTGTAGTTTTGGAGTAAAAGTTGCTATTTACAATCCAAAGTGAGAAGACTAAATCGTAAAGCATTTCCACATGTATGAAAAAATACTACAAGTATTCACTGCTGTCTAGTAAAGTAGTGTATAATAATAAACAAGGGCATTTGATTGGATGGCTGTATAAAGTTTATGTTACAGACATTTATGTGAATATCTCTTAAATACAACATATTCCTCTTTTTTCACTTAACAATCTAAAAATAATTCAACAATATTTTTCAAAAAATAAATTGTGATAACTTTCAAAAACATTTTAGTGAAATTTTTCAAAAATTTTCATGTGAATTATTAATCTGATTTCTTATCAAATTATTTTAAATATGTTATAATATATAAACAATTACAATGCAATCTAAATTTATAATTCATATAATAACGTCAAAGGAATTATTCCCCTCCCCATCCATGCGTAAATTATTGGAGATACTCAACTGTAAATTCCAGAAATGAATTTTCTCTCAATCCTTCTAAATGAGCTGATCCAAGTAAAAACAATAATTTTTGTGCGACTAGGCGTTTCCCAACCGAATATAATACTATTTCGACCAATAACCATAGCTGAAACGCTTGATTACATCACAATTCTGTTCACATCACATGTTTTTGATTGGTCAAAATGTGAGTAGACTGAATTCCTAGCAAATCAATTGCAATCGCATAAATTCAAATAATTCCGGCCTGCCAATTGAGTACTCCCAGTAATTTCAATGGGTCTGACTGAACCTCACACAACACAAACATGTATATATCCCACAACAATCATATTACAGACTTCAAGTACATATTACAATTTCTTAAAAACTTAAATATATATTGCCTACACATATTGCTACCTTTACCAATCGGTCAAGTACGTTTGAGCTATTTTAAATTGATCCGTTCCTTTGCATTTAATCATTTGAACTTTTCATGGTCATTCTAACTCATTTCATTGTCGATTTAAACTAATGGTATATAATAATTGTTTTTGTTTCCTACACAAAATATTTAGATGTAATCAATGCTATAACACTAAATTCAATACATAATGAGATATCAAAAAAAAAAGATTTTGATTTAAAAGATTCACAATTTATAGAAATCTAAAAAGAAGAAAAAGCCTGAAAACCTTGCAAGTATTTACCAATTAAATTGAATCAAATATTTAAATACTATTCGAATAATGACTTTGAATAATGTGCAAGTAAAATCATGTGACCAATACCATTTATGTTAACGTAAGCAACTATGAAATATATTAATAAGTTAATGTTAAAGGTGATATACCGTAAGAGAAAGATGATGTGATCAATACTAATTCTCAATCAAATATTTAAATAATATTCGATTAATGATTTTGGATAATTTAACAGTAAAATTGTGTGACTAATACCATTTATTTTAACGTAAGCATCTATGAAATATATTAATAAGTTAATGTTAAAGGTGATATACCGTAAGAGAAAGATGATGTGACCCATACCAATTCTTAGTTTTTAATTTCTCAACATATTAAGTTTATATAATACAGAACATTTGAGATATTAGTTAGTTTATTTCCTACCCTATTTATGGGCCAATGCCCATTTATATAGATGGCTGATTCTATTACCATAGAATTAGCCAGATTTGAATTTTACTTTCAGGAAGATAAAGCAGGTTTTTTCTTGTGTATAATCTGTTTATCTGTGTTGTGGTCATCCTGCCCTTACTATTAAAACTCGAGATGTGAGAAAGATGTTTACCTGTCATCTGATTTTGTGTATCTGTTATACCTTGTAACAAAACCGTAGAACATCGAAGCTGGAGATTCCGACCCAAAGTCTGTTCTACATGGGCATGCATTTCCTAAACACCAAGAAAATAGAACGAAGCAAGCAGTGCATTAATAAAAAATAAATACACCAAAAAAAGCCCCATGGATCCATGAGCTATAGAACTTTCCATTTTTTAACTCCTGTTTTACTCAAATTTCAATAAAGTTGTTTGGATGGGATGGGATGAAAAACAAAGGTCCCTCCAAGGACAGGTAAAGACAAACCTTTACAGTTGGAATTCAATGAAGGGTTGGCGCGCACCAGTCATCATTAACTTCGTTAGCCCAGGAACGTAAGACTTTAAACCCCATTTTGCTTTATGAGGGTTTGAGAGAATTCAATCTCAGAACTTTCAATCGAATACCGAGGTGAGTTACAAATCTGAGTAATTCTTCAATTAAGTGCAAATGAAATGAAATGGGGTTTAACGTCCTACTGTTCTGCCCTGAACTGGGCTAATGAAGACGGGCATACGCCATACAGTGTGCTATGAGGGAAATTTTGCCCAGAAAGCGGCACTACGGCCTACTCTTATATCGAATTCCAACTGTCAAGGGATCTTTTACGTGCACTCCAATGTGTACACGGGACCTCATTTTTTTTTTGTCACATCCGAACGACTAGACAGCTGTCCTTTTTAGGCATCACTGACAAAGGGGAACCACGCTGGAAAATCTGGATGAACTTTCTTAGCCAATGCAGGCATCGAACACCCGACCTCCAGGATAGTGAGCTAGCGTCTTACCCACCATGATCCCCTTTCAATTAAGTAATGGAAAGTTTCATAGCTCACATGCTATACAAAAACCAAACACACAAAAAGCTTAAAAAAAGAAAAAAATATTGGAAAAAAAAGTTACAAATTGAACAAAACGATGAATGGTGCTAATTCTGAACAAGTACAATGTAGTTAGCCAATCGTTGAATGACAAGTGCTGACATGATATATTTTGAAATCGATCATGATTTTATCTTTCCGCAATACACTGTATCGAATCGCAAAGTACGACTCACAGTAGTTGACACAATTCGAAAAACTTTCACAGATAATGATGTCAACATAATAATCGAGTATCCAAGTTGGGTGTTCTATTTGTAACCTGATTATGTCAACAGATTATGTCAACAGATTATGTCAACAGAATAATCAAGTATCCAAATTGTGTGTCCAATTTTTAACCTGATTATGTGTCATGGTTCAAACTGTATCGTGACAGCTGTGTTGTGATACGTATCATATTGTGACTAGTCAAAATACCCAGCACTATCTATGACAATATTTAGTTTTACTCTAAGAATTTCTTAAACTTCAACGTAATTTTCTCATTACCGGTAGTGAGACATAATCTTTTTTAGGCTACCGTTAACTCTAGTCCTAATTAATCAGCATAATTAAATGACCATTAGGATTTCGGAGGTTGTCTCAGAGGTTTTATCATCATCAGATCTTGATTTAAGTTGTTGATCACCCTTTTTATTTACAATTTTTCACGACCTAAAGATGCATTATGTGAGATTTAGATACAGAGCTACTCGTTCTTGCTATAATAGTTTAAAAATTGAGAATTTCAGTCAAATTACTTTATTCTGTGGGAAGTTATGAGTGTTTGAAGTTTTATCACAGTGTAACATAGATTGTTTATTACCGTAAAAATAGTACTTGACAAACGAGACTAAGTCTTGATTCCCTATTTTATTGTTCTAATCTACTTAAAAACAGAGCCATCCGATGGATGAGAGAGTTGATTATCTGTTTGTAATGTTAATAAATTTTTAAAGTTTAATATACATGTTATTTGATGTCATAAAAAGACCTGCAATAGGCAGATTTAGCTCTTACATAATGCATTTCGATGCTTAAATGTATTCAAATTGATTATTTGACATCTAATTAAGAAAACCAAAATATCAAGAATAGATGATCTCCCGGTTTTTATTCAATCAGATTAATAAGAGGCCTATCAAAAGAATTTTACACCGTCTTCAAAGGTTGCCGAATGTTGCAAAATTTTCCATTTACCACAAAGTATCTTTGCAATTACTTAATGATATTAAATTATTTTTGGATTGATATTCATTTTAGACATTTAACTTTCACAGAACAGTGTAATTTGAATGGGATTCGAACTCTCAAACAGATGATCAGAAGCTTTTTTACAACAAATACTGAAAAGACAAGTCGGCCATAACATCTTTGTAAATTTGTAAATTTCTTGTCCTACATGATGTGATTTGATGTAAAGGTTTATAAACAAAACACCACATAAAAACATGTAAAAAGAGGAAGACAAGATGGCTACTGCTGGTATATATATATATATACATGTATTTCATGCTGGTGTTTTAACAGGTAAAGGGGAAGATAACCTCACCAGCCATGAAGAATTCAGCACAATCAAGTTTTTTTGTTATATTTCCAGTGCATCTACCTCCTAGATTCTGACACAGACACTGCTCCACATACACATGTAGTTCCTTATAAACATTGACACATAAATTCAAATTCAAACAAACGGTCAAAAATAGATTGAATCAATTTTGTTTCATTTAACATCTTCAAGTCTAGAAATAAGGCACGTGTCACAGACATTATCCGACACAAATTCATGTTTTATCAGGCACCATCTCTCTATTTTTAACTCTTAGAGGCTGAAATGCCGCAAAACCGACTTTGACGCTGTAGCGCATTTTCTGTTTAAATATCTTTGCTCCAATATCACACAATTATAATTACACATATATTAATTTCCAATTAAAATGACGTCATTTTTGCAAAATCACGCTGTAAAGTCAGGATAGGGTATGCGGCACCCACAATATTTTCAAGGTTCAAAGGTTAATATTATTAATGTATGTCTGACATAAAATACAAAATGTCAGCTACTAATGCCTGAATTTTTGACAAATACAAATAATTTCCAGGGATATTCATCTTACTAATTGGGTAAAAGCTAACCTTTACATCAGTCTAAACCATAATTGTCTACTTTCGCTTTGACACATATACGCGTTAATCTGGGTTAATGGTAAAAGGATTTGGCTATTAATTGTCCAATTATGTGTGGATTCTGGTGTTGGCTGAGTAAGTTCCTCAGAATTTTTCAGTCTGATTTTCCCATCATCAATTGTGCAGGACAGAGAATTTAGCAAGGAAAAGTGTCTAATAGTTCGGACAAGATGAAAAAATCAAGGTAATGTGTATATCACTAACAGCATACTTTATACCTATCTTTATTAGCTCGGTTAGTGCAGAGAAGACCTATGTTAAACCCCATTTCGTTTCTGAATTTACAAACAAAACCAATAGAAATGTAACAGATATTGTGTTCAACGGTCGACAGGTCCGGTTTCCTTCACTTTAATCTGGATTAATTCATATACATCTCAGTGTTAATCATCATGTCAGGGAACAGAACTATGCTGCGGTTCTTCTCTCCCCATGACAATGAAATGTCATACAGTGTGCTATGAAGGAAATTTTGCCCCGACAGCGGCACTACCGCCACTCTTATATCGATTTCCAACTGTCAAGGGATCTTTTACATGCATGCCAATGTGTACACGGGACCTCGGTTTTTCATCCTATCCAAACAACTAGACAGCTGTCCTTGTCAGGCCCTCCTGTCCTGCATCACTGACAAGGGGGAACCACACAGGAAAATCTGTATGAACTATCTCGGCCAATGCAGGGATCGCACACCCGACCTCCAGATTCGTGAGTCAGCATCCATGACAGGAATTGGTGCCCTATAGCTCGACTACCACAGTTGATAAATCAAGAAGAATATCTGTTGGCACTGAAAGTCAAATATTCCAATTCTATGCTTTAAATAAAATACATTTTGACAATATTACGATAATAAATTGTGTCCTACTGACCTTTTTATAGACGTTTAATAATAAATTATCTGGATGGAATGGTCGATCGAAATCTTCTACAAGAAGCGAAAGACGACGTATTTCATCATTTAATGCACTGGCAACCTGGAATTAAAGGTCATAATATACAGGACACGCCACAAACAAATTTTTAGCGTATAGATAACCACCCAACCAAATACTGACTTGCTGTATAAAATTGAGTATAGTTGACTCAATGACAGACCTTTTGATACAGCATTCACACACTAACCATTCGGCCATTAAACCCCCCCACTGTGCAGCACTGTGTTGAGAAGGCTATCACATGACCCTCTTACCTTTCTCTCAACATCTTCAACCATTGATCTAATTTTATCTTTCACTTCCTGTGTCAACAGTTTTAATTGTTTCCCTAAATAATCTAATTCATCATTCTTTCCTCTTCTTACACTCAGTTGTTCTTCACTAAAAATAGAAACATATCAGATAATTAGTACATGTTTAAAGGGTGCATAGCTTAAGAGTTAAAGTTATATGACAAGATTCCTGATATTAACTGTTTATCTATTGTAAATATAAATACAAGTAAAATATGAAACTTACGTAAGTTCTAGACTTCTTATGTACGTGTTTTCCATGACACCACGAACCTCAGATGTTATATTTTTACCCCGAGCTGTATGTTGTTCAAATTTTGTCTGTACCGCCGATTTTGATATACATTCCTTCAAAACAAAGGTACATATAATCAAATTAATAAGGGCAAAAAGCCATGGCATGCTTTTTGCTGATTCAAATTAAAAAATATTAATCTAATCTCTTACTGCTAGAATGCCATATATGGTCAATGTGATTATTGTAGCCTACATGTGCATTACACGTATAATACACCAGTAAATATTTGTCTTAACACAGTCCCAAAACTTCTCAAATAATTAAGAGATAGTAACTATCAGATGTTCTAGATATGATAAGTATACACTGCATTGCACAAGTGGTATCAGGTGTTTAGAGAGAGAGAAATGGGGTTTAAAGTCCATGCGACACAAACTAGGTCATGGTTTTTAATTTTTTATTTCAATAATTCGCTTGCGCGTAGGGGTACTCCTTGTCACGTACAACCGGGGATTCGAAACTACGCCTGTTGACACAATGACAGTCCTTATGATACAGCGCACTTGCTAACCATTCGGCCACCCTCCCCCCCACCCCAAGGTGATTAGAAATGGTAAATACTCATCACTAAATAAAAAGTTGCATCATGGCTGGTTATAGGGTGACCACCTTTGCTTGATCACATTGCAGGACATTTAAAAAAATATATGTTGCTCTAAAACTATATTATTTTCTGTGGCTCTGTGTGTGGCGGAGCTGCTTGTCCCGAACGCTGTAAGCATGAGATTGCGATGGGACTGTCCAGCGCAATGCAGGATTGTGCCATGAAATGCGGAACAGGTGGTCACCCTTTGGCTGGTGCATGAAACCTGTCACTACTTAGAGCTAACAAATGCAAGGATATCAACAAACACTTTGAGAAGTAGCGTACCCTGCCTTGTACATGACACCAAATATTCCAAGTATAATAGTAGATTATCTAACACAGTGAATAGTTAACCAGCAAAATCAGAACTTGAGATATTACTAAATTATAGCTTTAATTTAACTCACCTCAAATTTTCTCTCGAAATTCGCAAATTCAAACATTCTCATATGAAAACCTTCTTGTAAACTACCAGCTATAAAAACACAATGGCAAAATATACAGACTTCTTATTTATATATTTATTCAAATCACTCAGGCTTGTAACAAGCCAAGTCTTGAGCTTATGAAGAGATAGCATCATGAAATAGAGAGAGGGAGAAATGGGGTATAACATCCACTCGAAACAAAATAGGTCATTTTGGGACTAACATATGGTTCAATTTTATTTCAATAATTCGCTTGCGCGTAGCGTAGGGGGCTTTATTTAGCAGTGAGACGAAACTGAAGGACCCGGAGAAAACACACGAGGCTGGCATCATAAAATAATTGGAATTGGAACGGGGTTTAAAGTTTTGTCAACACAACAATTTGGTCATTTTAAGACTAACATAGGGTTATTTTCACTTTTATAGTTACGTCTGCAATGCAAGGATGACAATTTGTGTCTCTTCTTCAAGTTCCAAATGCACATGGATGGACATTTAGTTTTTTGTCCAATCTGAACAACTAGAAACAATTTCTTGTCAACTCTGCAGTTTCCACACCTGAGAAATGAGAACTAAGGTTAAAACATCTGAGGTTATTTTTGGCCAAGCCAAGATAATCTTTAATACTACCACAAGTAAAAACATTATATATGCCCAAAAGAATTTTCTATACACTTACTGGGTGTTGGTGTGCCTTTATCTTCATGTAATCGTGAAACAAGAGCTTCTCGTGCCGATATAAAATATAATCTGTCTTCTGCTTCCTTTTTGTCCACAACTTTCAACTCATCTATTAGAAACTGTAGATTACGATCACTGTGTTGTTTACGAACCTAGAAAATAAATAAACAACACCACTCAATCATCAACGTTTCAAGTCTAAATTGTGAAAGTGGCAGTCCGCCATTTCAATTTTTCACGGCTTCATTGTACTTAAATTGATTATTAAAGATACAATATGTAAGATGTAGATAAAGAGTTGGTCGCTCTTGCTATAATAGTTCGAAAATTGATAATGTAAAATGAATATATTGAAAATTTCATTCCAATTACTCTATTGCAAGTGAAGATATTAGCCTTTGGAGGTTTGACAAGATGTGTACATTAATTAAATCAAAGAAATGTGTACAAGTTGATGATTGTACATATAGGTTAATTTAGACAGTTTATGTTCTGGCAACAAAACCTAGACAGACCGAGTTCATTTATATATCACTCCCAACATTATTCCGCATGGGACAATAAACACACAATCGAATAAATAAATAGATATATAACGAAATATTTATGCCTATTGCATTAGGACTGCTCTATTTAAAAACACCTGATGGAGAAAAAGGTTACTTTTGGAGGTTTTTTGGGGGGTTAAATTGAAACCTGTTGGTTGATGGGGATGTTGAAAACTATTTTTTGCATATCTTGGGTGCCCTACAAAATATGTTGCTTAGATCAATTTCTGGCAATATTTTGTAATTTATTTTCCATAAAAATAATACAGTGCATTTGATTGGCTGAAAAATATCTTACATCATCAGCATCTTCCTCTAACACAGAAACATCCCAACGATTTTGGAGAATAAAAATATTCGGCTTGGACAGACGTTCACTAACTTTGTGGAAGAAATTTTTCTCCTGAAAATAAACAAAATATGTGTTATACTATTTTACAAATTGAGGGCATAAAGTTATCGTTTTTTTAGTTTAAGGGAGAGAGAGAGAGAAATGGGGTTTAACATCCACCTGACACAAACAAGATCATATTGGGACTAACATTTGGTTCAATTCTATTTCAATAATTCGTTTCGCGTAGGGGTCTTTAGAAGTGGGAGGAAACCGCAGGACCCAGAGAAAACCCACGAGGTTGGACAGGCGACCCTACTCCTTGTCATGTACAACCAGGGAATCGAAACCACAACAGTGGACTCAATGACAGACCTTATGATAAAGCGTGCATATGCTAACCATTCGGCCATCCAACCCCCAACCCCCTTCAGTTTAAGAGGGGGGCTTGCTGACATTGTGGCTGGTTGAGCTGTGTAATGCATGGACTTCAGATCATAAGGTCTGTAATTGAGTCAAGTGGCATGGTTTCGATCCTAAGCTTCTACATGACAACCTGTAGCCTTTCAAACCTAGTGGGTTTTCTTCAGGTTCTCCATTTTCCTCCCTTTGCTAAAACAAACCTACAAGCAAACAAATAGCTGAAATAACCTAGTTTGTGTTAAGTGGAAGTTAAAACCCATTGTTTTCTCTCTCTCTAGATTCTGTATATCTTTCTTTATACAATACAGCAGACAATTGTGTATACTAATAGATATACTTACTGTTTGCATTAAGGTTGATTCAGCATTTCCAACCAACACAAAAACATCAGCATCAAGACAATATTTATCTATCCATGAATCTAATTCTTGTGTTACATCAATACCAGGACTGAAATCAACAAAATTAATAATGTGATAATTAAACAAATGTCAGGTGTCAGATTCTATAACTTTTCATGATCCAGTTCGAAAATTGTATTAATTCGTTTAAACAGTATTTTATTCAGGAGAACATTAGTGTTTACAATTTATCATTTAAGTAAGACTATTAAGAGAATATAAGTGAATAGGATGCAGTAACAAGCAAAACTGTATTAATTATGCTACAATGTAAACAATACAAGATTCGAATTCTGTAACTTTTCCAGATTCAGTTGGAAGATTGTATATGATATCTTAGGAATTTACAGATAGAGAAAAAGAAGCATTAGAGGGATTCAAATCCTATTCTTAACATCAAAATTAAAGTATCTGCTAAAACATTTGTTACAATTATAAATTTGTGATAAGCTAGCTGTTTAGAATTGAACACATCTCCATCATGTTATACCAAAGCCCAGTACACTTATTTTTATATCTCAGGGACTGCAGTGACCTTAAACATCAATAATCATATCTACAAGTGTCTACAAATCATACAAACCTATCAACAAATACTACATCTTCTTTTAATAAACGACATTTACTCTTTGGCCATAATATACGAACCAAGGAATTTTCTTCTAATTTTACAGAACTCAAATTATGAGCCAACTGTTTTATAGACTGTAAAAAAAGAACACCAATTATTAAATACTATGTCTAGCCACTGACCGTCATTTGAAGAATTTTTAACCTCTTGCAAAATGCAATATTGTGAAAGTAGAATTTCTCAAAGCAATAGCAATCCAAATATTTTTTTTTCCATACAATATTTTTATTCAGGATGTCTGAATGGGATTGGAGAACTATTTGAATAGCCCAAATATGAATGCAGATCCTCTTGTTAAATACTCCTAATAATTATCATAAATGCTGTCAATTGGTATTGAAAAGAGTCGGCAGTGAGGACAACATAAAAATGCCTCAATCGCCAGGGCAACTGGAATTTGTCGGTTCATAAATTGACATCTATGTCATCGCATTTATTTGAATATTAAAGCATAACATCCTACTTTGCTGCAGTGAAATGAAATGGGGTTGAACATTCTACTGTTCTGCTCCGACCGGGCTAAAGAAGGCGGGCATATGAGGGAAATTTTGCTCCGACAGTGGCGCTTCAGCCTACTCTTATATCGAATTCCAACTGTCACTAATTTGCTGCATCAACCAGCCGAATGAAGACAGGCATATATCATGCACAGTGTGCTATGAAGCAAATTTGGTATGGACTTGAGTGTAACAATTTACAAATAACAAAAGTGTGAGCATCTCTGTTCCATCATAACGACTTACCCCTATGCTCTGAGGTTGATCAGACCCTTCTGTGAGTAGAAAGCCCTCAGAGGAATCAGTTCCTTCAACTTGTATAAAACAGTGAGTTGTATGACCGATTCCACTGGGCATGATCTTGTCACGTAACATGGCATTAATAACAGTACTTTTACCATTTGACGTCCTGGAAATAATCATAGATAAAACATACATAAATTACTGATTACAACAGATTTACGCAGAAATCAATTCAGTTAAATCAAATCTGACGCCTTTACTTGTCAATTTTTGGAAGTGTTCCAAATTTGACACTTATATGGTAACGGAAATTTTTAGAAAATCCCACAAAAAAAATAACAGGGTTTAGTGAGCAAGCATCATACTAACTGAGCCTATATTTTTATATAGCTGTATGCAGACACAATTTCTATGTCAAGCCATATATTTTAACAATAAACTACTTTACCTGCCAAAAAAGGCTACTTTCATTCTATCTCGAGCCAATATTTCCATGATACCATTAACCCTCTGACTGAAACCCTTGACAACACGACAACATTCCTGGCTAATAATATCCTGACCTGATAACACCACATCTAAAATACAATAAATATACTTTATATATGATTTTGTTTTCTTAATTAAATGTTACATAATTAATCTGAATCCATTTTTGCATGGAAAATGCAAATGATGCACAGGGGCTTTGTACTTGATAAAGTCTGCGACAGGTGTCTAATACCCATGCTTGGAGAAAAAAAAACAAATCTAAAATTATCGACTTTATGTTTTTCAAATACCCGAAGCCTACATAAAAACAGGGAAATTCTACTCAAAAATCTGATTTGTTTAATGGCACATTTATTTCTACATCTGTCTTATGTTCATAAACAAAATAATAATTATTTTTTGTTTTACCATCAACAAATTTATCTGTTTCCACAATGTATTCTCCAATTTCTTTAAAAATATCGTTGATTCTTTTCTTTGCTTGACCAAAGAATTGTAGCGCTGACCCTTGGCTGTGTCCATTACCAAGTTGACGACCTCCAGCATCGCCTTGACCCCTCTGAGAATCATCCATTGTAAGTTGTCGGTTCAATACTCCAGACATTTTCTAACTACTCGTTACTATGACTACAGACATTTATATTCTCTTATTAACGTAACTGAAAGAAAAAAAAATTGGTGACTATTGGCTAACCCTGACTTAGTGACTAGAAGTAGAATAAAAATGAAAGAAACCATGTAAAGAGAACTGGTCAATTTCGTCTGAAAGGTGAAGTCAACATAATATTTTATCATTTAGAGACTAAAAGTAAAATACTAATATTGAGGGAGACTACTCTGGATTTGCTCTTCCTCATGGATCTTAAACATACACATGGTCATAGTGACATATGACATAGGGCCTACTGAGGCCACATCTTTTTGTGTCATCAAAAAGGATAGAGCTCTTACAAATCTTTATTCTATTTACATGTGACATCTTTTCATGATTGCTTGACAAAATGTTCCACAATTCCACGACATGGGATATGATGGCTCCCATGAGATGACTCATGTCATGATTTCCGTTAGCTCAATCTGACAACCAGTCCAGTCTGAACCTTCCATACTTACAGAAAATACTTGTAGGCTATACATTTTGATTTGCAATTGTATTGTACTATGCTATGAAATAGGGGACCGAGACCTAATATTTCAATTATTGTATAGGGTTTATAATAATTTTTTTCTACGCTTCTGGATTACCCGATTTTTTTGACCTTGCCATTTCAGAGAAATGCAAGCCATGTAAAACTCATTTCAGTGAAGTACCTAACTTAAAACTTTATTATACCAAACCCTACGATTATTACCTGAATAAATATTAGAATAAAAGTTCTAACGCTAACGTATGATGTCTTACATTCGAAAAATTCTTTACTTTTTACATAACCTCACGTTGTCTGGAAGCCATGATGAAACACAATCGCGGAAATTGTCGCGAGATGTTTAAAGTCTCGATTATCACAGGTGCAAAATGTATAATAAAATCTACCGTCTTGAGAATCGAGACAAAGTAAAAAAAACATAAATAATATTTACAGAGCCGAAAATTATGAAAACTCATAAAAAGTAAAATTTATTGAAATGTATGCGTTAAGAGCATATATCTAAACCATTTCATAGTTAATTATTACTACTGTTAATTGATTATGTCGCAATTTTTAATGTCTGTATAGGATTTCGTCTCGTAAAATTCATATTCGAAATGGCGGGAATTTTAATTTTATAAAGTAAAAGTAGATCACTGCATAATCAAAACAGAACGATCACTTGATTAGGTAACAGGTCCCCGTGGATGTTATTAATGGCTTCCTCGACAATTAATACGAATATTGAAGAGGAATATGAAGACTTAGCTTATAAACAGGTGAATCTGGGTAGGGTGGTAGATATATATGCAGTTGTTCGTCTGTAACACTAACTAACAATGGATGGCGAATTTGTCTTGCTCCGGAACATAGAGATTCTCATTTGAAATAATTTCACATTAACGAGAGAGAGAGAGAGAGAGAGAGAAATGGCGCTTAACGTCCACTCGACATAAACTATTTCATTTCGGGACTAACACATGGTTCAATTTTATTTAAATAATTCGTTTGCCTTTAGGGGTCTTTAGCACTAGCAGTGTGAGGAAACCGGAGGACCCAGAGAAACCCCACAAGGTTGGACAGGCGACCCTACTCCTTGTCACTACAACCGGGGAATCGAAACCACAACCACGCCAGTTGACTCATTGACAGACCTTATGATCAATACAGCGTGCATGTGCTAACCATTCGGCCATCCAACCCCCCAAAATTTCACCTTAAAACATACATAGGTAAATTTATTAGTAATAGAGAATAAATGTATAAATATATTTGAAAAATGCAAAGGAATTGTCATATCCTATGAATCCACTGATTCAGGTTTGTAGCCCTATAAAGTTTAATCCTGAAGAGATAAGATAATTTTATTGTTATAGTCTATGCTATTTTATTTTTCCAGAGAATGAAGGCATCTGTCTATTATACTGTTTTACAGTTGTGTAAAGAAGCTGAGGTCAATATGGAAATCAAAATAAATAAACAAGTAGCAGCAGCCATTGCAGAGACAACATGTAAACAGTTTGAACATTTTGCTGCAGATCTCGAACTGTTTGCTAAGTAAGGCTTCCATATTTAATCTGACAGATCTAGGACTATACATGTATGCTAGATAGGATTTACATAGGGTGACTCAGTAAGCAATTGAGGTCCTGGGTTGGATCTAGGTATTAGTCGAGACCGTTCATCAGGATTTTTCAGCATGGTTCCTCCTTTGTCATTGGTACAGGGCAGATGGCCTGGCAAGAAACATTGTAAAGTTGTTCGAATGGGACGGAAAATCAGTGCCTGCGTACCCACTGGCATGCCCATACATGAACAAGAACCTTTGGTAGTAATACCTAGAGAAGACGAGCGTATTTTTTTGCCCGATCGTGACGATATTTTAAAATCGCTCGAAAAAATCACCTGTGTGCATGATATGTATTCGGCCAAATAAATTACGCCAACGATCGATTCACCGGCATATTCGCTTGCCTGCCCGTGTCCAGTGTATTTGTCGAACAAACCATTTTCATAAGCCAATCAGAGGCATCAATGATATCACGATCTCGAAAGGGCTGCCTTCACTGCTGAAGAGTGGAATCTGACGAAAGAAGAAAAACTGGTGATTCTTTGGTCAGAAAGGCCTTGCCTGCTTGACGTCACAATTCAAGTGATCAACATAATTTACTTACCCCGTTCGTGATCGACTGTAAAAGATCACCACAATCAGGCCAAAAAATACACTCGTCTGCCCATAGCTTAAGAATTTGACAAAGACTAGTCACTAGACCCATTGTCCAGGCCAAATTTCCCTCATAGCATACTGCATGGAGCAGTACCCGGGTTCATGCAGAAAAGTAGGATGTTACATTACATTTCATTTCGGGACTTACATATTTAATCTGACATATCTAATACTATTTGCATATCTACCATAGCAGTTTTGTTGTCATTTTCTATGCCACTTGCATTCTTTTTTTTAAAAAAAATTCTGTTTTTTATTAGACAGTTTGTACTGTATCATTTATTGAACATTATAAAAGATATCATAGCTTATTTTTTTTTATTTTCCAGACATGGAAAGAGAACAACTATAAATACTGATGATGTCAAATTACTTGTCAGAAAAACTCCTAAACTGGTAAAATATTTTAAACTAAGATATTTTTAGTGAGAGAGAGGGAAATGGGGTTTAACATCCACTCGTTACAAACCAGGTCATTTTGGGACTAACATATGGTTCAATTTTATTTTAATAATTTGCTTGTGCGTATTTCTTTAGTAGTGGGAGGAAACCCGAGGACCCGGAGAAAACCCACAAGGTTATATTTTTAGACTGGTCTTCCTGACTGATCAACATGTTTTGTCGTAGTCAAGTATTGCTTGTGACTGCTCTGTGGTTTGGTTTTCTTAATTTAATGTTAAATTATCAATTCAAATACATTTTAGCATGGATAAAATCTTGAAAATTTAATATTTATCTAAAAAATGCAAATGATCTGACGCTTTAACCTAAAGTGATTATATATATTTGAGACAAAGTTTTATTTAATTTTTAGCTGGAACATCTAAATTCAATTCAGGAAGAGAATCCATCAAAAACAGTAAATAAAGGAAAAAAGAAAACTGCTTCAGATAAATCTAAGAAGAAATCAACAACGGTAGACGAGGTGATGACAGTAGAGGAGGTAGATCTTGACCCTGAGATGGACAACACCTGATTACCATAGAATATAAAAACACTGATATAAGTTTAAATTTTGAAATAATGTTGTGTGTATAAACTGTAGGATATCTGGAACATATACAACCTGTTGCATACATTAATGGGACATGCTCTAGTGTAGTGGCTCTTGAACTTCCTGGGACATTTTATAAATCTCTAAAGACGAACCCCAAAATGTGAGAACTTCACAACTTAATGTCGTGTACAAATTGTAGGATATGCTTATCTGGAACACTTCATACAACCTGTCACATGCATTAATGGGACATGCTCTAGTACAGTGGATCTCAACATTTTTTCCACTCTCGAACACCTTGCGACGAAGGAGTGTAGTGTATATCTGAAACACTTCTTGCAAACTGTCACACGCCTTAATGGGACATGCTCTAGTGGCAGTGGCTATCAAAGTTTTTTCACTCGTGAACCCCTTGGACAAAATTTTCAAATCACTAAAAACAAGACCCCCCTCTCCCCTTATGTGAGAACTTTAAATTAGTGTTGTGTATACATAGAATATGCTTATCTGGAACACTTCATACAACCTGTCACATGTGTTAAAAGGACATGTTCTAGTGTGGTTATCTCAACATTTTTCCACTCATGAATCCCCTGGGACATTTTACAAATCTCTGAAGATTAGTGTTGTGTTTGAATCATAGGATATGCTTATCTAAAACACCTAATACAACTTGTCACATGCATTAATGGGACATGCTGTGGCTTCCAACAATTTTCCACTCACAAAGCTCCGCCCTTGTGTGAGATTTTCATGCAACCTGTCACATGTCTTAATGGGACATGCTCTGTGGCTCTCACCCTTTTTTTCCTTATACAAACTAAGTTCATCAGATATAAATAAACCTCACACTGTGTTGACTTTTATATGGTCTAATCATTTGCTGTAGAAGCAGTCTGATCAAGAGTAGAACACCCAATACCAGTTAATTCACATGGGGAGTTCACACAACCATCAATTGTTGTTATATTTATTTAATATCTGTACAAATAAACAATGGTATAATGTTATATAAATGATTAAGAATGCTGTTTGGCTTGAATAAAGACACTGTTTTATTTTAATTATACTAGTATAAATCTATACTTTAATACTTGTATTTTGACAAGTTTTAAACAAAGGCACATTCTAATAATACTAAACTATTAAACATCTCTCAGGGAGGTTACTCCTGTGCGTATAGAGAGAGAAATGGGTTTTAATGTCCACTCAACATACTCTAGGTTATTTCAGGACTAACATGGTATAATTGTATTTCAATAATTTGCTTGCTCGTAGGGGTCATTAGCAGTGGGAGTACCCATGAGATGGACAGGCGACCATAATCCTTGCCATGTACAAGCTTGGGATCAAAACCACGCCACTTGGCTCTATGACAGACCTTATGATCTAAAGACCATGCGACCACCAAAACCCCCCTCTTCTAAGTATAAAGGTATCTGTACATTGCTTGAGAGTAAACAAACGTAGAGAGTCTAATGTGGGTACACTTCCGTCATCTAACTCGATATGAGACTAACAAGGAAACTAATTGTCTGTGGCACAATGTATAGGAGGAGAACTTTGTTCAGACAGTATCTCCACCAACTATTTCGAGTTTCAACTGTGAAGGGATCAGTCATTACCCCTGACAAGCTGGAACCTGGCATAAACCTATGACATTATTATCCTTTACGTAAAACCTGAGTGATTCTACTTAGTATGATTAAGATACACCACTTCAGTATGATTAAGATACACCACTTCAGTATGATTAAGATACACCACTATTCAGTATTGTTTAATGGTCGAGAGCAAGACATTAAGTAATATATTGAAACAACAAGAGGGCCGTAGTTTTTTTTACAATATATTACGCAATGTCATAAGCTTGAGACCATTAAACGACATAAAATACAGACACTCGGCACGTGCTTTTACAAAAAAATACGTCACACGAGTCCAATATTTCACTAGTATAAATAATGTACGATTGGCAAGTTGCCTGTACGATTATTTGAATAATGGTACGCCAACATCAAAGGGTGACGTACATCTGTATTTTAAGTATGATTAAGATACACCACTATTCAGTATGATTAAGAAGTCTTTCCTGATACACCACTCTCAATTTGTTGCCATGTTTTGTTTTTTTTAATGATTTATGACAATTCAGATCAATATGAAAGTTATGAAGACATAGAGCACTAGTTTGAAATGTTCTCAGATCAACAATATTCCACATCAAGACTTTTTACCCAAAATATTGGCTATTCTACGTCTATTTTGAGCTACGCTACCACCTTGCAATTTTCCCGAAGGTTTTGCAACGTCACCTTTATAGCCTAAGTTAAGATTACTGGATGATATGTCTTTATTTGATTCGTCGGGTGATGTTTTTATATGTTCTGTGATCTGTATATCTGAATGCGAAGTAACACTCGATATGCTGCCTCGTTTTGGTGGAGTTGATAAAGATGACCTTCGACCTGCAGCTGAATAACCACCTGGAAAAAGAAACAATAAATCAAAATATGCAAGGCCCTGGAGTCATTTCACAAAGAATACGGAGAAATAACACATAATCTATGGATACCTATTAAATAAACCTTAGTAATTGTTATCCATAAATAGTGTGTTATTTGAGTATTTGCCCATGCATTTTCTTATTCTTATTTCTTAGTTTCATAGTTTAACTTTTAGAATAAATTTCTCATGGGTTAAAGAATACATTTATTTATCAAAATGGAACTGGTTCTGATTAAAGCAGTACATGACAAAACGAATTATTCATGGGAGAGAAACGGAATGGAATGGGAGTATAATATCTGGTCATCACGAGGGGCATTATATATGATTTAGATAAAGAGCTGGCTGTTCTTGCTATACTATTTCAAAAAGAGATAATACAACATGAATATAATGAAGATTTCATTCAAATTATTTTATTTTGAGAGAAGTTATCAATAGTTGTAGTTTTGATAAGATGTTTGCATTGATCGTAACCACCTTACTGGTCAGAGCCATCCAATGGCATTAACAGTTGATTATGGTCTTGTCATGTTATTAAATGTTTAAGGCCCAAAGAAAGGCCTGCAATAGGAAGGTTTAGTTCTTGCATAATGCCTGTTTAAGTCACTTCTTATTACACATTTCTATAGCTCACAATTCCCACATAAATGTGCTCATGTGTCCTTTACATAGTAACATTCTAATTTATTTTATTTCTATCGTTACATGAACAATGCAAGGGTGGGGGTGGGGGGGAGAGAATTTGCCTAGACAGTGGCATTTCAGTCTTTCTTCAACAGATCTTTTACTTGCATTACCAATTTGTTCAATGGACCCCCTATCATTGTCCGCCAGCGGAGACTCGCTGGGAAAACATTCCAAATAATGTTGATGTTATATATATGTTTATACCTGCAGGCTTTTTTAATTGTAACAATTCCTGCCTGGCGTCACTTAAAGCCTCGGTTAATTCAAATCTTTCTTCACATTCTTTACGAACAGTATCTTGTAAAAACTGAATCTGTAATAACAAAAAATGACCCAGTTATCAACATCCCACGTTATGGGACGTGTTTTGGAAAGTACAACTGCATAGGGATATACAATCTCCTTATCATTGGCAATCACCGACCGAAGTTTCATAGCTATATCTTGAACAATTTATGACATAAGGCTTGGGATTAATAATAGCTACCAAAATCTAAGTCAAATTTGTTTCCATGGAAACACAAAATTGATTACAACTATAATATACTATTCAAAAAAAGTAGGGATATTTGATTTTGGGGGCATAATACTAAAATATGCAAATGACTACGAAAAAAGTCACTATAGAACCTAACAGAAGAAACATTTCCAGTTACATGTGACGCCCAAACACACCAATAGCTACCGCATGGAATGCAGGTGATGCTTGGGATCATCATGGGGGTCCAACCCAAGATTTGCACGACTCTGACTTTGAATGTTACAGTCATTGTGGCATTGAATTCCAGGGTGGAAACATCAGTTTAATTGTTTTAGTGACCAGAAAACAAATTTTGATATGCGTCGGCTTACCCAAAATGAAAGGTTACGTGCCCTTGGCATGCTACAGATCGGCACAACACAGGCGGTTGTGGCGCGGACGATGAATGTTTCTCAGTCTGTCATAAGCAGGCTATGGTCCAGATACCGTGATACACAATCTGTACAGGACAGACCACGCTCAGGTCGACCAAGGGCGACAACTCAAGCCCAGGATCGATTTATCCGTACCTTGGCCTTGAGAAATCGTGTCATCACAGCAAATCAGATCAGCGCTCGTCTTCAAACAGACACTGGTGTGAGAGTGAGTGGCCAGACGATTCGGAATCGACTGCATAGGGGTCACCTTCGCGCCCGACGTCCTCGCGTGATCCCTTGTTTGAGAGATCATCACATTCAGGCAAGACGTCGTTGGTGTAGGGATCGTCAACACTGGGATAATCGACGCTGGAGCAATGTGATGTTTTCAGATGAGTCAAGGTTCACTTTTGATTTTTTGGACAGACGTAGGAGGGTGTGGCGTCGTCGAAATGAGTGCTTCCAAGACGTTAACGTCATCAGACATGATCGATTTGGGGGTGGTTCTGTTATGGTGTGGGGAGGCATCACTGTTGCTGGAAGAACGGCTTTACATGTTGTTGCAGGGCGTGTTACAGGCCAGTACTACCGGGACAACATCTTGGCAGTCCATGTTGTGCCGTTCGCACGACGTCATGGCCGCCGTTTCATCTTCCAGGATGACAACGCAAGATGTCACAGGGCCAGGATCGTTACAGGTTACCTCCAACAACAGAACATCACCACATTACCTTGGCCAGCACTGAGTCCCGACCTCTTCCCCATCGAGCATGTCTGGGACATGCTTGGACAGAGGTTACGTCAACGTCAACAACGTCCTGCCAATGTCCAAGAACTTGCTGCTGCGTTGCAACAGGAATGGGACAATCTGGACCAAAATGACCTTAGACGTCCCATTAGGAGTATGCCACGTCGGATCAATGCTTGTTTGGCAAACAGAGGAGGATTTACCCGTTACTGACTTGGTTGTGATGCTGTGGTAACTTTGCTGTTTGACCCCGGGTATCATTTTACCCTTATAATGGTCAGTCTGTGCTTTACTTAGTCTAACGATCATTTGGAATAAATCGATGAATGTGAACTTCATTTCATTTTGTCATTTGTTTCTTCGTCAGTTTCATTAGGTGACTTTAATAACACTTAAAAATCAAATATCCCCTACTTTTTTTGAATAGTATAGGTTGATATACATACAAAGTTTCACAAAGATTTCTTGAAAAGTTTATGAGAGAGAGAAATGGGGTTTAACGTCCACTTGACAAAACCTGGTCATTTCGGGGCCGACATATGATTCAATTTCATTTCAATAATTCGCTTGTGTGTAGGAGTCTTTAGCAGTGGGAGGACCCAGCGAAATCCCCCCTCAACCCCCCCCCCCCCGATGTTGGACAGACAACCCTACTCCTTGTCACGTACAACCGAGCAATCGAAACCATGCCAGTTGACTCAATGACAGACCTTATGATACAACGCGCACGTGTTAACCTTTGGGCCATCAACACCCCCCCCCCCCCCACCCGAAATTTTTTTTTTTTAAAAGATATGCTCCACAATCAAAACCATGACAGATGCATGAAGTCCATTTCAATGGTCCTGAACCCACACTCTATTTTTGCCATTTTCTTTCTCAAAAATTACTGAAATATATTCCCAATCCCTATCCCTCACAGATTATTCAAAAAGAACAGGCCTGGGGTATAAAAGTATCTTTGACAAACCTCTTGTTTGGAGTTTTTCAAGTTTTCTGCCATCTTGTTCATATCAGTGATTGTATCCTCTAGTTCAGATTTAGTGTGTCGTAGTTGAGTTTTTAACTCAGCTATATTTTTAGAATCACCCAAATCAGCGTTAAGTTTGCCTACATAGAAAAAAATAACGAAAAATAACTATCTTTAATTTCTATTTATTATACTAGGTATAGAAATGAAATGAAATGAAGTTTAATGTCTTGTTTCTGCACCAACCATACGCCATGCAGGGAAATTTTGCCTATTGGCCTACACAAGAACTATTAATTTGACTGGTTAAAATTTGGTAGATCTCACAAGAACTCCTATTAATTTGACTGGTTATAATTTGGTCGATGTCACTAGAACTCCTATTAATTTGACTGGTTATAATTTGGTCGATGTCACAAGAACTCCTATTAATTTGGGGAGAAGTGAGTAAGACACTGGCTTGCTAGTCTGGAGGTTGCAAGCTCATCAGGTTTTTCCGACGTGGTTTCCCCTTGTCAGTGGTGCAGGACGGAGGAACTGACAAGGACAGCTGTCTAGTCATTTGGATGTACACATTGGCGTGCATGTAAAAGATCTCTTGGCAGTTGGAAATCGATACAAGAGTAGCGCCGCTGTCTGGGCAAAATTTGACTCATAGCACATGCCCGTTTTCATTAGCCCAATCAGAGCAAAACAGTAGGACGTTAAAGCCCATTTCATTTCCCATTAATTTGCGTTTTCAATTCGGTCCATGATGTCACCAGAGATCTTGGTCCGATGATGTAAATTTTGTGGAATGCCAGTAGATTTTTAATAAGTATGTATCGTGTAGGCTAGGTCAGGGCCAGAGGTCAAGGGTTAAATGATAAGAAAGAATAAACAAAGAAAGTTTACCTAATCTGTTTTCCAAATCTCGTATAATATCTTTTAAACTGGTTATTTCACGTTTTAATTCGTCTTCTCTGTCCGTAGATGCTCGTCTGACATCTATAATTTGCTTTTTCAGTTGCGATATTTCAGTAGAATATTTATTCTCAATCTCGCTTAATTCTCCCTTTAACTGAAATATATAATCACTTTATTTACTTGTCACTTATACCTGTTGTACCTGGCAAAATGTCAAGAACTACTGAATTATTACCTGACATTGCGCCAGATATAAATATTATTTAAAACTCTACAAATAGAAAGGAAATGACTGGGCTAATGAAGACTGGCATACACCAAACAGTGTGTTATCAGGGAAATTTTGCTCAGACAGCGGCGCCATACGGCCTACTCTTATTTAGGATTCCACCTGTCATGGGTTCTTTTACGTACACGCCAATGTGTACACAGGACCTCGGTTTTCTGTGCCATTCGAACGACTAGACAGCTGTCCTTGCCAGGCTCTCTGCCTGCAACCAACCAGGGAACTGTCTCAACCAACACCGGGATCGAAACTTGGATCTCCTGGCCAGCGCCACACCCCTGAGCCACTGTAGCTTCGTACACAACAAACATACAAATCTGTGCCGACGAAATGACAAGTTATGGCAGACCAAGTCTGATTTTGCGCTTGACAACGTCTGTGAGAGATGCCTTATTTACAGAATTGACTGTTGGTCTCTTTAATTAATCACACAACGAATCGTGTAAAGTTTTCTTTTGCTCTAACCCAAACTAAACTCAAAATTTCATTCATGTTTTCACCATAAAGATGTACCCGGTATTTGTCATAAACAAATGATTATTCGAGGATGTCAGATGATGTTTATAATTAACATCTACAATATTAACATACCCTGATTTCTTTGTCTTTACTAACAGTCTGATATTTAGACATTAATTCTTTATATTTCTCCTTCTCTATCTGTAATTCCTGTAAATAATAATAATAACTTTGTTCTAACTAAATAAAATGAAATGAAGGTTTAACGTCCTACCATTCTGCTCCGACTGGGCTAATGAAGATGGGCATACACTGTCAAGGGATCTTTTATGTGCATGCCAATGTGTACATGGAACCTCGGTTTTTTGTCCCATCAAAATGACTAGACAGCTGTCTTTGTCAGGTGCTCCGTCCTGCACCACTTTCAAGGGGAGACCACGCCGGAAAATCTCAAACTTCTTGGCTAACACTGGGAGCGAACCCGCGACATCCAGGCTAGCAAGCCAGCATCTTACTAACTTAGCCACCGTGGCTCCCAATTATAAATAATGATAATATCTTTTTCTGAATATAATAATGATGATATCTCTTTCCTAACTGTAATAATAATAATAACACTATATTTTTTCTAACAGTAATAATAAAAATAATGCACCAGAAGGACATTATGGTGCAGTTTGAAGTAAAAGTGTTTCACTATACACTGATCTAGTCAGCCAAGCCCATCAGGAGCATTATAATTAAGTAATATAGTGGGGATGCTCAATTGTCAGTCCAGAATGTTTTGAATTGACAGAATTACAATCGTGTGACACAGAATTTAGTCCTATCACAGTTCTGTTAGTCCCGAAAACTGAGGTGGTGTGAATAGAATCGTGATGTAATTAAACACAACGAATATGTTTCAGCTGTTATGGTTGGTTGAGATATTTTCTCATGCGGTCGATGCATGCGTTCTAGCCTCCCAATTCTTATTTTCACCCCATTGTCACTATTTTGGGGTTCGATAGAACTCAATGGTCAATCGAACATCCCTAGTGTCATGTCATGTTTACCCATTATTATTATTCCCCTTAGAATACTTTCGATCCAGTGATCTAGCAAACAATAATCTATCAATGAGTACTACTATCGTTAAATTATTGGTCAATCAAAAGGCATGTGTTCTGCGAGTATACTGCATCTATATCATACAAACAAATTTTTTTTTTTAACCATTGTATAAAATGCAGACTCACCATAACAAAGTTTTCTTTAAGTTTATCTTCTAACATTTTCAGATCGTGTTCATGTTTTATTTTCTCCTGTTTGATGGCGGCATCCAGCTGTAAATACATATGTATATTATACAAACCATTTTATCCTCTGTTTGAAATTGGAACAGAGGTGCCGTTTAGATCATAATGTCTGTAATTGAGGTTACTGATGATCAGATCTAAATATTAAGGCCACCTGCAGATTTTGTCAAGGTCACGAGATGTAAACAAGGTTAGGGTATGTGATTATTGTTGAGGATTGTGTTTAGGGTAAGGGTTAGGGTTGGTGCTAACCTTGTTTACATCTTGTGACCTAGACAAAATCTGCAGGAGGCCTTAATAATTAGATCTAAATGGTTATTGATTCAAGTGGAATGGCTTCAATCTCAGGAATGTATGTGACAAGGATAGGGTTACCTATTGTCTCCTCTGTTTGAAATTGGGACAGGTGTCTGTCACAATCAGGTCAGGAGAGGGTTGCCTCCCATTACTAAAAAAACCCTACACCCGATAAAATTAATGAAATAACATTGTTACTAAAAAACCTAGTTTGAGTTTGGGAGACAGTAACCCTAATTTCTCTATTTCAACCCTAAAACTGCTAAAGAACAAATCAAAACAATCATATTTACTTTTTCTGGCCACTTGTCCATTTCTGCCATTTTCTTTTTAAAACTTTCACGTAAATCTTCAATACGATTCTGATGAGCAGAAATCATTAATTCTCTGAAATAAATACATTTTTTAAACCAATCAAAGTATATTATATACAATACATGGATTTAACTGTGAAGCTTGAGCGTAAACATAACCCATAGACTTACAATCATGTTTCTTCTGCAAGTCTCCTCGTAGTGGAATTTTCGGTACTTTGTCTCAAATTATTTAAAGTCGCTGATCCCGACAATGCATTTATGGGATGATATCTAATTTCTCACAGCTTCATCCATATTAAAATGTACTCATATAGATTATTTAACATTTAATTAAGAAAAAAATGTCCCGGCTTGGATTCAAGTGTTTTACCCAACACTTTAATAAATACTGAATGGTATTCAACCATTTTTTTTCGATGGATATTCTATTTAGAGATTCAAATTTCACAATATTGTAGTTTGCAGGGGATTCAAATTCAGCAACTCTAAATTACTAATGCTGTATACAACTGAATTGGAATCTATATATTAAGTTCTATGTTCATGTGGGGAGGGGGGCATGGCCGAACATTGTGTCAACTGGCGTGGTTTCGATTCCCTGTCCATCCTCGTGAGTTTTCTCTGGGTTCTCCGGTTTCCTCACACTGCTAAAGACCCCTACGCGCAAACAAATTATTGAAATAAAATTGAACCATATGTTAGTCCCAAAATGACCTAGTTTGTGTCGAGTGGACGTTAAAACCCATTTCTCTCTCACTCTCTATGTTTCATATAAGATTCTATGTGCCTCGTTTGAACATGAATAAATTAAGTATATACAAAAAAATATTATACCTCTCGGCTTTCAATGCATCTGAGTCTTTCTTAACTCGAGTTAATTGATCACGTAGTTGTTGTGTTTCATCTACAAATAATCAAATATTATTTATATTAAAAAGTATAGAAGAGTCTTTAAATAATGTTATATTATTTGTACACTTACATTGAAAATAGTAACTGTCTTGTCTTTCATTTTTCAACAGTCGGATCAAGGAACAGTGACTTGTCATTTGGATGGGACAAAAAATTGAGGCCCCATGTGCATGTAAAAGAACCCTTGACAATTGGAATTGATGAAGAGTAGGTGGAAACGTCATTGTCTGGTCAAAATTTCACTCAAGCGTCAAATTAGACATTCCTAACAGTACTTTTAAACTGATATTCCTTTTTATAGTGATTCAATTTTCAGAATATTGAACTTTGCAAGGGATTCCTCAATCCCTTCAATGATGTTCACAGATTTTAATAACAATATCGCTACTTTTAATATTTCAACATCATCTTGCTTACTTATAGAAAAAGCTGATTTTTCTGACATCTCCGCCTCCTTCCTCTGCTGTTCATGATATTTACTTTCTAATTTCTTTAATTCATCATGAACTTTACATAAACCAGTCTCCTTCTCTTTTAACTCACTTTGTAGTCTGAAATATTTAAGGAAATAAAAAATTCATGGGTTAAATTATTAACAAATTCAGTACATATTTTTTTACAAAACCATTTCCTATATGTAAAATATCTTCCATCTGTAAAATATATAAGTGTATATATATATATATAGGTACCCCACTTAGTGCCCCATTATACCAGAATAAAAGGTTAAAAATATGTAGAGTTTGAGGCAGTACACAAAAGTACTTTTATTTTAAAATTCTGGTATAAGTTATTCAAATCAATCAATTATTACTAAATGACATCAAATTGGGTTTAACGTCCTACGCACTGTTCTGCTCCAACTGGGCTAATAAAGATAGGAATTCTGACTAAAGCTACAGCAAATTGAAATGGGGTTTAACGTCCTACTGTTCTGCTCTGACAGGGTTAATGAAGATGGGAATTCTTACTAAAGCTACCGACATTTAAAGTTACATTCATTTATATTGATTTCATACCGCCATCTTTATATGCCTTAAACTACAGTAATAATAATTCTGCTATCTTATTCATACAAGCTAGCCTTTGTAAAATGAGATGTGCTTAATTATAGAATAAAAGTCTAACTCCCACATAAAAGGCGTGTCATTTTTACATGTATCTGAAAAGTGAAAATTATATACTATTTTAAAAGTCTGACTCTTTACATTAAAGGGGTAGATGTATTTGAATTTAATGAGATCAGTGAAAGTACATACAGTACACCAGTATATATTTTTACCTATTAATGGTATCTTGTGTTTGTTGTTCTTTATGTTTTTGCTGTTGAATTAAATTATTCCTTTCTTCTGATTTACTCCTAAAAAAATATTAAGGTCACATAAATTAGTAAAAAGATTAAAAATTTGAAAAAAACCCAACAACTTTACCAGCTATTCAACACTTTTCAGTACCTATCATCTTTCAGTTTTGAAATATCTTTAACAAGTCTTTGTGTGGCTATTTATTTATCAAGTTCCACCCCCCCACCCTACAAAAAAAAAAAAAAAAAATTCTATTAGTTTGGCCAAATTATATTCCATAATAGCTTACAAACATGCACTGAATAAAACAAGTAATTTGTCAATATCACAAAACAGTCACAAGCTCCCATACAGTATTTTGTTAATCTGACTGAAATTGTGTCAATTATCATTATTTAATGAGCTAATCAGGTCAGGTGATTTTGTTACTTGTCAATCAAATGAAATGTGGTTTAACGTCCTATTTTTCTGCACCAATCGGGATAATGAAGACAGGTATGTTATGTGCTATGAGGGCAATTTTGCCTGGAAATTAGCGTTTCAACCTACTCTTGCCGAATTCCAGCAGCCAAGACTTATCTTATTTACAATCCAATGTGTACACGTTCATCGCATCGAGTATGACTAGACACTGTTCCTTGCCACCAGACCCTCCGCCTTGCACCCTTGACAAGAGGTAATCAGGCTTTAAAATACTGAGCAAATTGATTAGCCAGCATCAGGATCAAACCTGGTACGTCCTGGTTAATGTGTCAACTCCCACTTTCGTCACTGAGCCACCTTGACTTCACTTGTCAATCAAAGCTACAATAAAGCGTAATAACATGTCATCAAGCAAGAAGGTGTGAATCTTACTTGATCTGATCTTTATATTGTTGACATTCAAGTGATATTGTACGATTCTGTGCGGACAAACTTGACATTTCCTCTTCTAACTCTGAAACAAATAAACAATATTAGGCTGACCTTAAAAATATCTTTGTTTCGCCTAACGCGACCGACTAACTAAAACCACCCCCGACTTAAATTATTTTATTGCACTTTTCCACGATCTTTTTATTTTATTTTGTGTGTCAACCTGAAATATATCATGAGAGTTATTTCCCTATACTATGGCTATGGTTTGATTCATTATTGAAACTGGTTGATCAAGACGAAAGCGTCATAGGTGTCGCTTCTCAACAAAATGGTTGCAGACGAATACACGTCCATTCCCACGAAATAATTCTGCCTCTATGTCTGTGGTGCGTAGTTTTAAACATGACGACGATATTTTCAATATCCGTTTTCGAGAAAAATGAAAGCACAACGCGCACTATCGTTAAAAACGTGTTGAAGGAGTTTCACACTTCAAGTTCGTGGCTAATCGTATGCGAGTCGGGCATCACGAAAAATCCCGATGTCATTGATTTGTTTGCCAATAAAGAAGACGAATGTTTCCACCCGGAAAATTATTAAGCTGTCAAATTAGCTCTTAAGTTTAATAAAAACTTTCAGTTCGTTACTTTTTACGTCAGACCCCAAATTCATTAAACAAAATTAATGAATCTGTAGTATACAGCTAATAAGTTTTCTGTATTGATTTCTCTGACTTTAAAAAAAAATCTGAAAAAAAAACCGACCTACCGACCCTTCTCCTTGATTGTGGGTCGGGTTTGGTGAAACAAAGATATTTTTAAGGTCAGCCTTATACAGATACACGACTATCATTTTAAAAAATATGTCAAGTTTGATCGTTATTGTAATTTATGAATCTAGTCTTAATTGTTTTAACATATAAAAGTGATAAATTTAACTTTAATTGTTGTGTACGGCGCAGTGGATGTTTACGGCTAGCACCCCGGATTCATTCACATCATCCGATATATGGGTCATTGGAAGTCAAATCACTCAATCTAATAAACTCCTTTGATTTTGCTGAAATTTGGTTTATATTCTTATTTTACATGTAAAAGCTGGTATTTCAAATTCTAGCTTGAGATATGGCCCATTAAAATTTTGACGTGGCTGCCATTATTCAAATGCCCTTAGCTCAGTAATCGATCTATGCTATCACAACCTTGTTTCCCCTTATCACTCTTTTTTCATTTTCGAACACACCCTTCCCCAAATACCAATTTTTCGTCATCTACCCCTTTGGTCTTCTCATCCCCACCCCCGGAGAGAGAGAGAGAAATGGAGTTTAACGTCTACTCGACACAAACTAGGTCATTTCGGGACTAACATATGGTTTAATTTTATTTCAATAATTCGCTTGCGCATAGGGGTCTTTAGCAGTGGGAGGAAACCGGAGGACCCGGAGAAAACCCTTGAGGTTGGACAGGCGACCCTACTCCTTGTCACGTACAACCGGGGATTTGAAACCACGCCAGTCGACTCAATGACAGACTCTATGATACAGCGCGCGCACGCTAACCATTTAGACATCCACCCCACCCCCACCCCCGGAACCACTGTGTCAGACCAATCGGCCACCCAAGCACCCATCAAATGAATAAACAACAAATATAAAGCATACTATTATGAGCATGTTGTAAATCTGTCAGACGTGTTGTGAGTATCTCATATTCTGTCTGTAACGATTTTAATCTCTCTACATCTGTTTCCTGCGATTTCAGTCGACTTGTCAAAGAAGCTGTGGATTGTGACATCATCATCTTCTCCATCTCCACGCATTGTAGCTTAGATCTTAAACTTTCGTTATCTGAAATTAAAAATGTTAGAGTTAAGAAATCCATACCAAAACTGTTTCTCAATAAGATGGATCAATGTGAAGGTATGTCAGCCATTTTCCATGATTAAAGTATGTTACATTGTTGAACTAAAATACTGTATTCAACCTAAACACCTATAAATGAAATAAGGGGAGTTGGGTTGCCAAATGGTTAATGTGTGTGGGTTGGATGGTAAGGTCTGTCATTGAGTCAAGTGGCATGGTTTCGATTCCACACTTGTACGTGACAAGGAGTAGAGTCGCCTGTCTAACCTCATGGGTTTTCTCCAGGTCCTCCAACCTCATGGGCTCTCTCTCTCTCTCTCTCTCTCTCTCTCTCTCTCTCTCCCCCTCTCTCTCTCTCTCTCTCTCTCTCTCTGGATTACTTTTCCCAACCAAGCAGCTAAATCAGTGTGCTATGGAGGAGATGCTACAGCCTGTTTTTATTTTGTCAGGGGATCTTGAATGTTCTGCCAATGGCATATACACGGGACCTCGATTTTTTGTCCCATTCAAACAACTAGATGCTTTTTCCTGCCATGCCCTATCAAGCTCCACTGACAAATAGAAACCATGTTGGAAAAGTCCAAAGGAACAACGGGATCAAATGTTCAATGCCTACTCAGCACTTATTTTAATAACATTGAAAGGCAATCTAGAGGATCATTTTGCCAGGGCAGCTGCATCTGTTCTATGTGTTGTAATATTATCTTGTATGAATTGATATAATTACGTACCATTCTGTTGTTCTGTAATCCGACTGGTTATATCAGTCAGTAGTTTCTTCAGTTCATCTTTTGTCTGTTTCTCTCGCTGTAATAAAAACTTCCGAACCTCTTCAATATCTGATTTGTGTTGTTTTATTTCATTCAAAATGGCTGGCATCTGTTTTAATACATCTTCATATTTAGCACTAAAATAACAGAGATTATATTCATTAACCATATAACGAAAATAAAAACATGAAATCTTTATTTTTGAGGGGGGAGGGGGGTCTAAGATCATTAAATAAGTGTTCATCATAAATTATTTTCTCCTATTTGGGTTAAAACCTCTTTATAACACTTAATAGTAACTGCCTAGTCATTCGGATGGGACAAAAAATTTGCATGCCCGTAAAAGCAGTTGGATTTCGAGGACGGATTATATACGTGGACACACCAATGCTGGACAAAATTTTCTCGTTTTCATTCTGTCACCATAGAAATTAAATTATTAGGGTTAGTCCCAAAATAACAAAAGTATTGTGTTGACAAGACTTGAAACCCCATGCCATGTAATAATAACAATAAGTATTTTACCACTGATTTTTACTGTTATTAAGTAATGTCTTTATTTCAGTATTCTGTTTATTCAACTGTTCTGTTAAATCTTTCTCACATTTTAAATTCACATCAAATGAAGAAATTCTGAAATAATATTAGATTTGTAGGCTATAAGTGTAACCTATATCAAATAATCTTAGATCTGTATAACTTGTAGGCCTAGATTCAATAAATATTCTCAAACTATTAACTAGCAAATCATGGTACACATTTTGGCTCATATTCTCATGCTTGGACTCAAATAGGCCTATGCATCGGGATAGCCGAATGGTTAGCGTGTGCGTGTTGTATCATAAGGTCTGTCATTCAGTCAACTGGCGTGGTTTCGAATCCCTGGTTGTGTGACAAGGAGTAGGGTCGCCTGTCCAACCTAGTAGTGGGTTTTCTCCAGGTCCTCCAGTTTCCTAACACTGCTAAAGATTCCTACACGCAAGCGAATTATTGAAATAAAATTGAACCATATATTAGTCTCGAAATGACCTAGTTTGTGTCAATTGGAAGTTAAACCACACTTCTCCCTCCCTTTTGTTTCATTTTACTACCTTTTCATAAGCCCAAGATTTGACTTGTTACAAGTCTGTACTTTCATCTAAGTAATAGGAAGGAAATCTCTAGAAAGGCTTTTAATATAATTTTTCATACAGTACCTGAGAACTGGTCCATCTGTTGCTCCATATTTGTTCACTGTTTTTATATAATTCCTTGCAAGGGAGCATTTCAACAACACCAACTTTATCAATAGTATAAATCATTTTTCAGTGTTGTATTTCTTATTTATTTATATATATTTCTCTTTCATTAATATCAAATAAGTCTGAATACTTACTCTGATTCTTTATACTTTAGGGTTTGTTCTAATTCAGATTTAGCGGATTTTAATTCCTCTAATTCTATCTTTAATTCTTTCTCTCTTTCCATCGAACCTTTATAATGTTCCAACTCCTTCTCAGTAGCTTTCAATCGTTCTTCCAGCTTTTTTATTTCATTATGAATGAGGTAACTGACACCACAAAAATGGCAGACTGTTTCATCACGCGACATTTTCTTAATCTCCTCTGGTAATGGATGCTGGGGTGTGAACCGTTCTAATTTTTCAGTCTCGGACATTGTGGATTCTAAATTAAATTACTGGTACTCACAGAAATAATATTCCTGGAAAAAAAACAACAAAAAAACAATCTGATTAAAACATAGATATTTCTTTTCGTTTATTACTGGCGTTCTGATTGAAGGGAGGGATTAGCCAATGAAACGGTCTGTTGTGGCAAGTTATTGCCATTTGATGCACAGAACTCAAGCCACGAAATTCACGCGAACGATACCAATCGGTTACGTGCGGTCGAGCCACCTCAAAAACATGCGACCGATTTCTTGGTTACGCAAATTGAAATATCGGTTACGTTAACAAATTTCATTAACAGATGTATTCATATTTGATTAATTTTTATACAGGATGACTTGTGACACAGGTCTAAATTATTTGTATTATAGCATAAACTCCATTCATTCATTCTTGGCATTTCATTTCTCCATCTTACCGGTACTTTGACAGATCACATATTTTGACACCACGTAGGCTATTGACCAGTTGCAAGCAGGTAGATTTAAAAATGCCCCTCACCCCTAATTCTTTAAATGATTAGTTATGCCATAAATATTTGAAAGCGTACCTTTGGATTTTCAAACACTAAATGAGAAATGAGTTTGACTTTTTAACATGTCGGCTATATTTCCAAAGAATTTACTACACATGTTCCTTTCAATTTTCACTATAGCCATGCTGTAGTACCAATGACCCGTATGTATGTCGTCAACTTTGACCCCCTCCCCGGCATTGCTCGAGCGATAATGTAAACGATTTTACTGCCCTGTCTATTTTAATATTATTTCATGACATCAAACTATTCTGTTTCCTTTTGAGACTTTGTGTATAGAGTGCCGAGGTTTATAAATCAATCAGTCGCTACCTATGAGTGAGGCTATCTCATGCTACGTGCTTGGATGAATGATTGCAAGTGACAAGTGTAATTATGAAGTACGCATGTAGTCTTCAGTGACCGAAAACAATGTGGTAGCTATCATTCCTGATATGATACAAAAACGAAAATCCTTTAGTGTTTTTTAGAACCGATTCCCCTCATTATTAAAATGTATAGGGATTTTGTGAAGTGGAATATTGTTTTTCTAACGTTTTGTTTTTTAAATGGGGACACAGTGGGATTTAAGTCATAAACACTTAACCTCAAAATATAATATTATATATAAAAGAATATAAATTAGTCAAGTTATTTCTTTAAAAAATACATTCACTGCAAGTGGAAATGAATAATAGCACCATTTAAATCTGGATAAAACATGAAAACAGCGCAACCATTTTATGTAACCAATTGGTTACGCAATAGTCATCTGACATAACCAAAAAAAATGGTTACGCAGAGCATAAACCTGCAACCATTTTTCTGGTTACGCCAAAATTTGAAATTTCGTGGGTAAACCAATCAAATGCTTACAAAACTTGCTTAAGAAAGGCCTTAAATCCACCCCCGTGGCTTCAAAGACCAAGTTATCAGTAGCCTAGTTTCTAGCCACATAACATCTATCAGGTTAAGGTTTAGAGGAGGTGGGGTCAGGGAAGACCTGGGCTCTGCTAGCCTTGTAGTATAGAGCAAAGCTCTAAAGCATCGCGCAAAGCGCGGTGCTTTAGCAAAGCTCTTTTCCGGTAACACAGGAGCGTAACTGAAATTGTCACCCACAGACTGTTGATTAAAAAAAAATTCAGATCGGAACCGGATACATTGGGCAAAACAGGCAACGCACATGTCAACTTACCAAATCTCGCCCAAGCGAGATTACACGCCTCATAGAACTATTTCTATGACGCGTCTAATCAATGATGTCATATAATTTTGACGTCAATGAAAATAATTCTCACACTTTTTTGTTCTTTTTTAAAAAACAAAATTAATGTATACAATTTAGATCTAAATGAAAATCAATTTGGAAAAACTAAATTATTTAACATTTTTTGTATCACTTGAGAAAATTAATTATGAAGGTTTTATATTTGACAATAACCAGCTTCGCTCTACTCAGGCAATGCCTGTTACATATTAATCAGCTTCGCTCTACTCAGGCAATGCCTGTTACATATTAATCAAAGAACCATACCACCTGAATCGATCCTTAAGCTGTTTCCTAATGAAATTTAGTCACATATACAGCGTAATTTTTCTTTTTCAAGAGGGTAAAGTTGAATGTTGTTATGATAGAACATGTTTCACTGACATTCCTAGTCGGCCATCTTGAAACTAATGAAAACAATTTATGAATTACCTCCCCTTTTCTTGAATTAGTCGCGACCACCCAGCTGCTAAAAATTATTTTATAGATAGGAATTACTTCCGGCTATAAAAATCGTATTATGGAGATTGTTTCCATTCACTGAAATAAATTTAAGAAAAAATTCTCTAGGTCTACAATCATATTTATTCTATTTATTATTCAGTATAAATTGATGCGATTTCAAACACAACCAAAAACAAATCATTAGTTTTGCGCATGCTCAATTTGTACACTAAAAAAATTCGGTTGAAGACCAATCCGCAATCGAACACATCCCAGGTGGCACTTTGGTCAATCGTGCAACATGGCGGATTTATCTTTAGACGATTATATGGGAAAAAAGAATTTCAAAGTACAATTTCAAAATAATTACGTGAATAAACCTACACAGATTAGACAGAAAACATTTCCCAACAAATCTGGATTAACGACAAAGAAAAATTTTACTGTTGGTAGAAATGGAGCCCAAAACAGGATGCACACAAATTTTGGTGGTGTTCAAAAGAAGAATTTTGCTATTCAGTCTTTTCAGAACTCGCAGAAACCAGCCAGAGCCAAACTATCCAAGCCAATGCATGCAGTGACAGTCACAGGTTTGGGAAATAAGAATATTTTCGATGCACGGCAGAAGTTATCCAGCAACACAAAGACTGGTGCAACAAACACGAATGGCAACAGTGATGCCCGTCAAAAAATTATCACAGCGCAGAAACAGAAAGGAATATTTGATGCAAGATCTAGAATCAAAACAAAGACACAACCAAATACTGGTCAGCCGGCACTAACAGGACCAAAAGTAACGGCACCAACAGGACCAAAAGTAACAATTACAGGTCTTGGAAACGTGAAAAAGAATGTGAATAATCCTCAGCAAGGGATTCAGATTGGTGGAAAAGGTGGAATAACAAAAACATTGAAGAATGAATTTGCCAATGGTGGATCTCATGTAGAGGTTTTTGGTAACTCAATTCAGATTACTCGATCTGTTCCGAATAAAGAAGTCAAGTTCGATGGTAAAAATAAGTTGACTATTACGAAGAGAGCGTCGTTAATACAAGATACACAGCCTGTGAAAAGAACCAGATCTCCGATTCAATGGTCTTCAAATGATGCTACTTCTCCTTCTCCACCTAAACGTGCTAATCTAATAAAAACTTACAAAACAGCAGATGCGATACAAAGTGCTGCTGGCAAGGCTGCCATCGAAAGACTTAGAATGCCTCCTCCTGTTTCCACATCTCCCAAAAATACCATCCCAGTCATAACTTCAATGAGACGTGATGCTTTAACTGTTGCCAAGCGCAAAGCATCACCCACAGAAACAGCATCTTCCCCACAGCTAATGAAAGCAAAAACGAAGAGTGTGTATCGACCTGTCACGATAAAGCAAGAACAACCAGATGTGTACGAAGCTCCAGTGATGTTGACAGAGGAAGAAGAACCTGTAGATCAATTATTAAGTCCGCTACAAGGTTACAAAATTACCGTCACAAATCTGGACCCAGTTGTGTCTCAAGATGACCTGATTGAATTATTTGGTGCAATAGGAGCGTTAAAGAGAGCGAAGATTAGTCGCCCAGGAATAGGAGAAGTTGTTTATGTGAAGAAAGAAGACGCCCAAAAAGCTGCTACAAAATATCACAACAGAGAGTTAGATGGTTTACCAATGCAGGTTAAACTGGTTACACCATTGGCTGCCAGAATCCAACAGGTGGCTCATGAAGACGAATCATCCTCTATCTCGATCCCCGATTCACTGAAATTTCCCAAACCTTCAGCAATGACATCATCTGTAGTTGAAGTACCTTTGATTCATAAAGCTCTGTTTAAAATTGGAACACAAGTTTCTACGAAACCTGTTACTTTTACAGTCAAGATATAGACAATCAAATCAGAACAGTATAACAAAAACTTTTTCAGCTGTGACAAATTCATCAGTTCATGTTAAATGCTTGGCTTCTTTGCAAGTTTTGTGCAAGTCAGTCATTAACATAGACATTAACATTTCATTGACTTTAAACACCTGATTGATATGTGCTAAACTACGGATTTATTACATGTATTTCTGTTGTAGAAATTGTTTTTTTCATGATTGACATGGCACATTTGGATGGATCATATTATTACACAAATAGTGGACTGATTATTTATAATGAGTATTTCATGAAAATTCCCATTTATTGTCTTTGATTTTGTTGATTTCATCATTTATCTGTTTGTGTTTGTAAATAATTTAGAGTTTAGGGGGAATGGTAGATTTTATGTACATGTATATGTGATCAAAATGGAATCATCAATACGAGCTATGTTTACTCAAAAACAAAATCAGATTAAATGATATGAAAGCTTCACGGTTTTGATAAATTTGGAAGAGAGTATGCCAAAATTTTGATATCTTGTGTCCATTAATACATATTGAGGCTATTGATCATGTGTGAATGTAACCAGCATTGATGTTAGATATAATTTTATACTGATGGCTTATATTTTAGTCTCTTGGCTGAGTAGAACTACTTAAATTTACATGTAGCATAAAATTCTCTGTCATCAAGAATTTATAAATTGGCCTAATGCTAAAAACTAGAACAGACAAATATGCCCATTAGTTTCAGTTTTGATTTGGAGAGGGTGCTGGGCAGGGAATGATACTGAAATGTCCTAGGTTCGAATCCCAGGGTGGGCTAAGAAGAATCTTCAGGGTTTTTGAAGCCGTTCAGATGTTACAAAAGACAAAGGTTCACCTGTGTATGCAGTGGCATCCACACAGAAGAACCTGCACCATTTGGAAATCAAATGTAAGTAGGCAGAAATACTATCCGGGCATAATTCACCTATATGTACCTCACACTGCATTTACCATACAAATTAATATTGTCTCCAAATGATTGGGTTGAGACAGTAAACCTGATTGCATTCTGGTTTGATCAAGTAAACTTTAGGTACAAAGTATATACAGGTAAGTGAAGGGTGTCATGCTTGCAGCAGAGTATGCCATCATTTCTAAAATATGTCACCACTTGTCGTTTGAAGAGTATTCATCGCAGACAATTTTTGGTTGTACATGTACGTTTGTATTGGACAATTCATCTTGAGGGCCCAGATAAGCGAAAGGACATAGATTTTAAAGAAAGGTGTGTCATTATACCTTGTATCAAGTTTTTGTTAATAATGTATTTAATAATAAATAGATTTTTGTTTAATATTTTCTCTAGATTTATTTGTCAGTTGTGAGACAACATACAAACTCCCCCATTCACTTATGTTTTCATGTTGACAGAAGAATTACCATGGTCTAACAGCAGAATTCTGGTCTTTTAACCAAATTGTCCCAGATTAGGATCTGGACGTGTACCAAGAAGCCACATGTTCTCGGTTGGCAACAATGGAAGTCTGGCAATCACAAAAAACAACTGTCTTGTGGCATTTGGAATTCAATTAAGAACAGATGGAAAAACTACTGTCCGGCAAAATGCTTGTAGCCATGGTAATAAAAATACCATATGTTAGTCTCATGTTAAAACCCATTTCATTTTGGCAGTGAGCATTAGTCTTTGTAATTGTTTGTTTTTGTGAACTTGAATGAAAAATCATATCGACAGTGATTTAAATACCATTAAGATAGGTTGCCAGGCAATGAAACATACACCCACGGGGCAGTCAACAAGAGTTGTAGCATATTTTTATACGCCCACATTTTCATCTAAACATTATCAAGGTTGTGGACCCTCTAGATGTCACAATTTTGATCTAATTTTGATGAAACTTGAAATACATGTTTATAAACCAAAGACCCTGGTTCGTTTTGATATATTCGCGCATATCGGAGCGAAACTTCCTGAATTATGGCCCTTGATTGTACGAAAAATCACATTTTTAGCTTGTGGTCCCTCTAGAGGTCAAAATTTTTATCTGATTTAATAAATCGAGTGAATATATCACCGTTACACATTGATGATGGTTGAGTTTGAATTTCGTGAAAATCAGACCAAAGCTGCCGGACAAAATGACCGCCCCTTGTATGCAAATAGTGTAAAAATATGGTATACATGTATCAAGGTTGTGGACCCTTTAGATGCCACAATTTTTATCTGATTTTTGATGATACTTTAAATTTATGTTTATATCACAAACATCGCGCATATCCAAATGTAACTTCCCGGATTATGGCCCCTGATTGTTCAAAAAATCGCATTTTTAGCTTGTGGACCTACTAGAAGTCCCAATTTGTGTTTAATTTTAAAAAACTTTTAAATATATCACCGTTGCGCATCAATGAAGGTTGAGTTTGAATTTCATAAAAAATCTGATCGAAAGTACTGGACAAAATGGCTGCTCCTTGAACGCAAATAGTGGAAAAGTATGTAATGCCAAGGTTGTAGACGTACTAGAAGTCACAAATTTTATCCGATTTTTGATGAAACTTGAAATGTATGTTTATAATCCAAAGATCGTGGTTCCTTTTGATATTTGTGCATATCGGACTGTAACTTGATTAAAGCCCCTGATTGTACGAAAAATCACGTTTTTAGCTTGTGTACCACTGGACCAGAGGTCACAATTTTTATCCAATTTTAAAAAACGTTTAAATTTATCACCGTTACACCCTAATCACGGTTCAGTTCCAATTTCGTGAAAATCAGACCAAAACTGCCTGACAAAATGGCGGCTGCTTGTATGCAAATAGTATGTCAAACCGAGGTTGTGGACCCTCTAGAAGTCGCAATTGTTATCCGATTTTGATGAAACTTAAAATATAAACAATGTAGGCAGATTTAGCTCTTACTTAATGCATGTTTAAAAGAACCTATGATTATTTTGAACAGTCAAACACTGACACAATCCCGTGTTTCGTTAGGACTTCCACGTTGTGTATAAAACTTCCATGGTCAGTATCTCTGGAATGCTGTGTTGTTATAACTATATTTATATATCTTTATAACATCCATTAAATACAAGCTTAATAGAAGTTCCCTATCCCTTCTTAGTCTGCATGATAATCTTCTCGGCCTCTAAAGGTATATGTCTCCCTAAGAACCCTACATGATGTATGTATCAAGGCCTCTAAGCTGAGGTGGTGATACGTCCCTCTAAGAACGCTGTATGGTGTCCTCCCAGGACCACCAAATGATGTCTGTATCTCGGCCTCTAAGCTGAGACGCCCCCACCTCACCCCCGATCACCGAATGATGTCTGTATCTCAGCCTCTAAGCCGAGGAGGCTGTGGAAATGTCCCAAGAATACCAGATGATGTCTTTATCCTCCCCGCTAAGCTGAGGCAGCTACACGTCTCTCTAGGAAAGCTGAATGATGTCCTCCTAGGAACACTGAACGCCTGAAGCAAATTTACTTGCGCTCTTAAATTTATATAAAACGCTTGGCTATGTCGGCTATTGGGGTGGGTCAATTGCCATTTATGGGTAAGTGTTTCAATTGGGCACCTTCTTACATCAGCTTTATTGTATATAATTAGTCTAATCTGTGCACCCGATGGCTGGACAACAGTAACACACTTCCAGAAACTGATGGCGGTAGAACTGTCAGTGAGTTGGTCTAAGAAATTTGTAGAATAATGCAAGATACCTAATATTAGCCCAGTTCTCGTCACCCATTTGTCTAACCACTTCAATATATTAACCAGAGCACCTTTCATAGAACTAAAATATCCCCTATAGTATATATACAGTATTACAACACTGATAAAAATAATAAAGACAACCATTCACTGTATCATGTTTTAATAGATCTATATGATAACATTCATTATGACAAATCAGGTTATTTTATAAATATTGATATTTTCATCTGACTTCCTTCATCAGGATTATTCTTGTATCCCTTTCTGGTTTGCTGGATGCTTTAAATTGGTGTACCATGTAAATGTAATAGAAATCCTGTTCTTGATCATTAAGTCCTTTATTTAAATTACTCCAACTGATAAATACTCACAGGGCCGAGAGTCAATTTCAAGCCTGGAAATTCAGCCTACTATATCTCACAATGTACGACTCAAATTCGTGCTTCGCCAGGCACAGTATTTTTATTGACGAAAGTTCAAATCCCCTGTACAACATTAAATGTGCCAGACATGTTAAGGCCCCAACAAATCATAAAGAATCCCGAAAAATAAGAAAGTTAAAACTAAAAATAAGCCTATTTCTATATGTATGATGTATTCATGAGCACTAGTATAAACTATTCACATATAAACGCTGTTCCTCTTTCTATATATAAATGACAATCCACATACATAATCAGTCATATGTATAAACAATCACACGATTAATGATATACACACAAATTGTTCTAATTCAATCAACGACGTTTCTTTGATAGGTTATCAGCGGCGGCATCAAAGTCGTCACTTGTAACATTTAACATTAGATTAAGGGCATTCAAGTAAACACGATTCTGTGACTGGGCAACCTATAAAAAAAAAAAAATAAAATAAAAATAAAATTTATTTATACAATCATTACAGTGAAAATAAATAAAATCAACATCCCGTCCCCACTGAAATTAGTTTTTTTTTTTTGATTAATTGAAAGTTATTATTTCTTTGATTATAGTGGAGGTGAAGAATTTTTTGAACCGATAGCGTAATTTCTGCATACTTTTATTTGCATTCCAACTGTGCATCAACACAATACATTGGTGATCATGTGACATACAGTAATTACGCATGCAAACTAAGGCAAGAGAATTTTACGCGGCTGGCAGTGTTTCCACATACTTTTCTTCAATTTTAAAAGATCTTTTTCTGGACACACAAATGTGTATACAGATTGGACATCAATTTATTTATTTATGCAATCAAAACGACTAGGTGCACTTTTCTAAATCAGCACCAGGTACCACCCTTGACAAATGAATAAACCAGAGAGAGATAAACTGGGTTTTACATCCACTTGGTACAAACTAGGTCATAATTTTGAGACTAACATTTAGCTATCTTTGAAAAGGCATTTAGTGAAAGCGATATATAATTCAAACTGCTTATTAATTTATTGTTATCCACTTGTATGTAAACTTGCTTATTAATTTATTGTTATCCACTTGTATGTAAACTTGCTTATTAATTTATTGTTATCCACTTGTATATAAACGTCTGTCACATGTTTGATTTATCATTGAGAGTAACCTCATTGAAACGTTAAACCCCATTTCTCTGTCTCTCTCTCTGTCTTTGTCTCTGTCTCTCTCTCCTTCTCAGAACATTGCTTTCGTGGGGAGTACAACAAGCAGTAAATAAACTGTTGTTAGACGCCATGTCTGTCAGCACAATTCATTTTTCGGAATGTAATTTGTATTACTTACTGAGGGTTTCAATGAGATATTGAAACGTTGCAGTTAATAAACCTAGTGAATGTTATCCATAAAACTGTCTGTTTATTAACATTTAGCTGTGGAAGAAAACTAGAGACCTCAGAGAAAACCCATGAGATTGGACAGGCGACCCTACTCCTTGTCAGATACAAGCAGGGATTTGGAAGCTTGTCACTTAACTCCATGACAGATTTGATGATCTAATGTACACATGTTAAACCATACGACCGACCAACACCCCCCCACCCCCAACATATGAATTAAGAAGCTTGGTTGTTCTACTTACTGTTCTAGAAACATTTTGTGCAGCTCGAATCTTTCTTAATTTCAGGTAACCTGGATTCATACTTAAAGCTTGACCAATGTACAGGTGAAGTCAAGAAACAATAAATCAATGCAAATTTTAAATCACAAAAATATTTATGATGAAGTAATATTTTGCCATCAGATTACTAAAATTATTTTCATTAGCTGTCGTTCAGGTGAACAATGCATCCCCTATAATTCCCTTCCCACGATGAAACACCCTTCCCAAACCCCACTACTTTATGTGCCATTTCGGAACAAGAATAATTTATCTTTTAATTATCCATGTGTGAGAAGAACTGGCTTTAATTCTATGTCCGGCCTTACAGCAAATAAACAGACTGAGTTTATTTACCAAGATTACAGACAATATAATAACTCTGGTTTATAGACCTTAACAATCAGCTCAATAATGCACGTTCTCATCATCTGACAAAATTTAATACTTCCTTATATATATAATCATATCTTATCAACGTATCTTTCTGAATAACAAGATACACTGTTATTGGGGGTCTAAATATCTCCTGTATTAACAACTGTATTAACACAGAATGGCAAGAGAGAGAGAGAGAGAGAGGGAGAGAGGATTTAACACCCACTCAACACAAACCAGGTCATTTCAGGACTAACATATGGTTTAATTTTATTTCAATAATTCGCTTGCGCGTAGGGGTCTTTAGCTGAGGGAGAAAATCCACGAGGTTGGACAGACGACTCATTGACAGACTTTAAGATTCAACATTCACACGCTAACCATTCTAACCATTCGGCTATCCAACCACCATGAGCTAATTCCCACTGTCAAATGTACTTTTACGCGCATGCTACTGTGTACACTGGTTTACCTCTTTTTTCGTCCTTTCAATTTTTCCTTGCCAGGTTCATGGTCCGGCATCACTGATGAATGGAAAGCGGATTGGGAAATCACAAGGAACTTTCTCATATGAAACAGACAAAAGTCCGGGACCTCATGTTATAGCAAACCAGAAAACAACTTAAAGAGATAGTGCTTTCAATTACATGGGCTCTATTTACAAGCAATTGAAATTCAAGTAGGAAGTAAGTTCAGAAACAAAAGATTTTTTGGACCAAGCAGACATTAACCCCCCCTACAAAGTGCATGATCCCCTATTATTAACGAGAAAATATGTGGAATGTTCCTTCACACCTGGACATCTTTACACAATAAATCTAATTAAAGGATATAAGTCGGACAGCTTCAGCCTCTCCTTCAGCTTGTACTATCTTCTGTTGTCTGTCCATTCTAGCTTTTTCTACATAAAACTGAGCTTTCTGAGCTTCTTGTTGGGCTACCTGGTGGTGTAAAATATTAATATAATATAGATTTATAAACACAAACTAGTGAGCATATACTGCCTTGTGCACAACACATCACTATTTCTAGAGAACTATGGTTTGAACCCGGAATTCAAAAGCTGAAGGCTACTACAGCCCAGCTAAAGTACAACAAACATTTGTTAGCCATGTGAACTACTCAAACGGCAAGAAAAGTCAACACTGCAGTATGAGCTAAAACTGGTTATCTATGGTGAACTTAATAGAAAAGCTCAATTATAATGCAAACATTACATCAATGTGAATTAATTGCAACAAAGCAATCAAATTGTTGCAATCATGTATTTAGTGAGCTGTTAAATCCTAAAGAAAATCGACATAAAGATAATTCATTACTTTCAAATACTGTGAAATAGCAGTACTTGTAGACTGTAATACATGAAGGTATCCTACATGTACAACGTCCCACTGTCATGCTCCGATTGGGCTAATGAAGATGGGCATATGGCATACGGTGAGCTACGAGGGAAGTTTTGCACACACAGCCACACTACGGCCTACTCTTATATCCGTCCTGCACCACTGACAAGGGGAAACCGCCTTGGAAAATTAAGATGAACTTTCTAGGCCAACATCGGAAACGAACCTGCAACCTCAATAATGACAGACTACCTGGAATGAGGCAATGAAATCCCTTTGGTGCCCATCATTAACTCTGGCACTATTTTGTCCTTTTTTTTAGTGTCTTTAGTGGTATCTTCAATAGATGTCCCATCACAAAAACATTTTTTCAGGTACAACAAATATAGTAATTTCCAGGCCAAAATGACAGTGTGCCGACGGATTGAACGTTTTGATGAAACAAGGTTTACCTGTTTTGATTCTACAGCTGCTGTATATTCCCGACCAAAACTGAGTTCAGTTATAGAAACATCATCCAATATTAAATTGAAATCCCTGGCCCTCTGTAACAAGTCTCTACGGATCATTAAACTGACCTGCTGTCTCTGCGTAATCAACTGAGATGCGTTAAACTTAGCTACAACACTTTTTAATACCTAAAATTATACGAAAATACCTAAAATTATACGATAAAATTTCACTCAGTTCAAGGTGAAATTACCAGGATTGAATCTGAGACATGCTAAAACAGAACCGTACTGAGCCACTATGATTCAATTTGCTTATAGCATATTGCATAATTTTTTCAATAATTCATTTGCATGTAGGGCTCTTCATAAGCGAGATGGCATGTGAGAATCCATAGAAAATCCTGTGAGGCTAAGCAGACAACCAGATGCTTTGAAATCGACCAGATTTATAGATGTTTTTTCAAACTTCCGTAAAACGTGAAATGAAAGAATTTTATTGAACAAATCCCTATCTTCTTCCCTTCTGTAGTCTCCTCAGATGATGTAAAAGTCAAAAATACCTCTGGACCGTATGGTAGATGTTGAAACAGTCTCCTGCTCAAAGGGGTATTTTGCTATATTTTGCAATAGACATGAGTGTCCCTCCCGATGCCTCTCCACTTGTATATATAATATGACCCAGATTGTTTCTACCCAAATAACTCACAAGATTAGTTTGTGAAATTGGGTTGTACATGTACGATTACGACTAATAAATTTAGATCATACATTTACGATCTTGGCAGTGAAAGAGTTACGAGTAACAGACCTTACGAAACCAATCAGCAACCCATTGTACATGTACAAACTGGATTTTTTCGGGACTAAGATATGGTTTAATTTTATTTCAATAATTTGAGTAGGGGTATTTAGCAGTGGGAGGAAACCAGATAAAACCCACGAGGTTGAATAGGCGATCCTACTCCTTGTCACATACAAGCAGTTAATCGAAACCATGCCTTATGATCCAACGCATATGCATTAACCCTTTAACCACCCAACCACCCTTGTATATGTACAAACATTGAAAATTGATTAAAAACTAACCTCATTACAAATGGAAGGCAAAACTCTCTCATCATAATCTGTACCTAAATTTCTGTAAATAGTTGGTAAATTTTTGGCTTCTGGTCGAGATAAAACACGAAGAGATATATTGACCATCTGTAAATCTATAAAACAAAATCAACCAAAAGACGATCGTACTCCAATTATAATATAGGAATGAAATGAGATTTAACATCCTACTTATCTGCATCAACTGAGGTAAGAAGAGTACGCATCATACACTGAATATCTGTATTATTTTAACAACATAAATTATCATTTTATTTCGGTGTGCTTCCCCCATATCAGTGATGTAGGGACGGGTGGTCGTTCGGGCAGGACGAAAAAGTGAGGTCCTGTCAACACATAAAAGAATCATTGACAGTTGGAATTCGAAATAAGAAAAGGCCACTGTCTGGGCAAAATTTCCTTCATAGCATATTGCATGGCGTATAACCATCTTCAATAGCCAAGTAGGCGTAGAACAGTAGTAGGACGTCAATCGCCATTTAATTTCATAATTATCACTTGATCACTTAACCCTACTCCAATTAAACATACATTATACAAGAGCTAAATTTGCCTATTGCCGGTCTTTCTTCCGGCCAGAAATGTTATCTAAATTATTAATTAGACATTAATTAACTTATCCAGACCATAATCAACTCTTGATGCTCGGCCCAGTGTTTCATAGGGGCCTAATAAATTACAGACAAGCAGAGTTACCATATAGATTAGAAATGTTTATTGTAATTTTAGAGAAGTTTTATCTATAGTTAACTTGACCTTACCTTTACTACCAGTGGGTGATGTTATTCTACGTGGTTTAGCACGGATATCGTAAATTATAGGATATTCAAACCAGGGTATCCTGTAAAATATACATGCATAAATTAACACTCGTACTGCATTAGATATATGTAAATTTTTAACATCATAAGCACAGTCTGTGCCCCAATTTCATTCATGTACACAAGAGATATAATTGAGAGAGAGAAATGGGGTTTAATGTCCACTCGACACAAACTGGGTCATTTCAGGCCTAACACATGGTTCAATTTTATTTCAATAATTCGCTTGTGTGTAGGGGCGGGAGGAAACCTGAGGACCCAGAGAAAACCCAAGTGACCCTACTCACAACTGGGGAATCGAAACCATGCCAGTTAACTCAATGACAGACCTTATGATACAGTGCACACATGCTAACCATTCGGCCGGCTAACCATTCAGCACACCGAGAACTATCTACTGTATTTTGCCATACCCAAAAATAAGTATATTGTTTAATAATGTTCACATCTGTCATATACACCAAGACTAAATAAACCTTTTCAATTCCATTAAATGGAAGCAAAATAAACAGGCCTAATTCTCAAAATTCTTGAAGTATACTTAAGTGTTTTTGACTACAATCCACGATTTAGGACTTAAAATGTTGGTCAACTAGCTTAGTGTCTGTTCTCAAGTGGAGGTAATTGTAGATGGACAGCCTAAGTTTAGTAAGGAGGAAAACAAGAGGCTTACTACAGGATAATTATTACACATTTTCTCAGCTCAACGATAACCATTTGTTCTTTGCCAATTTTCTAAAAAGCCAATCATTTCTCAAAACAAAACATTCGACAGACCAATGTTTTACCTCCATAAATAACTACCATTTTTAATTTAGAAACTAGAGAAGACAACCAGTTAATAAGTCTCCAGTGGCATAGCATGGTTTTACATGACCTCTTAACAGTGATATTGTTTTTGGAATTAAAGTTAAAATCCTGTCTAATAATGACTTTTCAGTGTCAGGATTTTAACTGTCCGAATAAATATTGGAAGTTACTATACCATTCAGGTATTTGATACCACCATCCCTCTTACTTTCGATGGTTATATTTACCTAAAATGTAGACCTTCAACATATATATCATCTTTTACTCCACCAATTCTACTGAATATAATAGCTCTGTGACCACCATCAACTGAAATATATCAACATACAAAATTACATCCCCTTATTAGGACCATTTTTCAAGCTTTGTTGTTTGTTCCCATGTCAGTAGCAGAGGTGAGGTCTGTGCATGTATGGGATTAAAGGGAAATGTAAATCCCTGAATTTATATGCAATGGTTTAACGTCCTACTTGGTTTCTGCACCAACAGGGCTAATGAAGATGGACCTACACCATGCAGATAGTGAGTTACAGTGGCTTCCACATAAATAACTACAGTACAGTACATGTATTTCACTTTGGAGATACTCAACCAAATATTCCACTATCACTAGTATCGGAACAAAAAAGTTTCTGTTGTTTTGTTTCGTGATTGCTCATGATCTACTTACACCACATCTGATTCTGTTAGTGGGGCAGGCAAAACTTTGACAACTCAATTTTGATTTTATTGATTACAATTCCATCACTTCTTAATTTATTCTTTATTTGGAGAACTTTAATTAAGATTGCATTGGGCTGACCTTGACTTTATAGAGAGAGTGTGTCGTCAGTCTCTGAAAACATTTAAATTTCTTTTTCGACTTTGATCGACATTGATGTGGCAGACGTATGTCATTGCTAGCGTTTGATTACAAAAACTTCCTTCACAACAACAATTAAAGTTTGTGAATCAATTAATATTTAACTTTCAAAATGATGCGTTTAGTTTTGAAGAGATGTGTTGATTGAGGTCAAAGAGCGAGAAATTGGTAAGCCAGCCTCACTTTCTTACCCGTGTAAAACGATTGACTGATGCCATAGACCAAACCCCCCGCAGCTGCCAACAATCCAATTCCTGTCCCTAAACCCTTCCCTCCGCCCTTCATTCGTCCGACCATATCTCCGAGTTTCTTTGGATCCATTTTCCGACGTTATCTAACTAATATTTTCTGATGTAAATGGCTGAACACATGTGGAAGAAGTCTCGCACATCAAGTCATTTGTTAATGTGTTTACTACTTGAAGAATGAGACTAAAAGATCGAAGAAAATAAGCGGCGGATATCACGTGAAATATCGCGATACGAGATTTTAGAAGACGATGGACTGGACCAATTACTTTGGACCGTATAAATGAAAACCATATTTATGAAAATTTGATATTAAATATCAGAAACATTCACAAATGATTTATATAGTACTTTCAGATAAATTTTGGGATAATGAAATATTGTAAAATTGATAATTTTGAACTGGAATAAATTGTCCAGTCCTTAGACTTTAAAACTGAGTGATCTCCCTTTAGTCTTCAGGCCGATATCAACCTCGCCCTCACTAACCCAACCGTCACCAACGGTGCTAAATCTATTTGTTAAGGGCTATGGCCAGCTCAATTTTTGTCAAGGTCATTGAGATGTAAATGGTAAGGGTACTTGATTGTTGTCGAAATTGTACGTTAGAGTTGGGAGAAGCATTGGGGCTACCCTTAGCAAAAATCCTACAGAATAGCAGTGTAGAATTCATTAGAAAATCTATAGAGTTTTTTGGGGGGCGTGTCCCGTGTTCTATAGGATAAAATTCTATAGTATTCTACAGAATTTTGGGGGCCTGTAGGAAATAACGGCCCCAAATATTCTACATTTTCTGTAGCGCACATCCTATATAGTTTTTCCTACAGATTTATGGCAAAATTTCTATAGGAAAATAATATAGTATTCTATAGGTTTTTTATTGCAATTTCTGTAGGAAATTCTACAGTTATGTACAGGATTGAATACTGTAGTATTCTGTAGTTTGGAAATTGGGCCACTATAGTTTTCTGTAGGAATGGGTACTATAGAATTCTATAGACTTTTTTTTTATTAAATCTTATTTTGGGAATAAATATAGTTGGCCCATGATTTCTTCTAAATTGATAAGCTTATTTTTCTCTCATGGATTCTTCTAAATTGATAAGCTCATTTTTTCTCATGGATTAATCTGAATTCTGTTGATGATTCACCAGCCGGAACCATGAAAAATTCTTTTCTTGGTAAAACTGAAATATAGGGAAAAGAATAGGTAATAAAGTTAAATAAATAACAAAATCACAAAAATCTTATCTAATTAAAGTAATTTAATATTATTGTTAAGAAAGTAATAAAGTATACTTATCTTTCTATCTTTAATCGACTCTGTGAAAAAACACCACCGTTCTCTTCAGTTTCTTGTTAATACTAAAGTTGTTATACACTGAATTTTTGAATTTTAAATTCAGCCAATGGCCAAACAGATTTCAAGAGAGTACATTGGCTGTTAATTATAATTTGTCGACAGGTATTCACGGTTGACAGAATCTGAGTACAGAATCTGCTATAGTCATTAAAATCTAAATAAACTGTGTCTTTATTTCATTGACTTCTGAAAAAAAATTTATTATCTGATATTTCTGTTGTGAACATCTACATTTACTGGCATTTTTTGGAGGTTGGGGTGGGGAATTCCTTTGAGTGTCAACATGTATCACTATTTCATTCATATTATATACACAATTTTATACTTTATATTTTATTTTTCGTGGTAAGCTTATTTTAGTTTGTCATTTGGTATCACAATAAATTAAGGAAAACTGCATCCAGGAAAATTATGTTGGAAAAGTTTACATTATTCACACAAGTGAATCACTAAATTCTATTGTAAACTATAGTATGAATAAATGACATCGCCAATTTATGAAATCTGTAGTATAGAACATTGTTTCTACAATATTATGTAGGAAACTATAGTAGGCTATTTGTTAAAATGGTTTAAGTACAGTATACATATAAATTCTTAGTTTTCAACAGAATGTCATAGACAACTATAGGAATATACTACTGACTTGAGACAATAAGTTAGTTCTATACAAAACTATAGTTTTTACCACCAAATCTATAGGAATCACAGCTGACATGAGAATACAAGTTAGTTATATAGCAAACTATAGGTTTTAGCACAAAGGCTATAGAAAACTGAAGGATTACTCAACTGACTCGAGGATACAAGTTAGTTCCACAGAAAACTATTGCAGCACCAATGAATCTGTAGGTTTATTTTTTTTCCAATAGTTTCTTACAGTATTCTATAGAATTCTATAGGAAATTACACTTGGAAAATATTCATCTACCAATCCTACACAAAACTATAGTACATGTTTTTGAAATACAGAATGATTTCGTTTTCCTGCAGCATTCTATAGCATTCTATAGAATTCCACAAACTTCTATAGAAACGTGTACTTTTTCTATAGGACTTTTTCATAAGGGTATGTCCAGGGTTAGGTTTAGGGTTGGGATTAGCGCCAGCCCTGCTTAAAGTTGAGTGGTTACATCTCGTGAGTCGTGACCTATGACGAAAAAATTTTTAGCAGGCCTAATGATTTAGCCCTAACCTCACTAAGGGGCTAGTCACTTGCCACCCGGAACGTTCCAATTCAGTTCTGTCATAGTTCTGTCAGTCCCGACAACAGTATATCCCTGAAGCAATGGCTCAAGAAACCCCTCTCTAACCATTGCTGGATTGACTTCTGATACTTGAGGTTTTGGGGGATGTGTCTATTCTTCCCGTTCAATCAGATCTCTCCTAAGTATGTAGCAACTTGACAGCCCTTCGTTTAATCTAGGGTCTTCCCTAAAACTTTGGACAGTGATTTAAGGTACCGGTATTCAAAACGGCCAAAGTATTGTTCCCTTCCAAACAGTATTATTTACACTGTAGCCGTTTTGATAGACTCGTTTGTCACGCAGTTAGTTTTTCTGTAACATTCTGCTATGGTTAATTGGTCGTAATAAATTTTGTGAGTCATGACGTAAACTTTCGTAAAGTTATGTAAACATATCTGGAGCTCTGTTTAACTTTAAACCCGAATGATATTGTTACGCAATTAGGTATTGGTTGTTAATCGGACTATTGACCAGTCATAATTTGAGACACAGAAATTTGCTTTCATTACAGCAGTGTTTGGCTGGAATTAGGTCTAATCAAACGAAACACTGCGAGTAGTATGGACAACGGGGGTGGTGTGACGAGATGGGGTTCAACAATTCGTTTGCGCGTAGGGTTTTTTAGCAGTGGAAGTAAACCACAGGCGACCCTACTCCTTGTGGATGACCACGAGCCTTCGATAATTGAAATGAATTGAAAGTAGTCTATTTTTAGTAATCCATTTCTTTGCTCAAAATAAAAATGCTTTTATCCCTTCTAAAGTATGTAATCATGAATGCGCCAGAAAATAACAAGTAGATTCAAAGAGCTATAGAAACCTAGGGTTAGGGTTGGGGTTAGAACTATGACGAAAAATTGAACCGGCCTTATCATTTAGCACACACCCTTCACTAACTGCGAATCAAGGTAGCCGTCACTAAAGAATTCGCTAGATGACCATGTCATTTAATGGAGTTTCGTACTATCCGACTTTGATCATTTTTTTTTCAAGGTCTGTAAATATAAATGTAATTTAATGGAGTTTAAATCCATCCAACTTTGATCGTTTTGTAAGATAAGTAAATATGAAAGTGCCACAAAATTATTTACATATTTAAACAATATGATTAAAATACCAATGTATATTCTGTTTCTTTTTTTTTTTCCTTTTTCTTTAATACTTTCGATGTAGTGGGCGGTCATACGAGCGGCATTTGACCTATGACGTCGGACATTTGATTAACCAACCAACGTTGATGTTTCTGGTAGGATACCCACAGTTCCGTGCATCGAACGCCAAGAACTCACTGCAACAGACCGCTTCATTGGCTAATCCCTCACACCAGCCAGAACGCGGGTTATATACCAACTCTTCCAGATCCTTGTGTAGTAGGGGGGTTGGGATGGTCAGTCCTCCTGAGTGCGCGCTTCGACCTCTAGGTGGCCGATCACCTCTGGCTTGCGGCTGTGGTTCCGATCCCTGGTGTGAGCGTATGTGGCTTGGAGATAGGGGCGCCTTCTCAACCTCGCGGGTTTCCGGTTTCCTCCAACAGGAAATACCCCTGCGCATGCGCTAAGATAAAAAAAATGAAAAATACGACTTGTCTGCGATATCGCCTTCGGAGGAAGCGGACGTTAAAACCCGTATTTTTAATACCCCTTCCCCCGTCATTTTATAGAGTTTTGTGCTACCCGACTTTGATTTTTTTTTCAAGGGCTGTAGATATAAATGTGAAAGAATTTTTTTAACATATTTAAAAAGTACAATGGATGTGCTTTCTACTGATATGTAACATCATATCTAGAATTTAGTATTAAGACCACTGTTTTGACATTGAATACCCCCATCCCCGTTATTCACTTGATAGAATTCAGTACTATCCAACTTTGATCGTTTTTCAAGGTAAGTAAATATATATGTGCCAGTTAATTATCTACATATTTGAAATGTGCAATGTATGTGCTTTCTACGGATATGTAATACGATATCTGCAATTTCGTATTAAGGCCCGTATTTTGACATTGAATCTTTAAAGGGCCAATCTAGATTATATTTTGGACAATAAAACAGAATTTTGTGTTAAAAGCCCTTAAAATCCTCTAATTAGGGCCGAGCAACTAACTCAACATACGTGATACATTTTCAACCAGCTTAAACTCGACAGTCTTTATCTGGAAATGGAGACCGGTGTTCCAAACTATATTATACGGTGTCTGGATAAAACCAGACTTTTAGGTGAAGTGTGGGCCATGTACTGTATAGACCTCTAATGGAACGGCAATAAATCACCAGGGCACCCAACGAAAAAATTGACCCGAAATCTTAAAAGGGTTAAGTGTCCGGAAAAGCGGTTTTGACGTTCACCTCTAAACTACTCAATATTTTGAGTTGAAATTTTGAGACAAGGTAAATACACCATACCTTTTGTCGCTTAAATTTTATACGTACACGGACTTTTATTTCTGGGACTCTGTTAAAATCGGGATTGTCCCGTTAAGCGAAATAGAGAAAGGTATATCTTCTCAATGACAAGGATAGACGATGTTGATTGGTCCAAACATGATATCAAGAATCGTGGCCCAGACGGGGACTTCTGTACTACAGTCTACACAAGAATCAAAAATAAATTCAACTAATGACACCGCTAGTAACATTTTCTGAAAACCAGTGAAGTCCAAAGTAGACATCAAACCGTATCCTTATACATTTTACAAATAACAATATCAAACACAGGTTGAAAGTAGTATAACTCCGAAACCGGAAGTGGCAGGCCAACGCTACCTAGCATTTGTTACTCCACCGGTCCTAGCTACCCCTATACACCAAATTTAAGTCCCGGGACAGCCCTAGTGTAGCCACAAACCCTGAGCAGACAGACACATACACATAGAATAGATATACTGAAGGGATATGGTAGCTACTAATAAGACAAATTCCTATTTCAATAAATGAAATCAAATGAAATGAAATGGGGTTTAACGTCCTACTGTTCTGCTCCTAAACTGGGCTAATGAAGACGGGCATACGCCATACAGTGTGCTATGAGGGGAATTTTGCCCGGGCAGCGGCGCTACGACCTACTCTTATATCGAATTCCAACTGCCAAGGGATCTTTTACGTGCACGTCAATGTGTACACGGGCCCTCCGTCCTGCATCACTGACAAGGGGAAACCACGCCGGAAAATCTGGATGAACTTTCTCGGCCAATGCAGGGATCGAACACCCGACCTCCAGGCTAGCGAGCCAGCGTCTTACCCACTTAGCCACCGTGATCCCCCTATTTCAATAAACTCAAAGATTTTTTTAAAGATCTAATTAGCGACCCCCACCCCTTCAGCATCTTAATGCAACATTATGTCAACGATTACGTAGAACATCTTTTATTTAATTTCTTAAGGCAAAGAAAATTGCTTTCGACATCATTGGAGAAATAACCCGTTCGAAGACTTAGCCATTTTCTTTTTCTGTAGATCTGTAGTCCTTTGGGTGAATCTTCATTTTATCTTTCTCCACGAGCTCTTTAGATTGTGCAAATGTATAAATGGCCAGAAAATTATTAACAAATAGGGGTATGGTTAAGGCTATCAGAACAATTCCCGTAGATGCACAAACCACTCCCACTACACGCCCACCTGTGCTGTTAGGTACCACGTCACCATAGCCCACGGTTGTCATGGTAATGAAAGCCCACCATATCGCGTAGGAAAGATTGCCAAAATTATCATCGAAACAATAAACTAAAGTGGCGAAAAGAACAGCATTGATGCTTAGTAAAATAAACATGAAAAACAATTCTTTCACCGAGTTTTTGACGGCAAAAACTAGAACGCGGGCTCCTGTAATATTTCTGGTCAAACGAAAAAGTCGTAAAACTCGAAGGACCTGTAATAGCTGAATAAAATCAAAATAATTAGATGAGTATTCTTCTTTTTGCGATATCTGATTAAGGCAAATGTCCACATAGGCCACGATAACCGCTAAAACATCTATTATATTCAATGCGAACTTGAAAAACAACTTTAAACTCGGACAGAAAACTAGTCGAAGAATTAATTCAACTGTAAAGAACGCCGTACAACAGTATCTAGTCAGTGTTAATGGTATGTTTTTAACTCGAAACTCGGTGGGAAATTCATCCAGTTCTTCTTTCGTGATGTTAAAAGCAGAATAGTTTCGGGTGCCACCGTTGTGTAGCTGAATTATGAAGTCCACAATATGTTTGTGATCTTCGTAGGTATCACCGAAGTATAATTTCCATCCTTCCGGGCTCAGGTGTTCGTCAAATATGACATGCGTCAGTAAGACTGTAGTGATTGTTGACGTCAGAACTACCAAGATGGAGATCACGTATAACACCTTAAATATAGAAAAATAGAAACAAAGAATATATAATATAAACATGACTAAATCGATATTTAAAGTTTCATAGATCTACTTTTCGATGAAAGAGAGAGAGACATAGGGTTTAACGTCCACTCTACACAAACTAGGTCATTTCAGGACTAACATATGGTTAATTTTTATTTCAATAATTCGCTTGTGCGTAGGTATCTTTAGCAGTGCGAGGAAACCGAAGGACCCGGAGAAAAACCCAAGAGGTTGAGCATGCGACCCTACTCCTTGTCACGTACAACCGGGGAATCGAAACCACGGCAGTTGACTCAATGACAGACCTTAGCACGCGCTAACATTCAGCCGACCCCACGTACTTTTAGATAATAGTTGAGGTGATCCTGTGGGCTGTAAGAAAACTAAAAACTCCCGTTTAGCCGCTTGCCTGCTTGATACGTTCAAAGCCATTTTATTCAGCTTCTCGGCTTACGAATCATGAGAAATGAAATGAAATGAAATGAAATGGAGTTTAACGTCCTACTGTTCTGCTCCTAACCTGGGCTAATGAAGACGGACGAATCATGAGAGAACGGGTATAAAATTAATAAATAGACAGTCACCCTTTCTATAACAGAACAGAACAGAGCAGGGGACATTTCCTTGTAGTGGTGGAGGACTCGAAATAAGAGTAGGCCTTGGCGCCGCTGTACGGTGCTAAATTCCACTGTATGCAGTAGTGTAGAAAAGCAGAGGCCTTTAAACTGAATTTTCTAGGTATTATATTGTTTTAAACAAGCTGAATTGTGTCGTCAGCAGTCAATAAAATGATAAATCACATATAAAACAAATCGTTAGGATTAAAGACAATATGGATGACTTATCTCACTGAAGATGATCAATATTTAAGTTTGCATTCAGCCAGCTTACCTTGGCGAATATATTATAACTACAGTTATCTAACAGGTTCCAGGTGATAGATCTCCATTTTCCCGATATAAAACCACAGCAGGACGACCCCCTTATTGAATAATTAGTATAAGTCATTTCATATTTGTCATATTCGTTTAAATCTCTCTGTCCAGAACGAAAAGATGCCAGTTTTCTTTGACAGCATGTCGAAATATCCGACTCACAAAATCCCCAGAATTTAATTTCTTCAGTAAAACCGCTATAGCACCTGGATTCTGGGATGTGGAGATCACCAGTTTGGTAAAATTCCAAGATGGCTTCAAAAGCTGATAAAGGTCTTTCCAAGAAAATTTCTTCATTTTCACCCGTAGCGAAACACATTTTTGTTAACGTACTTTCGGGATATTTCTCAAGCAAATTTCGACTTATTTCGAATTTACGTCCACTTACATTCACTGTAAACCTTTCTGCCATTTTTAAAATACGTTTTATTCCGAATTCCGTAAATCCCAAGCAATATTCAGGTTAGCATTAGCTTCTAAAGAACCACCGGTTAATGTATATCCATAAAAAGAATAATTGTATCAATAATTTAATCTAATTTGCTACAAATCTGTATAAACAGATTCTTAACTGTCCCATGCCAATTAAAGGCGAAGTCCCAGTATAGACTGGATCTCTGAAAAGAAAAAAAAAACCACAACAATATGACATCGTTTAAGTATGCAAATCAAAGTCCAAAATGTGACAGAACAGCCTATTTACGTTCTCTGAATGATTCATATGGATCCGTTTGGAAATAGTGGGCCTTCCTATTTCCTCCCACTGCTAAAGTCCCATACGTGCATGCGTATTATTGAAATAAAATTGAACCGTGTATTATTCCCGAAATGACATAGTTTGTGCCGAGTGGACGTTAAACACCATTTCTCTCTCTCTCTCTCTCTCTCTCTGTTTATGAAGGTAAGGTACATAACCCTTATGTTTCCTGATGATTATAGGATTTTTGAAAAGTCTCGCTGAATAACAAACCATTGTGGAAGAACTGAACACATTGATCCATTACTAGCCATAAAACTGTCGATACGCAGCTTTTCAACGTCAAGTCAAAAGCAAAGATTTCCTTGTCAAGATAATCTTGTATCGATCATCGTTGCTTTTTTTGCAATGATCGATATACATGTATATAGTGTTAACCTTTCTCAAGGCGGTGGGAGTGGGGGGGGGGCTCCAAGGTGGATTACCCGCGAATTTGATAAAATCAGAAGCTCCGAGACAATATTTCTGCTCATTTAGGTGCATACATATAAAATATGATCAGAGTGGCCAAAACGCCGCCAAAGCTTCACACATTAGTTTTTTTCAGATCATTTCCATGAATGAAGGAGAAAAAAATGCTCCGCGCGAGCAGGGGAGAGCCCGGATCCCCTTGATCCCCCTCTGGCGCCTGTTATTTCAATACGAAGGAAAGCCATGAAGTGTAGCCTACTCGTACTGGTGTATAAATAATATATACCAGTTGTAGTTGAGATTTGTAATTCAAAGGACGTTGAGTGGTTTTAAAGTAAAAATCTTTGCTGAGCCGTAAAGTCTACAACAAGTATAATATACAGGTGATCAGTTTAACGTCCTACTGTTCTGCTCCGACTGCGCTAATGAAGACGGGCATACGACATACAATGTGCGATAAGGTAAATTTTGCCCAGACAGCGGCCCTACAATCTACTCTTATATCGAATTCAAACTGCCAGTGGTTCTTTTGCGTACACGCCCATGTGTACACAGGAGCTCGGTTGTTTTGCCCCACCCGAACGACTATATGGTGCCCATTGCCAAGTCCTTCGTCCTGCACCACTGACACCAGGGAACCACTCAGGAAAATCCCGATGATTGAAGTAATGAGCGGCAACATTCACACATCCGACTTTCAGCTCTCTTGTTATCCGTGAGAGAGAGAGAGAGAGAGAGAGAGAGAGAGAGAGAGATGAGGTTTAACGTCGACTCGACACAAACTAGGTCATTTCAGGACCAACATATGGTTCAATTTCATTTCAATAATTAGCTTGCGCTTAGATGTCTTTAACAGTGGTGGGAAGAAACCCACGATGTTGGACAGGCGACTCTACTCCTATTTCGATAATTTGTTTGTGCGTAGAGGTCTTTAACAGTGAGGGGAAGCCCACGGGGTTGGACAGGCGACCCTTCCAACCGGGGAATCGAAACCACGCCAGTTGACTCAATGACCTTATGATTGATTCATAGCAGCAGAACAGTGGAACGTTAAACTCCATTTTAATTCAGCTCATTTCGTCTCATAGGAAAGTGCCTACAGACATCTTTTCAAGAACTTAAATTGTAACTTCTGATACAATTTTTTTAGTTGCCACGCCCCAATTTCAACTTCTTAATCGGGTCCTTAAATTGACGTAGATATTACATCGGGATTTTCCAGCGCGGTTTAACCTTGTCATTGGTGCAGGACGCGGGCGTTGGGACTGGAAAGGAACAGTGTTTTGTGTCTAGTCTTTCTGAAGTAACGAAAAGCCGAGGTCTAGTATACACGTTTACATATAATAAAACCCTTGTCAGTTGGAATTTGAAATTAGAGTAGGCCGTAGCGACGGTTTCTGGGCAGAGCACACTGCATAGACTATGTCCGTCTCCATTGGTTCAGAAAAAGTAGTGGTCTGTCCCCAAACTTTGTTTTCGTTCCGCCATTTGCTGAGAAATTAGCTCGGAGTTTTCCAGCGTCATACCAACTTTTCAGCAGTGTGAGACGCGTGTGGGGGTGGGTGGATGCAACGGACAAGGCTTTCGGGTAGTAAGAAAGAAAACACGATATCTCGTGTGCACCTGCACGCAATGGAACCCTTGACAGTTAGAATTTGAAATAAGAGTTAGCCTAACGTTCCTGCCCGGGAAAAATTGCCCTAATAGGCCTAGCATCCCGCATAGCGTATGGCCGTCTTCACTGGTGCAGAGAAGTAGATTGCTTGATTTGATACATGAAGTAGTTTAAATAATCGTTGTCTGTCCCCCAAATAGTCTATTTTTTGTCTATAAAAACTATAGTTTCTAGTGAAATAAATAACATATTGTCACCAGGAACGTTCAAATAACGACATATGAAAATAATTAATGTGATTTGAGTTGGTATATAAGTAGATTATGGTGGATTTCAGCAGATTTGTGTGGGTAAATGGTGCTGTGGCTGGAAATCATTGAACTTATGCGGCGAGAAAGAAAGAGAGAAATGGGGTTTAACGCCCACTCGACACAAACTAGGTATATTCTAGACTAACATTTGGTTTTAATTATATTTCAAGAATTCGATTGCGCATAGGGGTCTTTAGCAGTGGGAGGAAACCGTAGGACCCGGAGAAAACCCACGAGGTTGGACAAGCGACCCTACTCCTTATCACGTACAACCGGGGATTCGAAACCACGCCAGTTGACTCAATGACAGGGCTTATGATACAGCGCGCACGTGCTAACCATTCGGCCATCCAACCCCCCCAGGAGGATATTCAAAGGCTAGAAAGCCAGAAGTCGCGGGGGAGAAGTCGGGGAAAATTAATCTCGTGTTCTGGGGGCAGGAAGCTCGTCGACTAGTAGAATTAACTGTATTTTATCGACTTGTCGACTTGTCGGGTGGGGGATAAGACGAAGGCAACAAGTCGACAGAAATGAACCGACAAGTCGACAAAATGAAGGCTATACAGTTCTCGAGTTATTTTGTCGGGTTGTGAAGGCGACAAGTCGACAAAATACAATGTCGTGCGACTTCTCGCCTTCACAAGTCGAGAATGCAGAATGACCGCTAACAGCCACCATAGAACAGGACACTTTAGCCATGATTTGCACGCAATTATTATGTCGGATAGAAATAAAATGAAATGAAATGGGGTTTAACGTCCTACTGTTCTGCTCCTATGCTGGGCTAATGAAGACGGGCATACGCCATACAGTGTGCTGAGGGAAATTTTGCTGACAAGGGGGAACCACCCCGGAAAATCTGGATGAACTTTCTCGGCCAATGCAGGGATCGAACACCCGACCTCCACTTAGCCACGTGATCCCCCATGTTGGATAGGAAATGCAGATAAATATAGTATTTAGTCAGTTAAGATCACCTGCTTTGCAAATGAATTTTTAGCGAAAGTTGAATTGCGATCTGTAATCGATGCGGTGAAGATAGTACTCTGACTTCAGCTACGTATAAATACATATATACCGTTATAAACTATCCTTTCAATAATAGCGTCCAATTTATAAACAAAAGATGCACTGACTGTTTTTTCTTCGTTTTCTGGTGTTGCAGTGGTCGATTCATTGCGTGGATATTAGGTTAAAACTGATTCCTTCTCACAGTCACATCGACAGCTGGCCAGAAAAAATGACTTCTGATTGTAAACATTGATTTTTCGCAGATATATGGATTACACGTGAATTCTAAAGTATAACGGTGAGTATAAGGATTTCAGGTGTGTAATTTCGGTTGGATTCTAATGGATACCAGTTTTTTATGGCTAGATTTATTTTTCCATTAGATGTTTTTCGATACTTTAAAAGCCATTTTGTGTGTTAATTTATCCCCATCCCGATAACTAATCAGTGATCAGTTATCAAACATGATTAACTACTCAAAGCCTGAAATCTTCAGATTTATCAAAACTATATTGACCAAGACACCTGTCCCATCTCAAGATTACTCAATCTTAAAGCAATAACTCTTCAGATTAAACAAAAATATATAATCAAAGCTCCAGTCCCATCTCAGAGAGAGAGAGAGAGAGGGGGAGAGGGGGGGGGGGTAACGTCCACTCGAACACAAACTATGTCATTTCGGGACTAACGTATGGTTTAATTTTATTTCAATAATTAGCCTGCGCGTAGGGGTCTTTGACAGTGAGAGGGAAACGGAGGACCCGGAGAAAACCCAAGAGGATGGAGAGGCCACTCTACTCCTTGTGACGTACAACCGAGAATTTAAAAGAGTTGTGAATTCCTTATAGCACGAAATCTACAAATTTACAAGCCAAAACAATAATGACCAAGACTCATGTCCCATCTCAGATTGAAGTATAGCTAAGTGTAACTCAATAATACCGTCCAAAGTCTTCGACATTGAAAACAAGGATCATTTGTCAATTTAAATATACATTGATGTTGAGATCTTACCGGGAAAAGATGGGCGTCTGATATCCAATATTTAAGACAAAATAAACATTTTACCATTGGTACACGAATCCGTGTACCATAATGCGTTTCAGCGTCATTTGTACCAAGGGACATTTTGCCATAGGTACATTCAGCGCCATTTGTAACAAGGGTCTCGAAGGACGAGGCTAGACATATTTTACAAGTCATGTCAAACGGTGACGGCATATTCTTATCTGGAGAGCAGGCGCAATAAATACTATCTGTGTAGACTGGAACAGTCAGACGCTAGATATTGTCATTCGATTGAGACTTCTGACGTATTTCGCCGAACATAACTGATTAGAAATTATAGTAAAATTAGAAACGATTGAATGTAAATCAATTTATATACATTCATATTACATTATTATATGCGTTGCGACGCATTTGTGTCCATTTCTAGGTCCAAAATATTAGCGATTTAGCGCCTTTAAAGTTACACCAAGGAATGTTAAAGCTAAATCCGCCTATTACAGGTCTTTATTTTGGCTTCAAATGTTATATAAACTATTATTTAGACATTTATTCACAGGGCTAACGTCCACTCGACTCGATGACAGACATTAGAGACTTTTGGCAAGCGGATTTTTTCCCATCCGTATCACGTATCCGTATCGTCACGTGATACGTTGCGTCAGTGTAGTTTTAGAGTTTTGGCAGATTTTCCCGCCGCGTACGTATGAGTAGATGGGTTGAGCTTAGTTCTATTACAGCATGATGGCAGTTATCTACCAAGATCACCATCAGTACTAGTCAAGTGCCTAGCCTACAAATTCCTAGAGGGAGTAAAGTCGCTCGACAGTCGCTGAGCTATTAAAAAAACATTTAATGTCGAATATTATTAGAAATATTCGATTTCGACTCGACAACATTTTTTGGTTTCACTAATGTCATTTACCATAGAATCACATCATTTAGAGATTTGCAAGGTCCCACCTCCCTAAATTTAGCACGTAGATCAACCAGCATGCAGACAGACAGACTGGAAAAATATGAAAATTCCCATAAAAGCTCATCAAATATAATGATTAAATTCCAGTCTTTATCATGGTTAAAATCACATCAAATATTCACCTTTGTGTTCTAGGATACACATAGATTCATAAACACGCTATACCACAACATTTCAGCGTCTAAAAGTAGCAAACAAGGCGGTAAAAAGATAACGATGTTATACGGACCTTTTTCGTATGAAAGCTGTTCGATATGTGCTGCCGTATCCGTGTGCCGTATCACGTATGAGAAAACACATACATTGATGACGTCACAAGCATAATCGATACGGATACGTGATACGGACCAGAAATCTACGCTTGCCAAAAGTTTCTATTGTGATCTAACGTGCACGCATTAAACCTTTCGACCCCACCCCCACTCACCGTTCACCGAGCCACAATAATTCCTCATTCAGGAATACTACACATAAAACTGTAATATAATACTCAAATGATACAGAATAAATTTACCTTTTCAAGAATTAAACAGGTGATATTTATGACACTTCTGTCGAGCCGACAGTCACTCATCCATTCTTCGCTGTAAATAATATTCCCATTCGAGAACCTTTCTGTGATAATATTTATCGTTATCATGCAATTATCGTTTCTGGAGAGTCGATTCAAGTCTTTCTGAAACTCTTCATCGATCTCATTTACTGTTTACGTTTTCATCGCCTGGTTACTAGGTAACCTCGATAGAATTTTCTATACGCGTATTAAATATATGATGTAAAATGATATGGCTGAAATACAGATAATTAGAAGAACGTGTTTTATGTATTATAATAGGAGCTACGGTTGATCAGGAAATAAGCTTCATTTCATTTACAGAGCAATAAATTATCAATGAAGGATCATGTGGCTAAGTCAGTAAGTGGGTAAGACGCTGGCTCGCTAGCCTGAAGGTCGTGTGTTCGATCCCTACATTGGCCGAGAAAGTTCATCCAGATTTTCCAGCGTGGTTTCCCCCTTGTCAGTGATGCAGGATGGAGGGCCTGACAAGGACAGCTGTCTAGTTGTTCGGATGGGACGAAAAACCGAGGTCCCGTGTACACATTGGCGTGCAGTTGGAAGTTGGAATTCGATATAAGAGTAGGCCGTAGTTCCGCTGCCCGGGCAAAATTTCCCTCACAGCACACTGTATGGCGTATGCCCGTCTTCATTAGCCCAGTTTAGGAGCAGAACAGCAGGACGTTAAACCCCATTTCATTTCATTTCATTTCATTACATTATCAAAGAAGCAGCCAAAGACAAGACAAGGTAAATATAAGCCACGAAGCAACCTTTTAACTGCAGAAACAAGACGTCTACTTATTTAATGCAAGTGATTATCTTTAATTACTGTACTTAACGTATTAAATACACGTTCCTGCAAGAACAGCATACGGTTATTTTACGAACCAATTCCACCAGGTATATTTATTATAACACCGTGTAATGGTTTGGGATTTATTAAATATTCAGTCAGATTTACACAGATATACATAATCAATACAAATACATTAAACGATGTTTGTTTCGTTCTGCTACAGGCTGTTTATTTTCTGATGGTTTTTTTTCATTGTTTCAGTTATAAATTAATGAACATTATTCCCAAGAGTTGAATTGGTAAACTATAGATGCATGTTTTGTCTATTTTAGCGTAAATCCTGTATTAGTTGTCCATTATGGATACCATTCCTGTCGGAAAATCCCGTTGACCTTTTTCGACTCCTGCATCGGCCCAGATAGTTCACCCGGATTTTCTGACGCCCTTTTCCTCTAATCAATGGTGCAGGAGGGAGGGCCTGACAAGGACGGCTATCTAGTCGTTCAGATGGGACGAAAAACCGAGGTCCCGTGTATACATTGGCCTGCACGTAAAGGATCCCTTAGCAGTTGAAATTCGATATAAGAGTAGGCCATGGTGCCGCTGCCCGCGCAAAACTTCCCTGTATGGCGTATGCCCGTCTTCATTATCCCAGCCGGAGCAGAACAGTAGGACGTTAAACCCCATTTCATTTCATTTCATTTCATTTCCTTTGATGTTACTTTAAACTAATATATGAATTCATTTGTAAAAAACGCATAGATATTATAGAGGTGGAAGAATGGAAGGAACAAAAAGGGGCTATATTATATTTCATAGTTTCATATCTGTTGTTATAGTTGTTATGTACATTTTGTATTACTCTATTAGCTTGATAACGTTGAGGGAATGTCATCCTAAAATATAGAAATAACTGTTTTCCATAAGTATGTGTTATTCTGCATTCAGTCATTACAGTAGTACATAGGTTTTACATGTAACACCCGAAATTGTGAGAAAACTCTTTGAAACGCCGCCCCGTTAGTAACTAGTTTCCATAAGTATGTATTATAAACAACTCTAAAGGATTGTCATATATGAATAGTTCCTCTACAGCCAATCATCACACTAGTACATATAGTTACATGTAACACCCAGTGACATTCCTCATTTAAGGAGTTCGCACATGGCTGTTTCTTGTATATTTAATACAACCCACAAATTAAAATACTCAGTTGATAATTTTGGGCTAGTTGTGATTCAAGGTTTTCTTATCTGGAATTCTCTTGAAAATATATCGTACAAATGAATTAATTTGTAATTTGGGACACGATCGGCCTTCTTTTTTGGCCCTTTTAGATAAAGAAATAATTGGGGAGAACATTGTCTTTCTTTTTGAGTCCTTTAAAGAATTAATTGAATTAGACATAGTAGTAGATGTTTCTGTTGATACCTGTTCACATCCCACCTCCACCTGTTCCTATTCTGTCCAAGCCAGAAGCAGACGATATTCCTGAGAATTAAAAAAGACTTAAAATGATTAATCCATATTATGAAGGTACAATTACAACTGAAATAAATGAAACATCCGTAACTTACGATATATATTTTATATTGAGAATGATGAAACGTCGTGAACAAACTTACCTTGAGATACTTTCGCTTTTCTAAATACTTTCCTTTTCTCGACTCGTCTTTCCTAAAAAAAAAAACAACATTGAACATTTATTTCCAAAAAAGGACATTTAATTAATTACTGGAAAACTTTCTTTGATAACTGGTAATGGCGCGAGAAGAACCATTATAACGAATTGGGTCAAATTAGATAAAATAATCTCTGTTTACAGTCAGTTTTTGTTAGATTCCTTTTTTTTTGGGGGGGGGGGGTGGAGTGGGGGGATCTAACGCGTAACGTGCATGATTTCGACCCCCAGCTTGTACATGACAGGGAGTAGGCTTTTTTTCTTTATAATATATAAATGTAGTTGGAATGCGTCACTACGGCGGCCTGCCTCGCCCTTACAGTTCCGTTATTCCAAAATGAACCGTTATTTATACAATTACTGTTGCGTGTTTAATGCTGGAACGAGGATATCAAAAATATGCTATTCATATAAAAAACTGTATACAGAACTAGTCTTCACCAAAAGATCAGGAGCATGGATATACGAGTAAGTGCAAAAAACTCCCAAACAGATTCTTCTGGACAAATAGCTAAGTTCCCTAAACAAGTAACACTTCTTTAAGAAAACCCACCAATTACTTTCAGACAAAGCTTTGGAGTTGAAATTTTTTAGATTGAACTGCAGTCAATATTAATGTGCCATAGATTTATTACGATCAGCCTTAATTAAGTGGTATGAAAGCGGATATCATCTACCGGAAGTTACGGTTGGACGAGTATCACAGGAGCTAATATGATTACAATATGAGTGGTTTTAACTTTGAAGCAAGGCTGTGATAAATTAAAATAAATATTCCTGAACAATCAGTGATCATTGTAAAAGACTTACAAATTTAAGTTGATTTCTGAGTTCAATTATCAGATTTTGATATAAGGACGCCTTAATTCTATAATATAGAGCTGCTAAGCTGAAAATAAAACAGATTCATGAGCATTATTGTTCAATTGACTGAATGCTAGCCCACATTTTGGATTGATACACTTGGTTGAAGGTTTCGAAGATGGTAGCAGGCAAACAAGGAGTAGTTTGAATAATAACAAGACGCAAGGCATTAAAGTTAGATTTCCAAAACAACATGGGCAATAGCTTCCCGAAACTCTGATTGATCGTATTCCGATTCAAACGCATCTTGAGATTCTATCAATAAAGCCAATATACCATGGACCGTATGCGGCGCTATTACTTTTGAATTTCTTAGACTGATATAACAGTTCACGATCAATTGTTTATATCTTAGAATTCAATAATAATTCACACAATAATTAATGACTGGCATTATGTTCAATTTGTGTATTTGCATCCCAGCACAGTACTTTAATCTTATCTTTAATTATTATAATTATTATAACAATATAAAGAATGGGATAATACTCACAGTAACAATATAATTAATGGTATAATACTCACAGTAACAATATGATTAATGGTATAATACTCACAGTAACAGTAACAATATACTATTCAAAAAAAGTAGGGGATATTTGATTTTGGGGGCATAATACTAAAATATGCAAATGACTACGAAAAAAGTCACTATAGAACCTAACAGAAGAAACATTTCCAGTTACATGTGACGCCCAAACGCACCAATAGCTACCGCATGGAATGCATGTGATGCTTGGGATCATCATGGGGGTCCAACCCAAGATTTGCACGACTCTGACTTTGAATGTTACAGTCATTGTGGCTTTGAATTCCAGGGTGGAAACATCAGTTTAATTGTTTTAGTGACCAGAAAACAAATTTTGACATGCGTCGGCTTACCCAAAATGAAAGGTTACGTGCCCTTGGCATGCTACAGATCGGCACAACACAGGCGGTTGTGGCGCGGACGATGAATGTTTCTCAGTCTGTCATAAGCAGGCTATGGTCCAGATACCGTGATACACAATCTGTACAGGACAGACCACGCTCAGGTCGACCAAGGGCGACAACTCAAGCCCAGGATCGATTTATCCGTACCTTGGCCTTGAGAAATCGTGTCATCACAGCAAATCAAATCAGCGCTCGTCTTCAAACAGACACTGGTGTGAGAGTGAGTGGCCAGACGATTCGGAATCGACTGCATAGGGGTCACCTTCGCGCCCGACGTCCTCGCGTGATCCCTTGTTTGAGAGATCATCACATTCAGGCAAGACGTCGTTGGTGTAGGGATCGTCAACACTGGGATAATCGACGCTGGAGCAATGTGATGTTTTCAGATGAGTCAAGGTTCACTGTTGATTTTTTGGACAGACGTAGGAGGGTGTGGCGTCATCGAAACGAGCGCTTCCAAGACGTTAACGTCATCAGACATGATCGATTTGGGGGTGGTTCTGTTATGGTGTGGGGAGGCATCACTGTTGCTGGAAGAACGGCTTTACATGTTGTTGCAGGGCGTGTTACAGGCCAGTACTACCGGGACAACATCTTGGCAGTCCATGTTGTGCCGTTCGCTCGACGTCATGGCCGCCGTTTCATCTTCCAGGATGTCAACGCAAGATGTCACATGGCAAGGATCGTTACAGGTTACCTCCAACAACAGAACATCACCACATTACCTTGGCCAGCACTGAGTCCCGACCTCTCCCCCATCGAGCATGTCAACGTCAACAACGTCCTGCCAATGTCCAAGAACTTGCTGCTGCGTTGCAACAGGAATGGGACAATCTGGACCAAAATGACCTTAGACGTCTCATTAGGAGTATGCCACGTCGGATCAATGCTTGTTTGGCAAACAGAGGAGGATTTACCCGTTACTGACTTGGTTGTGATGCTGTGGTAACTTTGCTGTTTGAGCCCGGGTATCATTTTACCCTTATAATGGTCAGTCTGTGCCTTACTTAGTCTAACGATCATTTGGAATAAATCGATGAATGTGAACTTCATTTCATTTTGTCATTTGTTTCTTCGTCAGTTTCATTAGGTGACTTTAATAACACTTAAAAATCAAATATCCCCTACTTTTTTTGAATAGTATATAAGTAATGGTATAATACTCACAGTAACAATATAATTAATGGAATAATACTCAAAGTAACAATATAAGTAATGGTACAATACTCACAGTAACAGTATAAGTAACGGTATAATACCCACAGTAATAATATAATTAATAGTATACTACTTACAGTAACAATATAATTAATAGTATAATACCCACAGTAACAATATAATTAATAGTATACTACTCACGGTAACAATATAACTAATGGTATAATACTCACAGTAACAATATAATTAATGGTACAATACTCACAGTAACAATATGATTAATGGTATAATACTCACAGTAACAATATAAGTAATGGTATAATACTCAGAGTAACACTATAAGTAATGATATAATACAGTAACAATATAAGTAATGGTAATACTCACAGTAACAATATAAGTAATGGTATAATAACAGTTGACGTGCTGACGTAATTCAAACCATCTTGTAACCACACAGGAAGGTTGCCAATGCGTGTCGTAATCACTTCATAGACATGGTTTTCCAGTCGGAAAGGACCACAATCAAACGATGGCGATAATCTATAACAGAAATGCGTTTATTTTTTTCAAACAGTATTTGGGGGCGAGTGAGATTTAAAAAAACAGGTTATTTTAGAAAATAAAAAAATAGGAATTTGTGATATGTTTCGGTAATCAATACCTTCTACGGTAATTCCCACATCCCCACTCAGTCATAAACTTGCATGTTGTAGAGCATTTCCGACAGTCTATTTTTCAACATTTTGTTGGCGAGTTCCCCAATGGACTCGCTACTTTGGCGTTCACAAGGGGTATTCGTTGAAGTTCGCAATTCCGTTCGTTTGACATTCTGTTCTCTAGTCGGATAAACTAGTGATCAGGCGACGGACGGTATCTGGTCAGATCTATTTATCTCGACGATCGGTGCCTGACAGAATACTGTAAGACAGCATTTCCGACAGTCTATTTTTCAAAACTTTCTGGGGGAGGACTCCCTACTTTGACGCTCTTGAGTGGGTTTCGTCGTGATTCGCAAGTCCGTTCGTTTGACACTTTACCTCATCGATCAGTGCCTGAAATACTGCCAGACTGCTTTTCAAAATTTTCTTGGATAGGCCCCCTACCCCTAGTTGAAGCTCGTGCCTTTGCCCCCTTAACCTTGGACTTAGCCCCAGCTTTGCCCCTCCAATCACCGACGGCTGGCGCCGCCACTGGGTATCATACCTCTTAATAGCAATTACTGATTAGCATCTATTTTAATCCACAATACTCCCATTTCTAAATATCCCTGTGTGCAAGTCAATTATTGATATAAAATTACATTTATCTCTCTCTCTCAGATAGTAATCAGACATATGTTATTTATGAAGCTTCAGGCTGTTTATATAACTCTCATTTAATAATTAAATTTCCATACTTACACAACAACAGAATACGTCATAGGAAACAAAGCAACAAACAAATTAATCAACAATATAAACATGTAGAATGTTCCAGATCGGGAAGCTTTAAAAACTTTAGTTGGTGGTGTATTACAATATCTAGCAATTATATACCGAACATAGAATGTTATAACCAGCTTAATAACTTGAATAAAAGCCAGAAATGGCGAGAAGTAGAGACCAAGCCATATCAACGATTGGCTGTATATCAGATCCAAAACATTCGACGTTACATCAAAATCTCTGTAGCCAAACTGAAAGTAGATATTTGAAAATAAATCCTTTAAAACCAGCATATAATATTTTAAAGAATCAGACCTTATAAAATATTCAAATCAAAGGAGTCTAGAGAAGTCCATCTGCAAATAGTTACCTTTTTAAATTGAAAATTGCCGAAACACAAACGTTTGTAAAAATAAAAATCAATATTGACTCCAACGGTATTAAAACATCGTAATCTAATCAATTTTGAACTTCGCAATGAAATCAATTTAAACGCAAAACATCTTTACAAAATCATTATAAAATCAAATCTTTTTTGGCGCCTAAACAAAACTGTAAGGTATTTTCCGTTTATAGAAGGAAAAACAGAAAGGTTGACCATTAAACCCCATTTCATTTCTTTCATTGAAGTAAAAATATGTATTACCTTATTCCAGATTTGACACTGAACAATAATGGCTGTTAGAACATCTAGTACCAATCCCACTAATATAACAACAACCAAATCTAATATAACAACTTTAAATATCTCTTCACCAACTTCATTCTCCCAGCAACAAAAATTACTTAGGTTCCGCTAAAAAAAAAATGTAAAAGAAGATTCTAGCTGATAACATTGACTTAGTATTTAAATGGTTTTGTGAAAGCTTTATCAATGTTTGTTCATTGTGTAAAATAATGTCGCTCAACTATCTTTTTCGTGATAAAATTGGAAAATTACTGCCGCTTGTACATTCGTAAAAATTGTATATACAACTGCCATACTGATATATTATTTACACATTAAATATTATTCAAATCATGCACGCCTGTCGCACGTGCCAATCACGTTATGTATTTTCTATATTAAATGCTTTACAGCCACTTCCGCTACGGAAGATAACCAATTTCAATTTTCAAGACGTCATTTCTAGTACCTCCTCACCCTGGGCCCATCTTACTTGTTAGGCCTATCGTCTAAGGCTTACCACATTCCAATTTACGCGCCTGGTTATATTATTCTGAATATATTTTCGGGTTAATATTTCAGGTCAAATATACATTGCACACGTAGCTAATATATCGCAAAGCTACTGTTAATGGACGTATTGGAAATTGAACCAGTTTTTCTATAAAATATATACTTACATGTGTAAAAGTACCATTTTGATCTTCACTGACACATTTACTGCTGACATCATACAATGACGTCACAAATACAACTAAGCTGGCAAGGTAGAAGAGTGCAGTCCTGTAAAACGTTATTTTTTCTTTTAATATTTGAAATAAAACATTTCTCGTGGAATATATATTGGCGCTCCTTCCCACCCCTTTCCATTTATCCATTTTGTTTAGTTTTTGCAGCATGGTTTTACCCGGAATACCGTCTAGTAGTTCGGATGGTACCAAAAACCGCAGTTCACTCGTGTAGTCATTGTCGTACAAATAAAAGAACCATCGGGACTAACATGGTTCTATTTTATTTCAATAATTCGCTTGCACATATATGTCTTTAGCAGTGGGAGGAAACCGGGGTACCCAGATAAATCCAGTTTGTTTAGACTATCAGAGTATACAATCAGACCAGTTTGGTTGAGGGTTTGGGTTTACCTGATGATATTCAACTTAATTTCTATTCTTGGATGCCATCGTTCTAGTTTACACACAAAATGTAACATAGGAGGAACAACGACCTTTAAACCTGACACAGCAACCGGAAGCTAAAATAATAATATAAATAATAATAATTATACTTTAATATAAGTTTTCAATTAGTAAAATGGCACCCCATCTTTAATCATGATCAGTAATACAATTGCCGTTTTCATTAGATTTCATTTTAATTTCTTTTGTGGGATGTCTTCGTCAGTAGATACCGAATAACTGAACGTGGAAAAAGTCATAAGAAAATGAAAGTAAAATTAACAAACAAACAAACTTACTTCCGCTTTCTTTCTAACATTTAATCGTATAATTGCAATAGTCCACGATGACGAAGTCCAGTGTTACCTGATATTTAGAGAAAAGATCTTGTAGAAAATCTGGTACTTCTTCTGGTGTTAAAGTTGTATCAGCTACTATATATATTACATAGCCACTACCACCTAGTATAATAATAACCAGAAGATTGGCCACTACTCGTGTAATATAGATCCATAACCTACAATATACAACATATTTATAGAACATATAATAACCAGAAGATTGGCCACTACTCGTGTAATATAGATTCATAACCTATAACATATTTATAGAACATATAATAACCAAAAGATTGGCTACTACTCGTGTAATATAGATCCTACAATATACAACACATTTATAGAACATATAATAACCAGAAGATTGGCTACTACTCGTGTAATATAGATCCTACAATATACAACACATATAGAACCTTCCATTTACAATTAAGTCTCTGATATAACCAGTACCAATAAACATTTTATTGTGGAAATAGCTACTCATTCCGAATAGTTGTTCAGTAGTTGTGAACTACCGCAGCAGAAGACATAACTAGGGCTAAATCTATTTGTTAAGGCCAGCTCAATTTTGGTCAAGGTCGTTGAGATGTAAATAAAGTTAGGGCACGTGATTGTTGGCAAGATTGTTGGGTAGGCTAGGGTCAGGGTTGGGATTAGCGCTAGCCCTGTTTACATCTCGTGAACTTTGGCCAAACTTGAAGTTGGCCTTATCAAATAGATCTAATCCATAACTAAGCACTATTATAAAACAAACAACCGCAAATACGGGATGAACCAGGAACCGAACTTCGCGTCATTGTCGCCATCTTGCAATTGTCCTATCAAAGTCTGTCAGTCGATGCACAATTGTCTAACCAAAACCAAAACGCATGTCAGGTTTCATCGCGATTGCCCTGGAATTGGTGGATCATTGGGCTATTTTTGAAGAACGTAGTCCTAAGACGAAGAAGATTACCAGTCGTTTGGAACCAGCTGCTGGTTCAAAAGTGTGTAAAACCACCCACATTTTTCACTGATGTCTACGAATGGGAGCAAAGGGTAATGGTGTAAGTTTCATAGCTTGACTTACATTTCCTGTCTATTCCTGGTTTCGTTAGCCTTTTCCTCTCTCACCATTTCCTGGAAACACGACATAAATATTTTTAAAAATGGCATTCCTGGAATATGACCCTAGAGCATCACAGCTCAATTGATTTTTTTGACCATAAATTTGGTGCCTTAGAATGGCGTAGCCATAAATCTGTTCAGAGGGTATCAAAATTTTGATGATAGAATGCAAGGTATATGTACACAGTTCATGTCTTATAATGTTAGCATATAGACGACAGTAGAAATGAACATAAAAAGTTCCGGGCGTGATTGAGAATATTATTTTAGGTGGGGAGGGGGGGGGGGAGGAAGGCACGGTGGCTCATTGAATATGGCGCTGACTCATTAATCGGGTCCAGAGTACTTCGAGAATTTTCACCGCCGTTTTGACTTACCATTGATGTGGGGCTGAGATTGTAAGGAAAAACGCCCAGCTCAAAAACACGAGTTCCCATGTACAAGTTGGTTTGTACGCATAAGAGCTCAACGAAGAATAGGCAGAAACGCCACTGTACGGGCAACATGTCCCCTATAACACATTGCCTGACGTGTGCTCGTCTTCATTGTCCCGGTTAGAGCAGAAAACTAGGACGTTAAACCCCATTTCATTTGCCAGGAATATGATTATCATTTCATGACATGACATTGATCCTTTAAGGTTTTATAGAATACATTTTCCTTATTTTGTTTTATTGCCTACTTTAAAATCGGTCCTGATAGCCGCCATTCTAACTGATACTCCACTTTTATCAGTTAAAGTATAATCCCAAGACGACAGAGCTCTCCACGCAAACCGGAACTCGTCTCCTTGATCCTCCATTTTACTTCTTCGGTAACCAAGATACATGCTAACCAAGATACAACAAATAGACATTTTAATAAAAATCTGCCACAAAAAAAATAACAAAAAAACAAAAGGACCCCTTGAGGGAATAATCTGACTAATGGGTTTATTTAAAAAAAAAATAGATGATAATCTTATCAATCTCTGGCGAAAATATAACGCTGTGGGAACAGCTGTACTGAAGTGCCTGCAGTTTAAAGGTCGAGAGTGGAATAAAATCAAGACGAGGATAGTAATGAGTCCTATATATTATAATTTGGGCTAAATCTATTTGCTAAGGCAAACTCAATTGTTGTCAAGTTCACTGAGATGTAAATAAGGTAAGGGCACGTGATTGTTGGTGAGATTGTAGGTTGGGGTTAAAGTAAGCATTAGAGCTAGGTCAAGGGTCAGAGTTAGGGTTGGGGTTGGGATTAGCGCTCGCCCTGTTTATATCTCGTGATGAAAAATTGAGCAGGCCTTATCATTTAGCACCAACCTTATAATTTGTGCTTTTGAATAAAAAAAAAACTCTTGAAGAATGGGTCATCATTGATTTAAATTATCAGATGAACAGTAAGGCGTTACACTTAATTTATCCTATGGTAATTTCTCCTGCATGCAAATTATTGATGAAAATTAATCTCGAAACGGGATTGGGATTGTTCACCAGATCAGTCAATCTTTTTCACGCGATCATTCAGTTCCAGGAGCAAAAGGACAAAACCGTCGATTTCTAGTCCCGTGCAACAGCATTCTAAGACTTAAGGTTTAACTCAACTTTCAATCACTGTTTATGAAAAATGTGGTTGACCCACAAATACAACAATTTGCACATAGTTTCTTATTAAACCAACAAAAGTTTTATAAAGGGCTATAATTTGAGTTAATTTAAGTATGAGAATGCCTTGTGAACTCGGGTCCTGGACGCTGGAACTAAAGGAGATGTGAATTCTAGATAGAATACACATGCACCAATGTTGCTTGATGTTTTCATTTATGTTTTTAAAGTTTGGCTAGTGACTCTACTGGTGGTCATTATTATTATCCAGAGGTTACCTTCGAAAAAAGTAGCTTTGACTCCAAAATTCTAAACGGAATGGGACGGAATTGGGTTTAGAGTCTCTTTATGTCAGTTTGAGACATGGTAATTATTATTTGTTTGGTTACGCTTGTAATGCGACGGGTACTTTCCACCTGTCGTCTTCGAATTCCAGCTACCAAGACTTCTTTTACGTGCACGGCAATGTCTACGACAAAACACGGTTTCCTTGCCAGCAGCGCAGGCGCCACTTACGAACTCTCGCTTCCGTTTTCTAAAAGTGTTGCTCCATAGTGCTTACAATGGTGAGTATGCATACTCTGCATAAAAACATAAAAAGACATTCGGTCATCATTTTGGATAGTCTTTCTCGCTTTGGTACGACCACAGTCATACAATTTCTACATTTTAGTAGACTCGGCTTTATATTTAAAAAACAACAACAATTTATTTTATTTGGTGTGATCATAATTATTGAACAGTCGTGTCGTGATTTATTATGATCTATCATCATCCAATGACTGGTACTTCAGCACCCTCCGATATAATAAAATCTTTGAAATATGAGTAACAGTCCATTCTAGAGGCCCACGGAGGACTTCCACCACCAAAAAATGTCGAAAAGAAGAGACCATTAATTCTAACATTATCGCTAACTCTCCATATTAAGTTCTGTCCACTATAAACCAGATTTCCATCCACAAAAAGCTTAGCAAGTCCATCACTCTTCCCAACAGTATTCAGCTGAAGATGTTCAGTTATTCTGGTCCAAACACCTGTTTTGAATCGAAAACTTCCTCGGCCAAGCGAATTACCTTTAAGTGGGAAACAAATTACGTCTTTTCTTTCGCAGAATCCCGCAGCCTGGTCTGGCATGTACACATAGATCTCTCCATCTCCTTTCTCCCTCCACATAAGTCGAGCAGAGAAACAGGTGGTTGAATGACGCCCACCAGAACAATCAGCTTCATCTCCACCAAATAAGCCGGGTAACTTCCCTCCCATTACAAAGTCGAAACCAGGACTGAAATACACTTGGTAGGATACGGTCATGGCAGTTTTTGACGCTGTCGGCAAACTGTAAAATTGTGCTCCCCTTGCATTGTGGATCGCTGGATTAGAATAGGTTCCATTCTGGTAAAATACCCTGATGACGTTTTCGTTTCCACCCGCAGGATCTTTGGAAACTGTCAAAGAACCGTAATTGAAAGAACCATGTTTGAGTGGATGGAAATTCTTCAGTGGATCATCTACCGGAAAATCATTGTTTCTCCATAACACACCCCCTGTGAATAAATATATTTCACTATCATCAAAAGAGTATCTACATCACGAATCACACTTGAACAATGCCAAACAAATGAAACCCCTGGAACTAGAATAGAATACTAGAAACAATGAATGCTATGGTGGTATACTAATGCATAGTCTATAATGGTTAGGTATGTTTATGTCTCTAAAACAATGGCTCAGTGTGTATGGCACAGGCGCTCATGCTTCTGAAGCAACGACCGCGAGTCTTACAATACCTAGACGTTGCTACACTGCCTTGCAATTCCCGAACTTATAGCTACGTTATCCCCCTTTACCATAGACACGTGAACAGTAGCGCCCAAACAGAGGTTGTGACACAAACACACTCAAACTTTGACATTGAACGAACCTTGAACATTACTACTCGAATATCACATGTCTACACTTTAGCTGGAAAGTGCGAGACTTGCTATTCGCGATGATCGAGCCCTCTATTAAAGATGGGGGGTCTCTAAAACATTTGCTTGGTGAGTATGGCGTCGGCACTCTAAACAGGGTTTCCCGGGATTTTCCAGTCTGGTTTCAGCATATCCATGGTGCAGGACAGGGGGTCTGGCAAGGAGAATGGGGTGTCCCATTTATACCATTGGCACCACGTTAAAGATCCCAAAACAATTGAAAATCGAAAAAAAAGTATTTCGTAGCGCCGCTGTCTCGGCAAAATTCCTTTTATAGCTCATTGAATGGTATTTGCCCGTCTTCATTACCCGGTTTGGTGCTGCAAAGTAAAATCCGCATTCATTTCACTTTTCTCTGAAAGATTGAACTTTGAGATAAACGTGAATGAAGAGACGAAACACAACAGACAGGATCTATCCGAGCACCAATCCTATTATAAGTCCACCAACAAGGAGAAATATAAAGGTGTGTGAACTATCATTTTATTTGTTTCATAGAAACACACATTTTAGTTATAACGAACAAAAAAAAAATAACAGGAAGAATATTCTATAAATACCTGAATTATTTTGAGCTTCAGTGTAACCAATTCCAGAACAGAAGAGAAAAAGGGTAAAGAGAGATGAAAACATGCTTCTGAATTACAATGGTCCCGCTTTTTGTCTGAATTCTGGATAAATCGTACTTTACACAATCAACATGTAGTCCGTACTCTTATCATTTGTGTCGTCCTCGATTAATGTAAGACAAGATAAGACAAACAAATCAAGGTCATCAGCAGAGGGCACCCTGCGACCAGAACAAGTACTCGTTTTGTAAAAAGGTATCAGTCGGATTGAGGAGGAGGAGGAAAAGGTATGTGGGTGGGTAGGTGGAGGGGGGGGGGGGTATACTCTTCCGTCACATTTCTCCAGGTGTTAGGAACCCCCTATCGGGAAAGTTGCGAATACTCATTTCCGGGCATTGGAATTGGTTTTGTTCAAGTTTGTTTAAAGGGTAATTCTTGTTTTATATTATTAATGTAACTGTGGCGTGTTACCAAAGATACAGATGGTACGAAAACCGGTGTCCCGTGTACACCACTGACAGTTGTAATTTGTACCGCAGTTGTCGGGGCACAATTTTACCCAAAGCACCCTGCATGGCGTATGCCCGTGTTCAATAACCCGGATGGAGCAATGAAGTAGGACGTTAAACTCCATTTCCTTTTAAAATCTTAGATAAAAAACCAACCTGGCTACTATCACCATAAAAGATATAATGTTGACAGAAATCCAGGTCAATAAATAAGCCATTGGTCGCTCATAGTAACCCCAATCATTGTTATTATACGCTCCATAGAAAAGGACGCTGGTAGATATTACTCCCTGAAAATACAAATAAAATACACTACGAAAATTTAATTAAGTGATGCTTCTGTTTACGACATCAAAAATACCCAAGAAATCAGTTCCACTTTTACAAGACGTGATAATTTTGGAGAGAGTATTCATAAACGTCAGTGAGCAATGGCCAGTGGGTTGGCACCGCTATAATATGGGCCACGCCACAGGGCTTGATAAAAAAAAACCTTCTGAATACATATTTTGTCTATTTGCTCAGATAAGCAACCTATTAATGAATAATGGGTCGACCAAGTACTAGTAGATGAATGCTGGTCAGGTTTGTTGTAACACCAAGTTTTGTACTGATAAACTTTAAAGCAAGGCCTTCACACGATTTCTAAAGATACACCTATACTCTATACTTACAAAATATCCAGTAATAGCCGAAGGAATATCAGAATCATTTGGTAGAATCTGGAATCACATTTCATATAATTAAAAAAATGGGACATACAAAAAACAAAACAAAACAACATCACTGATAATTTATGACATTTGAGGAATCAAGTCGTCTTTCGCTAACCTTGATCTCAATTTTTTTTATAAAATCATTTAAATTATTGACATGATTTGTACAATATGCATATCTATAACGGTCACCTTTTGCAATACTTTGGGATTGACAAAAAACTCTCTTGTAAAGATTAGATCTATTTGTAAGACCACCTCCAGGTTTTCCAAAGGTCACAAGATGTAAACAGGACTAGCACTAACCCTAACCCTAACCCAAGACCTAGCCCTAACCCTTATTGTAACCCATTATCTAGTCAACAATCACGTTCCCTAACCCTAACCCAAGACCTGGCCCTAACCTTTTATCTAGTCAACAATCACATTCCCTAACCCTATTTACATCTCGGCGACCTTCATGAAATCTGGAGGTGGCCTTAATATTTAGATCTAGCCCTCTTGTCAGTATTTGTTGGTGATTAGTAATATCCTTGATTAGCCAACATCTTTAAATTTGTTGTATTTTATGTTTGGCTATCTGGAGTACAGGCGCGGACGTGGGCCTCGGACAGTCGGACGTTGCCCGAGGACCGAGAAGGTCCAGGGGCTTTTCGGTCTCGATTGAACATTTTTTGATGCATATTTTTTTCAAAATGAATCCACTGAATAATATAATGATTTAAAACCGATCTATGAGTGGGGTGCGGGAAAGGCGAATCAAGCTAGTTTCGTTTACTCATCATGCCAAATATTATTCGCCGCGATGAGTGCATCTGGTGGGGTAAATAGAAGAAAACAGTTTGCTGTACTTACCTGTGGTATTGAAACAAAACCAAACATAATTATACCAATAAAACAGTTTAAATAGAACAAAAATCGTAGAAAAATAAAAAATGACACCACGTTACTGCCAAAATAACCTGAAATTATAATGTTTTTATCAAAGATGTCTTCCCGCGTACAAACAAAAATCGTAGAAAATTAAAAAAATGACACCACGTTACTGCCAAAATAACCTGAAATTATGTTTTTATCAAAGATGTCTTCCCGCGTATAAACTGTGTGACTTGATGGGGTTTAGCTACCGCTAGACACAAAATTGGGTTATTTCGGGGTGGGGTTTAACGTCCATTCGACACAAACTATGTCATTTCGGGACTAACATATGGTTCAATTTTATTTCAATAATTCGCTTTCGCTGAGAGGTCTTTACAGTTGGAGGAAACCGGAAGACACGGAGTAAAACGAATTTCAATTCGTATTTTTAATTTCTAATGCCATGAAAAATATTCTGTTCGAGATTTAAGCTCCTTTAATAGAATGTTTCTTTGGATTTTCTGTCGTTGTTTCCTTTTGTAGGTTGTGCAGGACGAAGAGCTTAGATAGAAACAGTATCTAGCTGTTTGGATTAGACGAAAAACTGACATTCTTTGTACAGATGGAATTCGAAATCTCAGTAGGCCGTAGCGCCGGTGTCCGGGCAAATTTTCACTCCCTAGCACAATAAATAGCGTATGTGCGTCTCCATTAGCCCAGTTGATGTAGAAAAGTAGGACCGTAACCCTTATTTCATTTTATTTTATTTCGTTTCGTAATCAGTTTGGAGAACCATACATTATATTTACCAGCAATATGTGTAATATTATTCTCCCACAATCCAAAACCAGATTGATATTTATATCGACTTCTCTCCTGAAGATCAAAAATTTAGAAGCAATAAAACACTAAACAGATTTCTTACACTGAAACGATATTCTGAAAGTCATTGGACAGTAATTTAATAATTCGATTATCATTCTTTTTCTAAAAAAAAAATGAATATATATAATAGGCAGAAACTGTAAATTACGTGATGTTCTGTTCTTTTCTGTTTGGTGGTCACGACTTTCAAAACTTCTTGTTGCTGGAGATATCTATAACAAAGAGAGAGAGAGAGAGAGAGAAATGGGGTTTAACGTCCACTCGACACAAACTAGGTCATTTCGGGACTAACATATGGTTTAATTTTATTTCAATAATTCGCTTGCGCATAGGGGTCTTTAGCAGTGGGAGGAAACCGGAGGACCCGGAGAAAACCCATGAGGTTGGACAGGCGACCCTACTCCTTGTCACGTACAACCGGGGATTCGAAACCGCGCCAGTCGACTCAATGACAGACTTTATGATACAGCGCGCGCACGCTAACCATTCAGCCATCCAACCCCCCCTATCTGTAACAAAGAGATACAAATCAATAATTTGACAATAGCTTCGTTGTCTTTTTTAAGGGTTTATCTTATGACCCAAAGACTTATCTATTCTAGGAGACAGCTAAAAGGAAACCGTGTTTAAAGACTTTGTTCTCCAATACATTTTTATAGATACGTGCTCCGCTACAGGCTGGGACCTGTTGTATTAAGGATCATCACCCGATACCGACTGCCATGTTGTCAAAGGTCAACTTGACCTGCCCAATGAAATCTGTTCAGTCAATATTGCTTGATAGGCCTGCAACCAAAATGTCTAGCTTGCTTAGACACACAATTCCGCTCCGTTTTCCTCATTTTTTCCCCTCGTACCTAAACAAACTATACATTTTTGGAAAGCCCATACCACCTCGAATACAAATCCGAGAGTTCCTGGAATACGGGCCTGGTGAAAATACTAATATTTCTGAAGTTGACATAAAATTAAATATTGATGAAAGCTCCGATGTCTTCATCCATGGTAAGGAATATGGTATAGGTTAAATTTTGATTTAAACACAAATGCCGAAAACATAAAGGACAAGGGAACAAACATACGGGATTTTGGAAATCCATTAACGGTATCATTTACAAAGAGTTATCTCCCTTTATGAAAAATAATTATTGATAACAGTATTTAATTTAAACGATTTATTCGATAAACTGAATAGGATTTAACAACAGACAAGGACCTATTAAGTTCTCAACAAGGTAGGTTGAGCTATGCCAAATTTCAACAGATATCAGTTTTTATTTAAGAAGGTTGTAAATCCGTAAATCATTTTTCCTGCGACATGGACACGAGTGTGATGACAATTATTCGATCAGTGATTGGTCGAAACCTCCTCCTCATAGTGCTATACGTGATTATAGTTCAGATTTGCACCGCTTCTGATCCCTTATAACACTAGATACCAAACATCAAGTGTTTTGAAAGCTCCACTCTTTAGGGAAGCCCAAATGCGTGAGAGTTTCATATTTAGCAAATAATATGGCACACTTCCCTATTTTTAAAATTGTGCTTATCTTTACGGGGTTTTTTTTGAAAATTTTATAAATGAAAGTACGGATACATTACTTTTGAAGTATCATTTTTTCTGCCATAGATAAAGGTTGGTCTCTTAAATGATCTCTTATCTTCAGCTGTAGCGACCATTTTGTTTCTTCGGGGCCGGCCGTATTCTCTATATAATCTATCCAATCGACTCTGAAAAACGGAAACAACTGAACAAACAAATTCCCTTGATAGGCGTGATAAATTACAATAATATGGTTCTCATTAAGCCACACACTTTGTATTGTATCGTGTAGTATGTTGCATTCTGTATTATATTGTAAAGTGTATTGTAACATGGATAGGAAATCTTCCTTTGTCCTTATGTTGAATAAGCAGATTGTTTTAGCTTAACTATGCAATAACTAGACATGTTCAATGTAATTGGGGATCACGTGGCTAAGTGGGTAAGACGCTGGCTCGCTAGCCTGGAGGTCGGGTGTTCGATCCCTGCATTGGCCGAGAAAGTTCATCCAGATTTTAGGGCGTGGTTTTCCCTTGACAGTGATGCAGGATGGAGGGCCTGACAAGGACAGCTGTCTGGTCGTTCGGATGGGACGAAAAACCCAGGTCCCGTGTACACATTGGCGTGCACGTAAAAGATCCCTTGGCAGTTGGAATTCGATATAAGAGTAGGCCGTAGCGCCGCTGTCCGGGCAAAATTTCCCTCATAGCACACTGTATGGCGTATGCCCGTCTTCATTAGCCCAGGTTAGGGGCAGAACAGTAGGACGTTAAACCCCATTTCATTTCATTTCATTTATATTGTAAAGTGTATTATATTGTGTTGTGTAGACGTATTGTATAGTTTTTGTATAATTTATTGTGCCTTGTATAGTATAGTTTATTGTGTAGTGTATAGTTTGTTGTGTATTGTATAGTTTATTGTGTATTATATTGCATTATATTTTATTGTATATTGTGTACTGTATAGTTTTTTTGTGCATTATTGTTTATTGTGTACTTTATAGTTTACTAGCGGATAATCCGGCGCTGCTGGTTGGCCAACGCCAACTGGCCTGTTACCCCGAGCTACCCGTATCGTATACACCAAATTTCAGACTCGGAACAGACCTATAGTAGCCGTGAACCCTGAACAAACATACAGACAGGCGACAGTCACAAATATTGGTATAGATTGTGTATTGTTAAGTTGATTGTGTAGTATATACTTTATTGTGTATTGCATTGTATAGTGTGTATTGTATTGTGTATACTGTATTGTGTAGTTTATTGTGTATTTTATATTATGTTGTGTATTATATATGTCCTGTATTGTGTTGTTTTATGTCGTATTCTATAGTCTATGGAGGAATGGATTTCTGAATATGGATTGTTAACCAGCAAACCCATGTTAAACCCTCTTACCTGCCCGGCGTTATTAAAGAATACAATATAATTCATCAGGGAAATATGCATACCCTTTATTAAGATGACCATATTTCATTCGAAATAAAACTTCATCGGGTGTTGGTCTGAATTCAGGTAAGGTCAAAGTCGTGGATGCTACTGAAACTACAAAAGGAGAAAATCAAAGAGAGAGAGAGAGAAATGGGGTTTAACGTCCACTCGACACAAACTAGGTCATTTCGGGACTAACATATGGTTTAATTTTATTTAAATAATTCGCTTGCGCGTAGGAGTCTTTAGCAGTAGGAGGAAACCGGAGGACCCGAGAAAACCCACGAGGTTGGCACTACAAAGAAATAATTCACACATATATTCTGCAATCAGGAGTTCCATGTCACGAATGTACGTGAAATCGCGGTGAAAAGGGATGGAATCTCTTCCTATTTTGCGACGGATTTCTTCAACTCATAAATAACCTGGCAAACGGTTTGATCAGGTCAACTTCAAGTTTGGAATCCATGTCCGTGGAAGTTAAGGGAAACTTAACGTCTATAAACAGGGTTTCGTTTTAGATGCATCATAATATTAAACTCAAGTAATATAGGGCCTATACTCATAAATGTCAAAAATGAAGACGTTATGTTAAAAACGGATTAAATAAAGTTTTTATTCAGATTAAGTAGGACAGCTTGCACATCAGAGTTAACAGCGATAATTTCACTTTTTTAACAACAAAAATATAGATCTTGATTGGATTTAGCTTTTAGCTGAGACTCGACACGGACTCCGATTAATAAAGTGTTTCTCTACCTGTTTCTGGATCTCTAATATCCAAACTACGATATGATATTTTCTTCTTCTCAAACAAAGGTGACGCTTCCCCATCTTCTGGAACTGGACTAGAAGATTTAGATCCAGTATCCTCGTCATCCATATCTCATTAGATCTGCTGGAAAGTTAAGTAAGAAAATACCATAATCCTGATGATATGCGCTCCGATGGTGTTTCCATAGATCAGTTTCTTATAAAGGAACGTAAAATGGTTTTAGATTATTTCCATAAAGAAACAAATCAGACACAACCGAAACCAAAGCTTTCTTTTGGGATAGGATTAAAATCATATTGTGTATTCTACAAAAGGTTTGATTCACCTGTGTACAATTCTAATATTACTCTTTCAATAATACATGCAATATATTTTCTGAATACTCAGAGATCAGAGAGGGTAGGGGGGGTAGCATTCACTCGCCCCCCCCCCCCCACACACACACACACACACGCGCATACACACTAATTATATTGGCTAATACACATTGATGTTTTAGATATAAATATATTCTACGCCTCTTTGGGTTGAAGATAGGGGTGTTCGATTACATCTAAATAATCACTACACGTCTAACACGAACGTGACCAAAACTGTCACCTGGGGTCTGGCTAGAGATGGCGGTGGGGCTTCAAATGATAATATTACCGACTGACTACAATGTGGGAATATTTTCAATTGCTGATAAAACGTTTGTATATCATATTGTAACTCACGCCGTTGTCTTCAAGTAATTCGTCAGGTAGTTTACAAACTTTAATATCAATTCTTTGATTCAAACTTCCTTCTACACATCCAGCACGAGCTTTTTACATCCTTTGTTTGTTTTGTTTATTCGTGACGTATTGTTGTACAGATTAGAACACAGTGGGGGCACTCGATTGAACGTTCCGGAACTGAATTCTCTCAATCCCAAAAAGAGTGACAATCGAGTGAAAAGGTGGATTTCGGGCTACAACGCATGCGTCGACTGAATCAGTAAATATCTCAACCAACCATGCAGCCGATACATTTTAATTACGTCACGATTCTACTCACACCACCTCCGTTGTCGGTACTGACAGAACTGTGACAGAACTGAAATCCGCGTTACTCGATTGCAATTCTGTCAATTCGGGACGTTCTGGACTGTGAATCGAGCATCCCCAATGTAACATGGGTCGCGTTCAATTCGGCCCGATAAAATGATACCATCATTAATTGATGCTGTAAATATTTTGGCTAAAGAAACTTTGTTTATTGGACCAGGTAACTGTCTTTGTTCTAGCCAAGCACTACGACGAGAGATTAAATGGTTGGAAGAAACTGGTCTGAGTGGACAGGTAGGAAGGAAATGTGATCCGAAGAAATATCACCCTCACAGCAACAAATTGATGACAGAGGTGATTTTCACTGTAGTTTTGTAGGTCATAATATTTAGGACTAATGAACCGATGTCTATTTATTCACCGATCAGAAAATAACGAAATAATTGAAAGCGTTTCCATGTTTTATAAAGCAGGAAGAAGATGAATGATCATACTTACATAATAAGCTATATAGATTTAAAATTTAACCACCATATTAGATATGATATTGTAATGTTATTGTAATAGATAATAGATTATATTAGTCTGTTTATCAGTTATCATCATCATTTGTTATCTGCGGTTGAACTGGTACGCCCTATTACATAGATGATAGAGATAAATATTTATTGACGCCAAAGTTTAAAGGGATATAACTCCATTTAAATTATGGTCTCAGACTAGCAATTATTCGCCCATTGACTTCAATGTTACAGGCCAATATTGCGTATTGGTGCCAGTGATTATCACATATGTGATAGAACTGGTTAAACATGTTTCAAATATTATTTATCCCAGAGATCATTGCTATGATAGATGCGTAATCAATGCTTCAACAATCGGAAGTGACGAATGCAAAAGGAAAACACGAGTTATCGCTCTATATAACTGACTGAAGTGACGAGTGACAACAAATAAATGGGCGAATTTCTGCTCATTAATACTTCCTTCGAAGACCAAAAGTTGTTGTGTGAGACTGTGAAAGGATATCTGACAATTCATTACATATTAATGTAATAAGAGTGTATATAAAGTGATTTATATTAATTTTTTAAAAACAAATCTACATGTAAAAGTTCAAATAAAATATTTACAACCAATTTGTAATGTCACGTTCATTTATTTAATAAGTTTTTTGGGGTTTTTTTTCTTCAAGTTCTAAATCAGCATCTTCTTCTTTTTAAACATGCATTAAAAATGGCTGTTTGAGTGAGATAAATAAGGAACACTACTACGTGACATAGAGGTGTCAGCACTAAAGCAGCAAGAACTCCATATAAGGCAGCAGTTTCAGGTTTGCTCCAATCAATGACAGAATAAATGTAGGGTTAATCTCGGCCATTTTATCTTCCAGCAAATTGATAAATTACAGTAAATATGATGTATATAACTCTGAATATGGTTGGATGAATGAAATGGTACAAGCGAACAGGCACAGCCGTTATCATCAGGTTAGCCAAAACATAAAATGAATTCAAGGCATGGGTTGCCACGTCTGCCGTTGTTAGGGTATAGGCAGCTGAAAATAAAATAAAATCATAAAATAAACATAAACATAGGGTACATAAATTATATTCTTATGAAAGAAGCAGCTGGTTGGTTTGTTAAGCGAAGAGTGAAATGAAATGAAATGGAGTTTAACGTCCTACTGTTCTGCTCCTAACCTGGGCTAATGAAGACGGACATACGCCATACAGTGTGCTATGAGGGAAATTTTGCCCGGACAGCGGCACTACGGCCTACTCTTATATCGAATTCCAACTGCCAAGGGATCTTTTACGTGCACGCCAATGTGTACACCGGACCTCGGTTTTTCGTCCCATCCGAACGACTAGACGGCTTTCCTTGTCAGCCGCTCCGTCCTGCATCACTGACAAGGGAGAACCACGCCGGAAAATCTGAATGAACTTTCTCGGCCAATGCAGGGATCGAACCGACCTCCAGGCTAGCGAGCTAGCGTCTTACTAGCCACGTGATCCCCTAAACGAAGAGTAGTAGTAAACTTTCAATCTTTACGGTGTTGTTCATTTTCAGGTTGATTGCGGAGGACATTTCCATACGGATACTTCGTCCATCGGGAATTCTAGGTAAGGGATAAGGTTACCGACATGTTGTGGTGTCTACATCAGTTTGTAGGAATTTCCGGTTTCTGTAACCGACCTAAAAATAGCCACTCCCCATTCTAAGCACACTACTTCCGGTCTCCTGCAGACGTTGGCTGTCGTCTGCCATCGAAAATTACTACGGTATAGTAAAATATTCTACCAATATGCAAGCTAACAATGTGCTGGGTGTGGGCCTAAACGGGTACAATAAATAAACGAAAACTTTTGTACTACCAACTGGACGATAAATGATATGAAATGGGTTAACGTCCTACTGTGCTCCGACTGGGCTAATGAAGACTGACATACGCCATTCAGTGTGCTATGAGGGTAATTTTTGCCCGGGCAGCGGCACTATGGCCTACTCTTATATCGAATTCCAACTGCAAGGGGATCTTTTATGTTCATACCAAGAAAACCAAAAATCTCTTAAAGATAAATGTGTTTACAATTTTGTCTTGAAATTATAAACAGTTTTACAAAGATCATAAAATAATAGGTAGTTTATTCCATTAAACAGGTGCTTGAACAGTAAATGACCGTTGACTATGAGCGACTAATTGAACAGTTTTGGGCTTGTAAAAGTAGTACATAATGTTCGATCAGGTGTATAAAGTTCTAAAAGATCTGAGATGTTAACAGGAGCTATATTATTTAAACATTTAAAAGTAAATAATAAAATCTTAAAATCAGTTCGATATTTAAGAGGTAACCAGTGTGGTCACATTCCTTAGTAAAGTCTAGCTTACAACCTTCCGTATGTATTTTGCCATACACGAGTCGTAGGGTTTGGTAGCTCGCAGACCAGCCGCAAGAAACCAGGTGAAAATTTTATATGTGCAGGACCCAAAGTCTCTACGGCCAGTCTGCGATCTTCTACGGTGTCAAACACACGGAAGTAACGCGTAAGTCTCACGCACGGGGTTTACTAAAATTTCCCCGGTAGTACGGTGGGTTGTGAGCTAGGCTTTACAAGTCTATCTAAAGTAGGACGGGGGGCCTGACAAGGACAGCTGGCTAGTCTTTCGAATGGGACGAAAAACCGAGGTTCCGGGTACACATTGGCGTGCACGTAAAAGATCCCTTGACAGTTGGAATTCAATATAAGAGTAGGCCGTAGTGCCGCTGTCCGGGCAAACATTACCTCATAGCACAATGTATGGCGTATGCCCGTCTTCATTAGCCCAGTTCGGATCAGTACAGTAGGACGTTAAACCCTATTTTATTTTATTTCTATCTGCAGTAGATTGTCTATTGTCTACCTATGTTATTTAGGTCAATGTTTGTATAGATAACGTAATAAACAGTATTATATATTGATAACAGCAAGTTATAGACAAGTTGGCCACTCCACCATTTGTAAGTTCTAACTTGTATTTCTCATGCACCTCATATTTTAGGATTAAAATTGTCGTTTTTGATGTCAACACAGTCCATCTTTTTGTAGTGTTTAAAGGGGCAGGTTTAGATTTTTAAAGCCGAGCCTGGTGCTCTTGTACTTGTTTTCTTTAATACTATATATTAACTAAAAAAATGTCGGCCACGTCTCTTATCATTTCTTGTATTAGAGCATTTAACCCATATGGACGGACCAAACTTCACTTGTTTTATATGAAATCGACAAATCTGAATGAACATTGACTTTTATACGATAACTGTAACATAAGACTACATACACGTATATAAAAGGGAGTCGTGGTGATACTCGGTTCGGCGATATCACATGGGTGGAAGCGGACGTTAAATAAAGCTATTTCACAAGCAGTCCTAGGTTCGATCCCGGTGTTGACCGAGATGTTCCTCTTGTTCTTCTAATGTATTGCAGGACGGCTGGCCTGGCAAGAAACAGCGCCTACGCGTTCGAATGGGTAAAAAAAACCCGAAGTCCCGTGTAAACATCGGAGTGCACGTAAAGAACCCTTGACAGTTGAAATTCGAAAAAAGAGTAGGCCGTGTTTCCGACTAAATGACCCTCATATCACACCACGTGTCTTATGTCCATTTTAATTATCCCGGTTGGAGCAGAAAAGTAGGACGTTAAACCCAATTCATATCTTGTATAGAGGCGTTACTGTAAGCTGTGACAGTGTAAGAAGTAACATATGTCATCAAAATGGCGGAGTTGAAAGTGGACTACAATTATCTAGGAAGAACAGGACTTCAGATTTCAAACCTGTGTCTCGGTACGATGACATTTGGCCAAGGACCGGGCGCGGTAAGTCCATTTTTATTGAAAGTACCTTTCTATCGTCTCTCGGAATATTTACTGTATTAATGATGCACCGATTCATTCCTACACCTTAAAGCCCAGGGACCGGTTGTTCAAAGCTCTGTTAACTTTTAACGACTCGTTAACAGAGAGATAGTCTGTTGCTGAGAGCCTTGTTAGCTTACCGTTATATTAAATGAAGGCGTTTAGCAAGATAACAATCCGTTAGAGTTTTATAGTATATCAGTTAATTGTTAATAATATTTAAGTCATTTGTTATTAATATTTTCTGTGTCAATTTTTGATAATATTTTCTGCGCCAATTGTTAATACTATTTTCGGCGCCAGTTGTTAATAATATTCAAGGGTGTCGTTACTGGTTCATTGTTATGTGTGGTTTAATGGTCGAGAGCAAGGCATTAAGTAATATATTGGAACAACACGAGGGACGTTAGTCCTAAGTGTTGTTATAATATATTACGCAATGTCTTAAGCTCGAGACTATTAAACAACTTAAAATACAGACACTCGCACGTGCTTTGCAATGAAATACGTCATACGGGTCCAAAATTTCAACCAGTATAAATAATGTACGCTTGGCACATTGACGTACCCATATTTGAAATAACAGTACGCCAACATCAAAGGATAACGCCACATCTGTATTTTAATACTATTTAATGGGTAATTTTAAATGTTAATATTGTACAGGATGATTTACCAGGTTGTAATGAAGAATTATCACATCAGATATTAGATCGTTATGTAGAATGGGGAGGTAATTTTATAGATACAGCTGACTGTTACTATAATGGTGGGTCCGAATCGGTTGTTGGTAACTGGTTGAAAAAGTAAGTTTCAGTTTTCTGTTTAAAATACACATCCATAAGAGACGACCACTGTCAAGATCGGTCGCATTATTCTGTTACATCTTTATTGTAAATCGTTGGGGTTTTTTTTAAAATTTGATTTAAGCCTGCACCATTACAGGCCCGGGACTGTATACGGTGTACAGAGAGAGCGAGAGAGAGAGAGAGAGAGAGAGAGAGAGAGGGTTTAACGTCCACTCGACACAAACTAGGTCATGTCGGGACTAACATATGGTTTAATTTTATTTCAACAATTCGCTTGCGCGTAGAAGTCTTTAGCAGTGGGAGGAAACCGGAGGACCCGGAGAAAACCAACGAGGTTGGACAGGCGACCCTACTCCTTGTCACGTACAACCGGGGATTCGAAATCAAGCCAGTTGACTCAATGACAGGCCTCATGATCCATTCACTTGATTTAATATTTGTTTATTTTTTGCAATGTCTATATTCTGTCTTGTCCGCAGGTTTATCTTGTAGATTTTGTTTTGTGTGTAGTGCGGTTCTCCTGCACTTACTAATAGAAGAGGCATATGGTAAAACTTGTGTGTGCGCCAAGGGACTAAACCTCTGGCGTTGAAATTTCGATCTATCATTTACCAATGAGTAAAGTACTGGCTCGCTAACCAGAGCGTTTCTGGGGTTCAGAACCGGTGAACTTCCTTGGGTGTTATCGGCGTTGCTTTCCCATGAAAATAGTGTAGGAGGGCAGGACATGGATCAACGTCTATTCGTTCGGATGGGACAAAAACGGGGCCCCATGTTAATGAACCCTTGACAGTTAAAATTCGATGAAGAACAGACGGAAACACTGCTGTTCAAGCATCTTCATCGCAAATACCAAGTCTCACGCTTTTCAGCTAAAATATCTTCCTTTGATAATCGAGTTGCAAAGTTCAAGGTTCATTCAGTGTCATGGTTTCCGTGGAAGTCGTCATGTTTGAGTTAAGTGTGTTTGTGTCACGACCTCTGATTCGACAACGCTATTGCACGTGTCACGGTAAAGGGGGATAACGTACCTATAAGTTCAACAATTTCAGACTAGATGTTGAAAAACACATGGTCCCTGCTCCAGTAACATGCTGTTCAAGGAACTTGCATTCCATATAATTGTGTCATCTATGTTCCATTGGTCGTCGAGCTCCAGTTACCTATAACTAAATATGAGAGAGAGAGAGAGAGAGAGAGAGAGAGAGAGAGAGAGAGAGAGAGAGATGGGGTTTAACGTCCATTCGACACAAACTAGTCATTTCGGGACTAACATGGTTTAATTTTATTTCAATAATTCGCTTGCGCGTAGGAGTCTTTAGCATGGGGAGGACCCTACTCCTTGTCACGTACAACCGGGGAATCAAAACCACGCCAGCTGACTCAATAATTGACCTTATGATACAGCGCGCACGTGCTAACCATTTGACTATCATCCACCCTCCCTAAATATTAGCATTAATAATATATTATGTTTTCCCCCAGACAACAGCGAGATAAATATATCCTAGCCACAAAAGTGTTTGTGTGGACTGACAAATCTAATATCAACAGCCAGAGTTTGACACGACGTCATATTGTTGAAAGTATAGAGAAAAGTTTAGAAAGATTAAATACAGATTATGTCGACCTATATCAGGTTAGAAATATGTATTTCTGTCACTTATATACTAGCCAAATATATGTCAAAATTATCACCGAATAACTATTCATGGTCGGTATCATGCACTGGGCAAGATATGCCACCCCTTTTCCTTTGGTACAACTGACATCGTTTAGTGTGCTTCAATAGCGCCACGATGACCTACAAACAGAAGATATCGGGTTGAACCGGATTCCCGATGTTAGCTGAGAAAGCTCTTCAGGGTTTTCCAGCATGGCTTTCCCTTGTCAGTCTTGCAGGATGGAAGGCCTGGCAAGGAACGACGTCTAGTCATTCGGGTGGGAAGAAAGAACCGAAGTCCTGTGCACATATTGGCGTGCCTTTAAAAGAAGCCTTCGTGGTTGGAATTGGATGATGGGTTGGGGAAACGGACACAGGTGTATATGCCTGTTTTATTACCCCGGTCGGTACAGTAAATGCGGACGTCAAACACTACGACCTCCATTTCCATGCTTCAGAAGATATATTAACAATTCTCAACCAACGTGGATAAGAAAACAGTTTGTTTCAAAAAGCCAGTTTCCTCCCTTGAACCAGACCTGGCCACTAACTTGATCTGTTTTTACAAAAGCGAGAAAGCAAACGCTTGGGCCGAATTTTTATTTAGACTCTTTAAAATGGTTGAGAAATATTGTCCACCTAGCTACTGCTCTTTTAAATTGTTTCAGATGCATAGTTGGGATTATACCACACCGATACGAGAAACTCTGTTGACGTTCAATGATTTAATACGTTGTGGTAAAATACGTCATGCTGGTTGTAGTAACGTTGCAGGATGGCAGTTACAACAAATAGTTGATTTAAACAGAGAACTTGATCTTAATCCATTTATTACGCTACAGGTGAGTTGATCTTAATCCATTTATTACATCACAGGTGGGTTGGTCGTAATCCATTTATTACATCACAGGCGAGTTCATCCACTATCGGAATATCTACTAAGCCTACTGATTCTTGTCCCCAAGGCTAAACTAGTGTTTGTCAAACATCTTTATTCAAGTACTTTGGGACTGGAAGATAGTGGTGCTAAAATGACCAATGCAAAAACACGTAGTTAAACAATACATAACAATACATAATTTGTCGTCATTAAAGCGGCAATAGGTCTGTCCAAGCCAGAACAATTTCTCATGATTAATCAGCCCCTTTTCATGTTGAATATCTATATTAAAGTAGCTAAGTCTCTAACCCAAAATCACCCAAAGTCTTCGACATTAAAAACACGAATTATTTGTCAATTTGAATTAACACTGAGGGTGTGATCTTACCGAGAAAATGTCGGCTTCTGACATTTACCATTGCTCACGAATCGTGTACCATAATGCATTTCAGCGTCATTTGTAACAAGGGACTCGAAGAACGAGGCTAGACATATTCTCAAACGGTGACGCCATATTCTTATCGGAAGCGCATACGTAATAGACTAGAATAACCAGACGCTAGAGGTTACCATTCGATCGAGACTTTTGGCGTATTTCGACGAACATAACTGATTAGAAATTACAGTAAAAACAGAAACGATTGAATGTAAATCAGTTTATATACATTCATATTACATTATTATATGCGTTGCGACCCATTGATTTGAGTCAATTTCTAGGTCCTAAATATTAGCTATTTAGCTCCTTTAATCTAGAAATTCCAACGATAAGTAAGCAACGATAAATTGAAACATTGAATGATAGTCATTGGTTATCTCTCGGTTTTGTATGTAACTAACTGTAAACAAACGTTATTTAAAGAACTGGATGTTTTTTCAAAAGTAATATTTGAACAAAACTGAAGTTTGTAATATTCGATAAGTTTGTAGATGACCATAAAATGTGAAAGTTTATAGATGAAAATAAAATGTGAAAGTTTTTAAGACTCAAATAAGATTGTCGATGACCATATAACGTGAATGCTTTTAAGACTCAAATAAGTTTGTAGATGCCCGTAAAACGTGAAAGCTTGTCTTGTATAAGACTCAAATAAGATTCTAGATGACCATAATACAGTATGTTTATGTCTGAACGTTGATCGTCTTTATAAATTAATAACCTTATAACCACACGTAGACATTAAAACAGGACGCACACCATTTGTTCGAAAGTTCACATTACAGTTGTGTTGCATTTAATAATACTGTTGTCGTTTCAGCAACATTACAGCCTTGCTTCACGCACGGATGAATTCGAGTCTTTTAATGTGTGTAAATTGAATGGTATTGGTGTTTTACCGTGGAGTCCTTTAAAAGGGTGAGTAGGAAATTCGGTTTCTTTAAAATTTGGTAGGAAATCAAATTTTGAAACCAGAACACACTGGGTTTGGATTGGCTGGGATTTGAACTGAGATGGTGATTTACGATATGAATCTGGTGTAATCAGTCCGGCATTTCGGCAATCCGAATGAAATGAAACATCTTAGCGCTCTTAATCAACCGAGTTTGAATATGACAAGAAGTAGGGTCGGCTGCCTAAACTCGTGGTTTTCTGCGGATCCTAAAGACCCCTACGCGCAAGCGAATTATTGAAAAATAACCATATGTTAGTCCCAAAATGACTTAGTTTGTGTCGAGTGGACATTAAACCCATCTCTCTCTCTCTCTCCCTCTCTCTCTCTCTCTCTCTCTCTTAAATCAACAGGGCAAATAAAGTTAGAAATGAAATGTGATTTAACATCCTACTGTTTTACTTGGAATGGGCTACTGAAGAAGGGCATACGTCATACAGTGTGCTACGAGTGAATTTTTGCCCGGACAGCAGCTCTACTGCCTACTCTTATATCAAATTCCAACTGGCAAGTATCTTTAACGTGTACACGTGTGTACACGGGACCTCAGTTTTTCGTTCCACTCGAACTTCTAGACCGCTGTACTTGTCAGCCCCCTCTTCCACCCCTCGTCCTGCACCGCTTACAAAGGGCAACTAATGAAGACAGGCAAATACCATTGAGCCTATCCCGGAACTCTTCATCGAATTCCAAGGGTAAATTTGACACGCACGTCAATCTGAACACAAAGCGGCGTTTTTTTCGTTGCATCCGAACGACTAGACAACGTTTCCACTGACAAGGGGCAACCACACTGAAAAACCGATAGCGGGATCTAACCCGGACTACCTTGTTATTGACAATAATCCTGGCAGTAGTCCTGTAGCGACTAGTGTGCCAAATACTTGAGAAAGTTTAGTAAACCGGTATTAAATCAGGTCACGTGACACACTGGCGTGCACGTAAAAGATCCTTTGGCAGTTGTAATTTGATATAAGAGCAGCAGGCCGGGCCAAATTTCTTCTCGGAGCACACTGTATGGGGTATGGACGTCTTCATTAGCCCAGTCGGTACAGAACAGTAGGACGTTAAACCCCATTTCATTTCATTTCGGTATTAGATCATTTAGATGTAGAAAAATGTAGTTTTAACTAGTTCTATTAAATTCCTATTCTTGTGTCACTGTGAAACATTTCTTAAAGTCATCGAAGGTTATCTTGAAACGGGTAAATTCATACTCCTTGTACTCAAACTTATGGGAATAAATATTTACTACAATGCGAGCAAAGAGAATTATTAATGCTATCTATATATACGCTGAAACCATAAAAATGAAAAGTACATCGCCTTCCCAATCAATGAAATTGTTTACAACATGTGACTAGGCAGTGTAGATTAACAACTGGGTCACAAAAACATTGGAGTTCAATTGTCGGTTTGTTTTACCGTATGACATCTCGGTGCCGTTGTAACCTTTGTTCCAAATTTGGTGCTGAAAAGTTAGATATTAAACCCCATTTCGTTTTCATTATCGCTAGGGATGTTAAACTTACGGATTAATCTTTACTTGTGGCACCTTCTTTGTAAACATAAACTTTACTAGTAGTATCCTCTCTTGTAAATATTAACTTTACTGGTAGTATCCTCTCTTGTAAATATTAACTTTACTAGTAGTATCCTCTCTTGTAAATATTAACTTTACTAGTAGTATCCTCTCTTGTAAATATTAACTTTACTAGTAGTATCCTCTCTTGTAAATATTAACTCTACTGGTAGTATCCTCTCTTGTAAATCTAAACTTTAGTAGTAGTATCCTCTCTTGTAAATATTAACTTTACTAGTAGTATCCTCTCTTGTAAATATTAACTTTACTAGTAGTATCCTCTCTTGTAAATATTAACTTTACTAGTAGTATCCTCTCTTGTAAATATAAACTTTACTAGTAATATCCTCTCTTGTAAATATTAACTTTGCCAGTAGTAAATCCTCTCTTGTAAATATTAACTTTACTAGTAGTATCCTCTCTTGTAAATATAAACTTTACTAGTAGTATCCTCTCTTGTAAATATAAACTTTACTGGTAGTATCCTCTCTTGTAAATATAAACTTTACTGGTAGTATCCTCTCTTGTAAATATTAACTTTACTAGTAGTATCCTCTCTTGTAAATATTAACTTTACTAGTAGTATCCTCTCTTGTAAATCTAAACTTCACTAGTAGTATCCTCTCTTGTAAATATAAACTTTACTAGTAATATCCTCGCTTGTAAATATTAACTTTGCCAGTAGTAAATCCTCTCTTGTAAATATTAACTTTACTAGTAGTATCCTCTCTTGTAAATATTAACTTTACTAGTAGTATCCTCTCTTGTAAATGTAAGCTTATCAATTGTTTGTTTACTAGTTGCATTCTCTCTTGTAAATATAAACTTATAGACTATTTGTTTACCAGTGGTACCATCTCTAAAAATTAATAAACTTTACTAATGGTACACTCTCTTTTGTAAATATAAATTAATCAATTGTTTGTTTACTAAGGGTTATCTTCTCTTGTAAATATAAACTTATAGCTTAATCTTTACAAGTGGTGTCCTTTCTAGTAAATATTTACGTTGCTGGTGTTACCCTCTCTGTTAAATTTAAGCTTATGCTGGTCACGGGGGCTAAGTGGGTAAGACGCTGGCTCGCTAGCCTGAAGATCGGGTGTTCGATCCCTGCATTGGCCGAGAAAGTTCATCCAGATTTTCCGGCGTGTTTCCCTCTTGCCAGTGATGCACGGCGGAAAGCCTGACAAGAACAGCTGTCTAGTCGTTCGGATGGGACGATAAACCGAGATACCGTGTACAATTTGACGTAAAAGATCCCTTGACAGTTGGAATTTTATATAAGATAAGGCCGTAGTGCCGCTGTCCGGGCAAAATTTCCCTCATAGCACACTGTATGGCGTATGCCCGTCTTCATTAGCCCAGTTCCAAGCAGAACAGTGGGGCGTTAAACCCCATTTCATTTCATTTAAGCTTATGAATTATTTTTTTTACTAGAGGTACCCTTTCTGGTAAATATAAACGTGGAGAGAAGCCTGATTTACAAGATGGTAGATTAGGATGGGTGGCGGAAAATGAAAAGCGGGGAACAGTTTCGCGGCCATCATGGATTAAAACTGATGAAGATCAGAGAGTGTGGTCGATATTAGCAACATTAGAGAAAATAGCCAGTTCAAAGGGTACCTTAAACATATTTACCCACCCGATTCATTAAGCATATTTACCTATCCGATTCATGAAGCATTTTTACCGATCCAATTCATGAAGCATTTTTACCGATCCAATTCATGAAGCATTTTTACCGATCCAATTCATGAAGCATATTTACCGATCCAATTCATGAAGCATATTTACCGACCCGATTCATTAAGCATATTTACCGACCCGATTCACTAAGCATAGCTACCGATCCAATTCATGAAGCATATTTACCGTTCCGATTCATTAAGCATAACTACCGATCCATTTTATGAAGCATATTTACCGATCTAATTCATGAAGCATATTTACTGATCCGTTCCCTTGCATATTTACTGAAGCTTGGACCGACTGTCATCTCTCTATCCAGGTTGCGGGGGGGGGGGGGGGCGAGAGGGGGGATGGCCGAATGGTTAGCACGTGTATCATAAGGTCTGGCGTGGTTTCGATTCACCGGTTGTACGTGGCAAGAAGTAGGGTCGCCTGTCCAACCTCGTGGGTTTTCTCCGGGTCCTCCGGTATTCTCCCACTGCTAAAGGCCCCTACGCGCAAGCTAATTATTGAAATAAAATTGAACCATATGTTAATCCTGAAATGACCTAGTTTGTGTCGACTAGACAACACTTTCTCGGTCCTTGAAATATGTCTCTGTAATTATTAGAGTGTGTAATAAAAGATAGCTAATCGCTGAACATTAGTGATGGGCCTTGTGCCCGCGGTAGTGTATACTCATATGTCATATGGGGCGTTCACATAACTAACAATTTCGTGTGCTGATTTTCTGTGTATTGGTTTACAGGTAAGAGTATGGCCCAGGTGGCGTTGCGGTGGTTGATACAGAGAGATGTTGTGGCATCTGTTATAATTGGTGTCAAAAATTTAGAACAATTAAATAACAACATGGCGGCCAGTTCCGGTTGGAAATTGACCAAGAGCGAGGCAAGTAATTGTATCAAGGTGGTATATATATTAGTCACCTCTATGTACTCGCAGGTGGTTCCTGAAATAGTTATATTAGTGACATACCAGTGAATATTCATTGCAATATGGTTTATGACGTTTATTGTTCACCCAGAATGCGCAACGAGTGTATGACGTTTATTGTTCACCCAGAATGCGCAACGGGTGTCATATTTCACAGAACCTGGAGGTCGGGTGTTTGATCCCTGCATTAAGTTTAACGGGATTTTCCGATGACAACCTAATTTTTGCAAGATGGGTACCGTGGTAGTCTATCGACCATGGCATTGAATCACCCGAGACAAAATAATCAGTGTCCGCCTATGTATATATTGACACAGCTGAAAATCGGAGAAGAGTAGGTTGTCTCGGTGCTTTCCAGTCAAAATTCCTCTACCTGGCATTGCACACGTAACCGTAGAAAATTAAAAAAAAAAGCGATATGTTTATCTCAAAAACTTTGTGTTAAAGAGACATTAACCCCCATTCCATTCTATTGTTTCTAATGTACTATGGAAAGAAGAACTGGTCACATTTGAGGATACGTCGAATATGGGGGAGTTAAGGCCAGACCAAGCTACGATTTGTAATACCAGTCGTGGAATATGTATATTAAATTAATGTTTTTAAATTAGAGAAAATATTCATTTGTTAGGTCAATTATAAGGATAATACGATTCTCTGTCTAGTCGTTCGTATGGGACGACAAACCGAGACCCCGTGTACACATTGGTGTGCACGTAAAATATCCCTTGGCGGTTGGAATTCGATATAAGCCTTGGCTTAGCGTCGCTGTCCGGGCAAAATTGTCCTCATAGCGTATGCCCGTCTTCATTAGTCCAGCCAAAGCAGAACAGTAGGACGTTTAACCCTATTTCATTTCTGTTTTGTTTCTTTTTAGATGGAAGAATTAAACGAAGTATCAATGCCGGAGATACCTTACCCACAGAATCAAATATTTAGATTAAATCACGGGAGAAAGAACAATTTTCTACCAGACTGTTTCGTTGGGGATATTGTAGATTAAATCATGGTAAAAAGAACAATTTTCTACCAGACTGTTTCGTTGGGGATATTGTAGATTAAATCATGGTAAAAAGAACAATTTTCTAACAGACTGTTTCGTTGGGGATATTGTAGATTAAATCATGGTAAAAGAGCAATTTTCTATCTGACTGTTTCGTTGGGGATATTGTAGATTAAATCGTGGTAAAAGAACAATTTTCTACCTGGTGTTTCGTTGGGATATTGTTGATTAAATCATTAAACCATTTTCTATCTGGCTGTTTCGTTGGGGATATTGTAGATTAAACCATGGTGAAAAAAAACATGTTTTGTTGCCCGACTGTTTCGTTGGTGATGTTACAGATTAATTAACAATGTTGAACATGATTTGTTTTAGCAGTTTCTTCTTGCAAAACATTGCAAAAATTGCAATGCGCCACTTTTTAAAACTTACACTGGGTGGTTTAGCTGCCACTCGACGCCTCCGGGTCATTTCAGAATTAACGGTTATGGTTGTGTCCCTATATACAAACGATAATCGTCTTGTTTCAGATTGGAAGAGAACAATTATTGAATATCATTGTTCAGAAATCATTTGACAAGACAGTGATTCAGCAAAGGTGGGGGGGGGGGGTCACAGAGGCTAGGTGGGTAAGACGCTGGCTTGCTAGCCTGGAGGTCGGGTGTTCTATCTCTGCATTGGCCGAGAAAGTTCATCAGGATTTTCCGACATTGTTTCCCCCTGTCAGTGGTGCAGGACGGATGGCCATGACAAAGACAGCTGTCTATTTGTTCGGATGGGACGTAAACGGAGGTCCCGTCTGCACATTGGCGTGCACGTAAAAGATCCCTTGACAGTTGGATTTCGATATAAGAGTAGGCCGTGGTGCCGCTGTCCAGGCAAAATTTCCCTCATACCACACTGTATGGCGTATGCGTGTCTTCATTAGCCCAGTTCGGAGCAGAACAGTAGGACGTTAAACCCCATTTCAGTTCATTTCAATTATTCAGCACAAAACATGAAGATCTACCTGACTTCACTTCGTCCCGTTAACAAATTCAGATAACTAATCTACTCTCTAAAACACAGATCCTATTTCGTTTCGTTTTTTATAGGATCTGGAAGAGTTGTTATATTACAGGCGTTCTGGTTGAAACGAGGAATTAGCCAATGAAACGGTCTGTTACGGCGAGTTCTTGGCGTGCGATGCACGGAACTGTGGATACACCACTAGAAACGTCAACGCTGATTGATTAATCAATGTCTGACGTCATGTACGACCCCTGACGCGACCTTCCAGTACAAATAGTCAGCTCTTCATGTACTGTAGGTCATCGAAAGTATAAAAATAAACGAAACGAAATATAGATCTGTTTTTTAATCAGACTGACTAGACTAGAAATAAAACGCACAACCAAAATAAAACTTTCAACTTCTTTAATGAAATCTGTCATGCAATAGTCAAAGAATGCACTAGTATTAATATAGGTACAAAAACAAAACAAACTGTACACTCATATACACACCTGGTATTAAGTCACAAATAATCTACATCCAGTACAATTAATAGTCTCTTTCTTAAAGCAATACACGTGTTAATAAGCTATATACATTTTGCACATACCCCAGCCTTAAAGCCATGATACAATTCCACCATGTTCACAAAAATATACAAAATGATCGAGAAAACATAACAAAAACATAACAGCTATAAATTCGTTAACAACTTAAACATAACAAGAAAAATCAGTCATAATAACAAGTGCCAAAGTATACCAAAAAACTATGTCAAATTTGCTCCCTTCGAAAAAAAAAATTATTAAATCCGAGAAATTTCAAAAGGTACGAGTACTATAATTGGTTGATGTGCGTACAAAGTAGTCCTAAATACATAAACAGTGAAAAATTGTTGGTTAGTTCGCTCACTGTTCTGTGCCATATTCCTCTTTCATCCACTGCGTCACATTTGTTTTGATAACATATAGGAAAGATCTATATTGACCAGGAACCGAGATTGACGTCATGGCAGCCGCCTTGGAATTGTGATGTCATATCAAGAATTGAAGTCTGTCAGTCGATGCGCAATTGTCCAAGGTACACGCATGCCAAATCCCATACTTGAATTGGCGGAGCTGCGGTCGTTTTTCGAAGAACCTTGCGCAACAACAAGTTGAGTAGCGCTTGGGGACTTGTTCCCGGTCCGAATATGATTTGTCTGTAGATACCGTTTAACAAGTTCCACATGATGACGACGATCTTTAATTCCCTGAGTTTAAACTGCAGAACGATACATACAGCACAGAAACGTCATCAATTTCCCATTTCCAGAAACATCACGTTAAGCACTAAAAAAAAATACCCTTTGATCAAATTATAACACGTCACAAAATCTGAAAAACAAATAAAAACGTTACAGATATTTTTGTGCTGAACACGTATTATATTATCAAAAACTTTATAGATATTTTCATGCTGAATACGTATTTTAAATTATCGAAAACTTTATAGATATTTTTGTATTGAATACGTTATTAATTATCAATATTGTACAAGCATCACAAAAACTTTATAGATATTTTTGTATTGAATACGAATTAAATTATCAATATTGTACAAGTATCAAAAAATTTATAGATATTTTTTTTTGTAATGAATCCGTATTAAATCGTCAATATTGTGTTCCAAATCGTACATTAAAAACTACAAAACATAACTTTGAAAGGGTAGCTCTTTACACCAACCCGCGGGATAATGAAGCCGAGCTCTCTACAGAATAGACCAATGTACATTGTTTGAAATGAGTTCTTCCATTGTGCAAGGTCATGTTATTAAGGTCATAAATAAAACTTTTAGACATTTGGAACAAGAAACAATTTATAAAGTTTATTGTACTATAAATATTTTTGTTTTTCGCTAAATGTATAAGATAGTGCATTCTGGTAGAACATAAAGTCATAAATCATCGCATAGTCATCAAGTAACTAATAATGTAAACTCTATTGGAAGGGTTTCGTAAAAAGACTAGCTTTGTATATAATTGTATCCATGACAATGACATTTTGTTGCACTTTAATGCCGAACAAAGACTTCTTTTTTATTTATATAAGTGAAGTATCTTGTGTTGGGGTTTTAATTACAACAATTCGTGCCGCTAAGCTAAAAATCATTGTGGTTACAGTGCAGATACCGTGATTGCTACTCGTCTTCACGGACAACCGGATAATCGAAACCACGCCAGTTGACTTAATGACAGACGTTATGATGCCACGCACACGCGCTAACCATTCGGCCATCCACCCCCCCCCCCTTGAAATAAATAAAAAATAAATATGTACCTTATCTCCTGCTGTAAGGGTTGGTCCTTGAACTTAAGGGTGTGGAGGAATAAAAATCTAATGAGGTCATCGCGTTGATAGGTCGAGCCATGATGTCACTACGAACAGCACCAGCAAGTGAATGTGGGTAGTACCCTAGCTGCTCGGGACTTTGGTACTGGTACATGTCTTTTAAACTTGGGGTCACCTGTCCAGAATTCTGATACATAAACGGCTGATAAATTGGAGATTCTGAATAACACTGTTCTCTTAATACATTGTACGTGTGATAGCCAGGAATTCGGGAATCTACGTCAGGTTCTTTACCATTAGGTGTGTAGTAGTTATGGACGTCTTCTTGTGGCTCATAAAGGCAGGATGATGTTCTTGGGACAAATCCCAGTGCTGCATCGTGTTGATATATCATCTCACTTAAAGATGCAATATAGTTCCTGGCTACTGTCAGCGTTTTAATCTTTGAGAGACGTCTGTTATGGAGCATGCTGGATTCTGGTAAATGAGCTCGAAGGGTTTCTAAAGCACTGTTTAATTTGTCCATTCTGTCTCTTTCCTGAGAATTGGCTAACAATCTTTTGGAATCTAAATCTTCTGGGCTCAAAATCTTTTTTGCTTTTCCTCTGCGTCCACGAATCTTTCCCGGTGCCATTTCGTTTTTGTAATTCCTTCCGAAACTGTGGTCTTGATCAGGGCTTGACATAACACAACTTTCATCGGATCCAGTAGGATTCCCGTTTTTCTTAGCAATGTCTGTTTCTTCGCAAAAACTAATGCTGCTTTCGTCACTCATATTGAAAAAAAAAATTATTTTCAGAAATTGCTTACATAAACAGGTTAATATATCCAAGGATAATGCAAAGCAGAAACCAGTGCAGATGCAGCAATAACCAAACTCAATTGATGCTTCGAAGAATCTCAGTTGGGTTTAAATTTGCCTCCTTCAATTAACACCAATTACTAGGAACCATGTTTCAACCAATCAGACGGGTGGAGACGGCACGTGCTGAGAAGATTGGTTCAACGGCCAGAACGGAAATCGGCGGGAATTCAAACATTCAGGGTTGGAGAATTATTGAAGACACGCGTTTTAATAGATTTATGACCCCAAGAAACAATCAGGGCATTCATAACTAAATTTATTTTTTTTTATCTCTAAAATATTAATCTTCAGTTATATTTGCGGTTATTTTATCACCTATAATAATGTCTTTATACTTATATTTTAGAATATTATTTTGATTTCAGAATTACTTTAAAATCATTACGATGAATATCTTGATTTCAGAATTACTTTAAAGTCATTACGATGAATTAAGTCTTTACTTTTAGTTTCTTCAAATTGCCTCTTATTTAATTGTTTATTAAATAAATATATAATTACTACGTAAAAAAGCAAGACGCTAAACCCCATTTTATTTATTCATTGGTTTATCAGCAGATACTTTGGTGATCCTCCCAGCCAACATCTGTAATGTTTTATGTAATGGGGTAGGGTTTAATGTCTCCGTGAAACGATACTTTGGACATTTTGAGAGAAACATGCTATTTTTATTTTTATTTCTATGGTTACTTGTGCAATGCGACAGGGGTATTTTACTATCGAGGGATCCTTTAAGTGCACGCCTTGTGTACACGGGTAGAGCTCAGTTGTTTCGTCGCAACCGAAAAAAAAACCCAGTGACCCTTTCCTTGTCAACCGGGCTTATGCTTTATTCTTTTAACGAAATTTTGAATAACATCTTGTTTTGTTAAAAGTTCGTTGTGAAAAATAGCTTCATTAATAAAAATTAGTTGTAGATAATAACTTTATTAATCAAATTTCATTGAGAAAAATAACTATTCAAAATAAACCCAACTGCATTTTTATAGTGTTTTGTACACACAAAATAAGTAATATTTTATGAAATACATTGGGATATTTTGAGTACAATTTAAAGCATTAGAAATTGAGGCTTTAAAACGATTTCTGTTATCAATAAACGAATAAATAATTCATTAAACTTTGAAGTGTATTAAAGAATACATAAAAGGTATATAATCGTTTATTGGACGTGTATAGAACAGGGAATCCATTGTATTATAACACTTCTACGTTTATTAGTATATGATTTGCCTATAATCATCTCCAACTCGGCGAATGCTTGAAACGACTCCTTGATAAACCTAATCAGTCATTTAACCAGGTAATAAACTCGATCCTTCCATTGATTTAATTAATGTTTAAAAGTAATACATGTTATAATTTAGTCTTTTTATGGTTACGGGTGTGAAGTTTGTTACCATTCAAATACAAATTGACCGACCATATGATAGCGTTTATTCGCAATAGGTTTAAAAAAATAAAATAAAATAAAACAGGCACGAGCGTACTATAAAGGATGAATCGAGCGTGTCACCATCGCCGCCATCTTGGAATTGTATCAAGTTTAATGCTGACGCCCCACCCCCACCCCCAAAATACGTGCAAAATATAATATATTATTTCCATACGGGCGAATACCGTCTTAGAACGTATCTAGATGTTACATATTGTTCTTAATACATGATTTGTTCACCGATTTGAGTAGATGTTTAAAATGTTTTATTCTATTAAGATCAGGTGCAAAATATTTTCCCATCCGATCTGGATATCTAATATCTTTAAAATAAGACTGTTTTCTAATATTATTATAGATACCAAATATTGTTATTCCTCATATATTCCTCGTCTCGGTTCGTTTCCAGGTTAGTTTCTTAAGTAATTTATAGTACATCGAGGTTTATAAATGGTAATCTTTAAGATAAAAAGAAAGCGGTTTATTTCCCAGAATTGAGATTTTATGAGTAAGTATGGATAAGTTTCATATATAAATCTCATTATATATAGGCCAGGTGTCAGTGATTATTATTTTCTTATCACTATATAATAATATGAGCGTATAAGGGGGGGAGCCTTTCCGAAAATTTTTATTCTGAAATGTTAAGCTATTGAATTGAAAATAGTACAAGTAGTTAGAAATTGTAATAAACAAAGGGAAATTAACATTAAAAAAATTGTTGCCAGGGTAACTCATTTTTG